TTTAAGAATTAATACTTATTTATTTATCAGTTGGTATTTCTAAAACTTCATGAACATTAACATAATCAACTTTATTTTTTCTTGTAGATATTCTTCTCCATTTTTTATCCACAATCGTTAATAAAATAATAACAATGACATGTAATACACTCATGCAAATAAGAAAAATTTTAAATTGACATCTCCTCTTTCTTCATTTTCCTCTCTAGGTTCATCATTAAAAGGAATTAATTGATGTATAAAATAGATTCTGAAATCCAAAACATAAATCCAAAATAGTAATTAAAAAATTAATTGATGTGCACGTTCTTAAAATAAAATATTTATAATTAAATAGATTTATGATGAAATAAAACTTAATAAACTTCTTCACCAAACTAATTATTATTAAATATTAATAACTTTATCAGCCATATTGTTAATAAAAGATGTTGATCTTGATTAAAAATAATTCTTATATAAGCAAAGGAAAAGCAAGTTATAATGTAAGAAATTATTTAGAATATTATAATAATTGAAATTAATGATGTTTTATCTTCTATGGTGGAATTAAAAGAAACTGCTGGCAAATTAAAACAATACAGTCAACTATTTCATTAAGATGAAACTATCAAATTTACGTAATTAGCTTTTTGGAGATCAGGAAATGTAGAATTGCATAAGTTAAATAACTAAAAAACAAATAATTAGTTTGTAATCCTTTATTTATTTATATCAGCAATAACATCCTTGAAACTATTCAACTTTAATTAGAGCTAAATTAGTTATTAGTATGAATAAGCTTTTATCAAATTTAGTATTATAATAATTCTTCAAACACTTTTAATACTTCCATTAGAGTATAATAATTGAGAGACTTTAGAGTGCTGAATTAAATAGATGATGTTATAATCATTTTAAATTATTCCAATAATAGAGGAAAATAATATTATTGATTAAATCTTACACATTATTTAAATAACCATACTTAAAAATGATTAACTAAACTTCATATCGAAAGAAGTGAAATATTAAAGTTATAAATTATTTAAACTGAAATTCAATAGATAACTAAATATGATATTTTTCAACTACACTAATATTTGAATAATCGAATTAAATATTTTAAATCAACTATTTGTTATATATGATCATTCTCTAATTCCCTTTAGAAACATTCTTAAATCCCTATTTTACTCATACTTAACTTTCAATATTTCTTTTCTTTCATTTCCATCTTTTTATTCAATCTCCTCCATAAATATATTCTAGGTAAATCCTTCCTAATTGTCTCTTAATCAATAGGAAAAATGGATAAGATAATTTTTCATTTTATTCTCATTACCCCATGAAGCTTTACTTATTTAAAAAAATAATCTAAAATATATAATTTCTTTTATCATTTAATTCATAATTAGTTTTATATTTATTTTCATTAGTAAATTAACAATTTTGTTATAATTACCAAATCTTCTTTATTTACTCTAAAATCTCAAAAAATGTTTCTTTTATTTTCTAAATATTTTATTCAATAATTGTAACTTCAACTGTTAAATTTGAATTCACCCTTCATTTATCATATACTAAAATATCAATATACCATTTTTTCTTAAACTCACTACAATCTCGTAATATTCTAATTCTTCATATCTGATGCAAAATCTATTGACAATCTTTTTTGTCTTGCAATCTTTCTCTCAAATTCCTTTTAGGTAAACTTTTTTTTTCTAATTTATATTTATTATTTTAGCCAAACCTTCTAAGAATTTATGTGTTTATTTCGAATCTAATTAAGGTGTAATTATATTTGATAAAATGCCTCTTTCTTCATCTCTCTCAATAGTATCATTAATCAACTCTCTCTTTTGCTTTCTTTATATATTATAAGTAAGCAATATATTCGGCATTTGAATATAAAAGAATTGATTTAGGTTATACATATAATATTATTCTTTATAACTCTTAAATACCTAATCTATAATATTAACATCATTCTTTAATTAAAAGATCAATTAAAAAAGTAATTTAATTTTATGAAAACATAAACTATAAATGCTATTATATTATTCCAATAATTGTTTAGAGCTAATATCATTTTACAGTAATTAAAAGGCTACTAAATTCTCAAAAAACCATTTTTTAAAAAGGAACTTAAAATTAATTGTGTTTTTAGGAGGAAATCATTCAACAGAGAGGTCTTAGTTAAAAATCTCAAATATTGGATTCTACTAAAATAAGCAACTGAATCTGAACTATGCTTTTTTTGATAGATCTTTCTTTCAAAAAATACAACTCTTAGGCCAAGAGTATTTATGAAAATTCATATTCCCTTAATGTCTATAGTCTAAAAAATTTTATAATTGTAAAATGTAGAATCCCCTTGAATTTTTGAAATTAAATCAACCAAAATTTTATTAACTTATAATATTCAATTGAGTTAATTATAAGATATGAATAATTAATTAGATTCTCTCTATTTTAAAATTTAACAAGTAATTAATAAGAATTGTTATTAAATTAATAAAAGAGATATAATTATTATATATACGAATTAGATTGAGATAGTAGTGATAAATGAAGAGGAAAGATGAGAAAAAGAGTTATATGTATAAAAAAAATGGTTATAATTGATACTTCTATTCTGATTTTTAGAGGTGCTTCTCCTCTCATTCACTTACTACTTTAAAAACTCTCTTATATTTTTTTAATAGTGAATGATGCTTACTTCCGTATCTTCTTTTATCTTTTCTTCAATTATTCTAATTAATTATAAAATTATCTTTCTTATTTTTTAAATGCTCTTTATGGAATTTTTCTCGCCACAAAAATAATATTAGAAATATTTGATTGTTGTTTATTTTTTAATTTGAGGCTTCACAGTTTAGTCTCATAACAAACTTTTCGACTCCTTTGACTTTTTTTTGAGATTGCTGTCTTTAAATCTCCATTACTCCCATAACCCAAAGAGCACATATTTTCTCTGAAATAAAAGCGAATTGGTGGAACTCAAGTTTCAATATAAGAGAGAGAATAAAGTAGAAAAGAAGATATACATCAATAATAAAAAATTATTAATTCTTTTGATTTTTCTTTTTCAAACTGCCAAAAATAAAATAATTTTAAATCTCGTTTTAATATTATTTGTGCAATTTAACAAAAAGATACATATGTAAAACATTTAGCTTAAGCCGATGAAAAAAGAAGAGAAGTTGGAACCAAACCTGAAGCTCGATATATACTCTATCAACACCTTTGATCTTTATTTTATTATTTGGAATCGAATCCGTAGGTCTTAACAGATATGATGTAGGCAGAAATGGCACTGACATTTCTTAACGTGTGCCTAAAATTTGGGAATAATTATACCATTCAATTATTTATTTATTCAAACTCATTATTAAGAGTAAATCTATTATTTTAAAGCATGAATGTTGCTAATCTATGCTAGTGATAATTTCATTTTCTTGAATACTCATTGCAATACATGATAAACAAGCTAAATGGCCTTAGATATATCGAGTTTTTTTCATATCATTCAATTAAAAAACTTTTAAATATCCCTCTGAATCTCCAAATTTGATGTTTTCATCAAATATATATTAGAAAAATGCTCTCTATTGTTAAGATAAATTCATAACAATTTAAGAGAGTTTTTAACAAATTAGAAAATTTATATTTTTTTTCCTATCCCAACAAACAGAATCAAATTTTGGGAATTAAAATTTAGACTGCTTATCTCTTAATTTTTAATTTATATTCGTTTATTTTCTTATACTTACTCTTTTCTAACTTTTTGTCTTAATTTTAAGTTTAATCAAATGAATTCATTAAAAATAATTTAAAAAATTTATATTTTTGAAATATTTAAAATCATAATTTTTAAGAAAATATAGAGGATAAAATTAACATATGAGAATTTTTTTCATTTAAGAAATCAATCAAATCTAAATTAAATCTATTTTATTTAATGTTATTTTTTTAATTAGATTTGATTATTAAAACTTTTTTTATTAAATTTAGTCAAAATTTTGAATTAATTATTTTCAATATTTAATTGAGAATTTTATCAAATTAATTTTCAAAGGTGAAAATTTTAATTATATAATTTCTTAAATTCAATTCAATTTTATTATTTGGTGAATATATGATCAAATTTAAGTTCTATTAATTGCTTTTTTAGAATTCTTATACTTTCTCTTATTTACACAATAGGCTTCTCATCAAAATATATTACTAAATAATTTTCAGAAGTGATATAATAGAAATGTTTTTAAATACAAAATCTTTAAAAAGTAAACATCTATATTTTATTTGAAATTGACGATTAAGAATAAAACAAGCCTTCAGATAAGATATTATTTTAAAAGCATTTTGAAATTCTTGAAACAAATCCTCTCTAAAAATATCTCTATTTAAAAATAATCAAAATTTACACTATTAATTTATATAGTTCTAATTGTTTTTTTTATTAAAGCTTATTTTAAATAATTCTTTCAACAGTTTCTTGATGAGTTTTATTCTCAAATTCTCTACTCATTTCATTTATTTTTTAGTTTATCATTCTTTTTATTAGTTCCATTTATTATAAATACTCTTGTTAGAGTTCATAATATTATTAAATAATTTAATCCATTGTTTTTTGTCAAACAATAAATTAAACAAATTAAAAAAAAAGTGTCTCTTTAAGAATTTATTATATTGAAATCAGTTCGTGCAAATGCACTCAGGCTTGGAAAAATGCTATTAGTAAAATTATTGACTATATTAAATTCTGTTTCTATTATTCAATATTTTTATTTATTATTATCCTTATAAAAAATTATGAATTTTAAGAAGTTTGGAAGTGTGGTTTTAATATTGACATTATTGAAAACTCTAATAAATAATAGTTCAAGTAATATTATTATTAAGTATTTTTATTAGATTAAATGCAACAATCAAATAAGTTTTAAAAGCTGTTTAAAAAAGAAATAAATAAAAAGGTTCAAGTACTTTAGCTATTCTCCTGCAATCAGTGTATTTATTATGAGAGCTTCTTCATTTATTTTGATCTAGAATATTCTAATATGAAAAATGAATTATTTAATGAATTTATCATGTTAATTTGATTAATAAATAAATTATTTATAAAATGAATTAATAGAAATAGTAAACTTCAACTATTAGATTAAGATAATGAAAATCTTTTGATAGAAAGAGGTAAAAAAATGTTTAAAAATAATAAAATGAAAATAACCAATTATTCATATAATAACTTCCAGTTCATATAATATAGAAAATTACACTTAAACTAACTAAAATAACAATAGTTATTCCACTCAAACAAGAGACAAATTAAATTAATGCATCTAGTTAATCTATTTAGACTGCAACCGAAGATAGATGCTAAAGTTGATTTAAGTAAGAATAATTTATATCCATATTGTAGATAATCTGTGATACATATTTAATTATTATTGACAGCATCTATGTTAGATTTTAGTTTCAATAAACCTGGTATCTCTCTTTATTTTGATTTTTTGATATTTAGTCTTATATTGATAACATGAATGCAATGTATTTTGAAATAATTATAGGAAAATACGTGGAATTAATGGCTTGATTGTAAATTTTTAAGGAGTAATATTAAATTAATCAGAAGAATTAGAATGCAAATGATAATTATAAGAGTAAATTTGCTTAGTCAAATTAAGATAATAAAAATGTAGATATAGCAGGAAGTATATTAAACTTTATTACAAATTTCATCTTAATACTACTTTTGTAGTTATACAGAAGAAGAATAAAAATATTAGCTAATAAAATTGATGAAAATAGTATATAGAATCAGATTATTCTATAATTGTTGAAAATAATCCAAGAGATGCAAAAGAAGAATCATGAATATAAAATACAAAAGTTATGCATTAGATAAGAATATTTTACAGATTTAAAAATAAAAGTAATTAACTCTTATAAATCTATTCCTCCTAAATTTCCAAATATAACAAATTAATTGGTTTAATATGAATTTTATCTGAAGTTATGAGTATAATTGGTTAAAAAAATATAAGAAGATTTAGTGATAATATTATTATAGTATCAAAAACACCTGAACCAAAAGATTTAATAAAATATTATATATTTCTATTTAAAAGATATAATAAATAACTATATTAATTTTATATTATGGGAAAATTTAGGAGTGACATTATTAGAATAATATAAAAGAAAATTGATTACAAATTTAGCAACAATATTTTTATTAAAAATTTGTTTTATAAAATTATTAGGATTATTTTAACTTTCATGGTCTGATACAGAAAAAGGAAGAGATTTATAGCAGAACTTGTTGGTATTTATAGTTTAGGAATATTTTCTGCAAAGAAATTAGGAATTGCTTAATTTCTAGGTAACGCAATAAAAACATTAATTGTTAATTTAGTAATTCTAATTAATAAGAAGGAAATGAGTCAATAAATAATATTATTTTTAGAGATTTTACATTTTCTAGTGTTGACTTTATTAATTTAAAAAAAAGATTATTAATTAAATTAATTGTTTAGTTTGGGAAAAAATGTTAAATACAATAGCAATTTTGATTTTTCATTCCTATAAATACTATATTTGATTTATTATGGAAATATTAAGATATTTCTACTGAAGAATTTAATGTTATAAGTTTTTGGAGGATTATGATAAAAGAAATCTAATTACTGCTATAAAAGCTATTGAAAAATTAAAAAAAAAACAACTGAAACATAATATTGATAAGTTGATCACAGAGGAAATTTTTTGAATTAATCATCTATAGTAGAAAATAAAAATCATTATTTTTAATAAGAAGAAAAAAGTATCTTGACAGATATTTTAATTTTAATTCTTGATATTAATTGTAAAATAGAATCATAATTTTTTAATCATTAGATATTCTCATTGATTTTAATACTTTAAATTAATAAAAAGTTAATATATAATTGACCCAAACTTTTTGCTAAACATTATTTGATGCCATGGTTTTAGATAGATTTGAGCATATTATTTATTATAACTAGTATCTACTTTTGATTATATGTGATAAATACCTTCAAATTTAATAACTTTTTCATCTAAAGAAGGAAAAGTCTATTAAAAGAAGCATTAGATTAAAATATTTAGAATGTTATTTTTCTTTTGGGGAATAATTTATAACTTAATTATATCCAATTACTTGTGGATTAACAACATTAGTAATGGTATTAAATGCTCTTCAAATTGATCCAGAAATACAACAGGAAGGGCTATTTAGGAAATGTTATTATAGAATTTGGAAATGGTAAACTAAAAATAATTAGAATGGTTTAAAAAAGAACATTTAGATAATATTATAGCTTTAGCTGCAATTTCACATGTTAGAAAACATAATTAAGCCGCTATATAAACTTTTTTTATTATAAAAATTTATATGAATAAGAATATGAATAAAAAAGTAATACTATATTCTTTAAGTTAAGCTTTTATGATCGCTAAGAAAAATGCACACGAATTTAAAATTAATATAAAATAGCATCAATTTAAGCATTTCAAACATCTTTAGAAACTTCATCTAGAATGGATAGATAGTTTATAAAAGTAAATAATAGTAGAAAAATTATGGGATAAACAAGATTAGGTCATTTTTCACCTATAGGATGCATTCATTTACAAAAAAAATAAAAAAAGTGATGCTTTTTGATGTTGTAAGGTATCTGAAATAGCAATGTAAGATTCAAGTATCCTCCATAATGATGTGGTTTTGATTTACTTTATAATTCCATTGCTCCAATAGATAAAGATAATAATATGATAGAAGATTTGCATTAATAACAAAAAAACAATGGATTATAATATTTATATATTATAAGTTTAGTTTAAAAATAAAACAGAAACTAATGATTTACCTAATTAATTATCAGTGATATTTTTTATTACTTGTTTATAGTATTGTAAAGAATTGAAATGTAAATATAAATATTCACACTATACCATTTTAAATGATTTTAAGGGAAGAATCAATATAAGTATATTGATATTTTTCCTTTTATAAATTTAAAATAAATAAATTAAAAAATAAAAATATATATACACTTTATAATATTGATTCAGCATTGATATAGACAAAAGTATAGAAAAATTAAATAGTTTAATAAGTGATTTTACATTTCAGTTTCTTGTTTTAATTACTACAATAAGTTATCTTTTATATAATAATATGTGGTTATTAAATAATTATGAGAAGAATATGAATTAATAAGAATGATTCAAAAATTTGATAAATTATGATATTAATTAAAAATCTATAAAATTATTTTCATTTAAAAGATTATAATCTTAAAGGTGAATTACCTCAACCTCTATTTGCAGTTGTATTAAGTGCAATTTTATAACTGTTCAATACTTTAAAATGTTTAGTGAATGGTCTTTTTAAAGATTCATTAATTTTATCTTCTAATTCCAATTTTTTTTATTGAGAAAGAAAAATGAATATGAGATATAGTCTTTTTTTCTGAATTCTTAGCAGATCTTAAGTAAATCATCTGATTATAGACAATGCAAAGAAAAATGATGTCTTCAGGGATAACTCCATAAAACTTAACAGTGTGAAGAGGTGAATAAATCACTGAAATTTTACGTTCTAAAGATTTAATATCAATAATTAAATTTGAAGAAAATTTAACTTAGATAACAGTAAGGCGGACATATTAAAAATGGACTAATTAATTTATATAAATAAAAAATACTTGTTCTTATTAGGATAAACCAAACTTGTAGGAGCTTAAATATATATATTCCTATCCATTTTTAGTCCATGGAATCTATTAGCATGACGTATTCATAAATTAGAAAAGAAGAGTTTGGGAATCTATCTTGATTCATTGTACCTAAATAAATAAAGAATCCAGTACCAATACAAATAGTTAGAATAAAGTAAAGGTATAACTGAATGAAAGTAGTAATCCAATAGCAATTTCACCTAGATATTGGAACACTTCAACAATATTAGATATTAAAAGATAGTCAATAGTTTTTTAAGATTATCATAAATCTTTCTTCATTGTTAATATAAGCAAAATCATATTTAAAAAATTTTATCTGCAGCCTCTTTAATAACATCAGATCCACTTATACCACCAATATCACCTTATTTAATATCTAATGAATCATTTAACATCGTCTCCTGTAACTCCAACAACATTGACAAAATACTAACAAACTCTAAAAATAATTAATTTTCATGCTGAAGATGTACAAATAAATACTACTTAAAGATTTACTACAATTTTCTCATTAAAATGCCTCTTCTTCAAGTACTTAAACAATTAGATCACCATGAATAACAATGGCTGGAGTAATTTTAAAAGCATCCTCATATGACATAGATGGATTTTCATCTAAAAGATCATCAACAATTTTACCAATTATAATACATCATTATAAATAATAAAAAATATAATAATTAAAGATGATCATATTTGCTGTACCAATTTGTTTAACAACAGAACATGCAGTGAATGGTTAATTAATAGTAACGATAATAGCCAAAATACAAGCAGATTAACATTTTCTAATAGCCTAAGGAACTATAACTTTGGTAGATCTATTAATGATAATAAACCTAAGAAAGTATCTAAATTTAAGTGTATAAACAGAATTCAAATTAAATGAAAATTTTTGGTATATGCAATTTAGTAAATCCTAAACTAAAACTTTTTTAAGAAATCAATTAATAAGAAAATCAAAAATAAAATATATATAATAATTGTAGAACACAAATAATAGACAAAAGTAAAAGGAAAATTAATAGAAAAAAAATAAAGATAGAATCAGTTGAAATAGATAATGAAATAGAGACAAAAGTTTACGACCTGAAATAAAAAAAATAATATTAATCAGCTGAAGCTTAAAATGTAGTACGATGGTTTTATTTTTTCCTTAAAGCTTCTACTAATTGTACTTCTTTCTTAATCTAATATAAGCGTGAATTATTGACACATCCTATGTCAATTTTAAATTATAACTTACCATAATAACTTTGGCATATATTTACTCTATTCTAAGCGTGCATTTTCGTTATCTCAAGATCTAATGAACTTGACGCGAAAGATTTTTTTGTAAGAATTTATTCTCTGTTGGTGAGGCTTTAATGTATATATATTGGAATTCATATTATTAATATGAATAATAAATCACTTATCACTGATTCGATTTTTTTTCCAATTCTCTCTATTCCATGCGCTGAAATAGAAGTTAAGAATCAAATCTTGTGCGAGTTCAATCTTATTAAATTAGAAACTATAGATAAGCCGATGTATAAATTTTAAGTATCCCTTTCTTTCTTCTTTAGTGGCTTAACATATAACTCGTATATCTTGAGTAACAAAAAATAATTATTATTATCCTAATCTACTTTCCTTTTCTATAATATCAAAAATTGGCTCCTGCAATTATTCCTCCATCAACGACTTCTCTAAGGATTTCTCCATCTCCTTCTACCAATAATTTTAATCCAATCTCCTCTTAATAATCTAAGAAATCTGAGAAGAAATGGCAATCTCTTATTGAAAAGGGATATTGCTTATAGATTATTGTTCCTCTTGAATTGAAGTTTCTAATTGTTTTTCTGAATTCCATTATAGATCGTTTGATTATTCAGGTACGATTTGAGATTCATGATTATCATGTTCACTAAAATATTGATCATATAAGGGGCTTTCTCCATTTCCATATTGCAACACTTAATTAATATTAAGATTTTACATTTATTTTATTTTATTTATTAACATTTTGAATATTTTAATTTCAATTTTATTTCTCAGATTTTGAATAATTTAAAATATATCCTTAAATCAATTTATATGAACTTTGTAATTATCTATTGATATAATAAAGAAATTTGATTCAAATATTTTTATCTCTTAATGCTAAATTAAGATTAATTTCATTTTATTTCCTAATATTTCGAATCTTCCTAATCTTTTTAGTTCATTATGAATAGATGGCAATTTATATGAAAACACCTGTAGTATTTTATAATCTTTGTCTTCATTTTAAGATTAAAAAGAAAAAAACTGTATACTGAAATTTTACAAGTAATTTTTAATATCAAAACCTCAATTATTTTTTACTTTCTATTTCTTGTTTTAAACAAACGAATTTCAATTTTTGTTTACCAACATGTTGAATAATTTTTATAGCTTAGCCATAGATCTAAATTGCTTTCTCTTTTTTTCCATTTTAAGATAATTTATGAATATTTATATTTAATTTTAAAAAAAACCTTAAAATATATTCATTTATTTTATCACAGTTTTCATATGCATTAAAATTAAGGATTGATTTTTCTAGTTAATTATAGTGGGAAATTGCTGAATCAAATTAATGAAATTATTCTATATTTAATTAATTAATTTTTAAAGTAATGATAATCATAGAAAATAGAGAATTATTTTCTACAATGAATGATGTGAAGATGAATAATTATTTTACCCTAAGAGAGAGCTTTTTCAAAAATTTATCTTGTTTCTCCGTACCTTCTCAAACTAATTACGGATATACCTAAATAATAAAAATATAATTGACTAACCTTTTGAATTTAGAGCATGCATGAATTGGTTATCTTTTCCTTAGAGACACTAATCATAATAAGAAATACCCTTCTCCTCCTCATTATTTGCTGTTAAGTAGATTTAAACATATGCAAGTTATTAAAACATTTCCTATTTATTAAATTATGTAAATTCCCATATAGTAATTTGCTAAAATACATTCTTTCTTTCATCAAGTACTTGGCAAGGAAATATATTAGAAAATGTATATAAAAATGTAAGTTAGGTAAAAGCAAAAATAGATTGATTATCTTTAATTTCTCTAGACTGATTTTCGATTCTAAATTTGATTAAACTTTTCAAACATAAACGTTGAACTATAAATTATATTCAATAATTAATAATTAACCCATAAGATAAGTTATCACTCCAATTAAACTTCTATCAAACTTGAGAAATAAATAAATTAAATTAAATGAACCTCTAAAATTATGAAGTAATTTATTTTTGGCAAATATTTATTGTAGAATTGAAATAAAAAGTATTGTAATTCTTGAACGCTTAAAATTTATCAGATAACTAGTTATGGTAGAATTTTTATTTTTATAATGCTTTTCATTCGTATTTGATCAATATTTAAAAATGAATAATAATTACCAAATATATTAAATTCAAATATTATAATGCTAACCGAAAAAAGCTTAGATGATAGCTTAAATGATTCATTACAACCATCTTAATTGAAGAATCTCGAAGAAGAATTTGAGACAAATTAAATGATGAATCAAGAAAGCTCTGTTAAATTGGAAAATAGTTCATCATATAATTATGTAAAACCTTAATGTTCGTATCGTTATACTTATTCATCAGAAGAATATTCATCAGAAAAAGAAGTGGAAAGAAAATCACCTTACCATTTTTAAAACCCTTAATTTCTGACTTTTGGGTAAATGGATTCAAATTTAGGAGAAATTAAATAGTTGATTAAATAACATAATTATTAATAAGCATACAAAGAACTAATAAGATTTCAAGAAGTAAGATAGGATTAATTATCATAAGAAAACCAATAATATTTATAATATCTCTTTACTTAAATCTACTTTGGATTATAAAAATATCGTGAAATGTTTGCAATGGCTAATTAATTAATTAATTTTGATCTTGATTATGTTAGTCATATATTAGATATGTTAATAAATGCATCTTTATTGATAANCGGATATACCTAAATAATAAAAATATAATTGACTAACCTTTTGAATTTAGAGCATGCATGAATTGGTTATCTTTTCCTTAGAGACACTAATCATAATAAGAAATACCCTTCTCCTCCTCATTATTTGCTGTTAAGTAGATTTAAACATATGCAAGTTATTAAAACATTTCCTATTTATTAAATTATGTAAATTCCCATATAGTAATTTGCTAAAATACATTCTTTCTTTCATCAAGTACTTGGCAAGGAAATATATTAGAAAATGTATATAAAAATGTAAGTTAGGTAAAAGCAAAAATAGATTGATTATCTTTAATTTCTCTAGACTGATTTTCGATTCTAAATTTGATTAAACTTTTCAAACATAAACGTTGAACTATAAATTATATTCAATAATTAATAATTAACCCATAAGATAAGTTATCACTCCAATTAAACTTCTATCAAACTTGAGAAATAAATAAATTAAATTAAATGAACCTCTAAAATTATGAAGTAATTTATTTTTGGCAAATATTTATTGTAGAATTGAAATAAAAAGTATTGTAATTCTTGAACGCTTAAAATTTATCAGATAACTAGTTATGGTAGAATTTTTATTTTTATAATGCTTTTCATTCGTATTTGATCAATATTTAAAAATGAATAATAATTACCAAATATATTAAATTCAAATATTATAATGCTAACCGAAAAAAGCTTAGATGATAGCTTAAATGATTCATTACAACCATCTTAATTGAAGAATCTCGAAGAAGAATTTGAGACAAATTAAATGATGAATCAAGAAAGCTCTGTTAAATTGGAAAATAGTTCATCATATAATTATGTAAAACCTTAATGTTCGTATCGTTATACTTATTCATCAGAAGAATATTCATCAGAAAAAGAAGTGGAAAGAAAATCACCTTACCATTTTTAAAACCCTTAATTTCTGACTTTTGGGTAAATGGATTCAAATTTAGGAGAAATTAAATAGTTGATTAAATAACATAATTATTAATAAGCATACAAAGAACTAATAAGATTTCAAGAAGTAAGATAGGATTAATTATCATAAGAAAACCAATAATATTTATAATATCTCTTTACTTAAATCTACTTTGGATTATAAAAATATCGTGAAATGTTTGCAATGGCTAATTAATTAATTAATTTTGATCTTGATTATGTTAGTCATATATTAGATATGTTAATAAATGCATCTTTATTGATAAACAATTATGAATTAGCACTTTAATATTAGCTTTAACTAATAAATAAGTCAAAATTTGACTCAAATGAGCAATAAAGACTTGGTAAAATTTATATGTTGTTGGGAAAACCAGTAGAAGCTTATTTTAGTTTTCTAGGATCATTTAAGGCTGGAAATCAATAAGCATTAGAATAATTAATTGATATTGGATTTGATGTAGATTAAAAGGCATATAAAGATCTTGCTTATAAGTATATCAGCAATAAAAATTAAAACAACCAAAAAATTCTTGCTAAAACCTTTTTTAATCTAGCAAAGATTGAATTCCCAAATAAAATTTCTTTATAACACCAAGAGTCTGGATATGAAATATTAGTTTAAGTAAATGGATTGAATGATTAAAATACAATTGCAGCCTTATGTAATCTAGCAAATATGAGAATCTTATTTTAATAATGGTTAGAAGCTGAAAAAGATTTTGAATAATGTTTATAAATAATTTCATAATTAGTAGGTTAAGCAAATAGTTAATTTTTATTCTGTTTGCAAAAATTATCTTAATGTTAATTTTAATTAAAAAAATATGAATAATCTTTACAAAATTTAGAAAGATGTATTAATTTGTCATTATAATCAACAACTATTATTAATAAAGAATTTTTAGATAGATTAATTTTTAATATGACATATATTAAAATTATTACAAAAAAAAATTGTTCTGAAACCTTAGCTAAATTAATATCTACTCAAAATTCAATATTATTAAATGAAATTGGAATTATTTTATAAAAATATGAATATATTGATGAAGCTATCTAACTTTATAGTGAAGCGTTAAATTGTTGTTCAAATAATCAAACTGTGTTGATTAGTTTTAACTTAGCTGGTTGTTATGGATTAAAAAAAGATTATTAAAGGAGTGTTGATCTATATAAAACATGTGCTTTAGAAATGGATGATAAATTAAAATGTGAAATTGAACGAAAAATTAGCTCAGTTTACTATTCCTGTTCAAAATTCAGGGAATCTTTATTTCATCTCAAAAGAGCTTATCAATTAGCTAAAGAATATAATTTAGATTGTGTTTAGGAAATTAAAGAAGAATTAAAAAAATTTTGAATATATTAAAGTTAAATATAATTTCAAAATCATCTTAATTTAAAAAATTATTATTTTAGATTTTGATTTTTTTCATTAAATTGTATGACAATTTAAGAATTTATAAATGTACTGATATACTAGATTTTCTATAAGATTTTTTTTATTTTTCAAATATTATTATTCTCCAAAATTACTTCATTTTGATAATGCTTTTAAAGCATAAAGTATAATATTATTTTTTAAATTTGTAAAATAAACCAAGATTAAAAGATCATCACTAATATCATGTTGATTTAAAAACTATAAATTGCTAGGTTTACATGTTTTGAAATTTCAAATATCAGATAATATAGAAGCAAAATTAGATGATATATCTAAATTGAAAAATCGAATTTTAGTTAAAGAACATAGTAAATAGCAATTTAATTATATAATTATGAATAAAATCAAATTATATATTTAAACTTCGGCCTGGCTTATCTTAAAGGGTATTATGGAGGATCTTAGTAGTCTATTTGTGAATATGAATACTCTCCTAAATAATTAAAAATCTTACCTGAATCTTTATCAACCTTATTTTAATCATCATTTAGAGAGTCTTCTTCGTCAATGGCTTCTAATTTTACGTCTTCTTATATTTCATCCATTTTGCTTTTCTACATCTCAAATTTAATCTCACTTTCCAAGTTCTAATTATTTTATAAATTGGAGTTATTTTCAAGAACATATTATGTTCCTATTTTTTCTGTTTATTTTTCTTTTTCTCTTTCAACGAAACATTATAAATGATATTCAATCTTTATATTAGAAGGTCTAACGAATTCACTTTTATTTTCATAAAATTTTTTAATGGCCAAAGCTTAATTAAAACCATGTTATTTAACAACAGCTGGTCTTACAGTTAAAATTGTAAATAATGAACTAATTATTGTCACAATAGCTTTGATTAATGTCAAAATAATCCATCCACTTAAAAACCAATAAGGGTCCGTATTATCAAATTTTAATTGTTTTATATTATTGTATTCTCTGGAAAAAAAACTAATAAATATTATTAAAAATAATTCTATAGTTAAAATTCTATATGTTTCTACGATTATTTCATAATTGATTTTAATTGCTTTAGTTAATTAATATCCTTACACTGGACATAAGGAAACTAATATATCACTTAAAACATAATAACTTTAATAATGAAAATTTCTTTATAGTAAAGATAAATAAAATGCTTAATCTTTTCTAGGAGTAGCAAGCATAAATTTTATTAAATTGATTATTGAAATTATCAAAGTTTCTCCATATCTCATGAGAATGATAATTCCAAGAATAAATTTATAAATTAAAAGTTTAAAGTAAATAGGTTCATAACCTAATCCTTCATCTGTTAAAACTAACAAATAAGATAAAAATATTCTTTCAGGAAATGTACCTATCTTACTTAGAATTGAAAAAAACATCAAAAAAAGTTCTTTTTGGTGTGGAAATTATGAATGTAAATATTTTAATAAAGATGGATGCACAATTTAAAATGCAGGCTAAATTTTTCTTCTTAGTGTTACTGTAACAATAATTTGTGATATTTCTATTACAATGGTGGATGCAAAAACAATAATGAAATAATAAACATCACTAATAAAGTTTGAATACCCAAATTTATTGCAATCATCTGTTTAATCGCTAACACTTTCTGGACAAACTTAATCAAAATCAATCAATATTTTATCTAAAGGTTTTTATTAACTACTAAGTATTTTTAAAAATTATAATAAATTTATTGCAAGAAAAGCAATCCAAAAAAACATCACAATTATTTTAATATTAATATTATTTCTTCTAAATTTTCCAATAAATAAAGTACTAACAATAAATTATGGAGGTTCAATTTGATCCAAATAAGCCATGAGTTTATTAATTTTATGAATTAACCAAGATCCACACATTCCTCCAATAATTTACTAAACACCCATTTAAGAATCAAGTTAATTATTTGGAACACCAAATACTTCAGCTTTACTGTTTTACTTTTTCATTACATTTATTTCTGTAGGAGGATACAAAAAATTTCTAAATCTAAGTGTAAGATATCTTAATAAACCATCATCAAATAATTTTCTTGTTTCTTAAGAATCTGTTATATACATAGCTTTTAATTGATGTCTTTCATAACTTGTATCAAATAAATGAAAAAATAAATAAACTTTACCATACATTGTAATAAAAGGATTATCTGATATATCAATAAACTCAATAAATCCCAACATTGGATAGTATTTTCCTAGTATTTCACAAAATTTATCTGTTAGATTTGATCGTTAGATTTAAATTTCTTTTAAAAATTAAGGAATAGCTGATTATTCAAGTTTATAGGTCTGGCCTATCCTAGTATATTATTATAAAATTATAGCAGCATCAGTATCATCTAATTCTGACCAAATATTATCAATAAAAAGATTTGTTATTTTATTTATTATTTAAGCTAATTTTTTTAATCCTATTCTTGTAAAATTGTTATCTCTCAGCATGATAAACTCTAAATTACTTAATTCTTTATTTTAAATTTAATCATGTAATTTTAAAACCCAAATATCATTTAGTTTATTATTGCTAATATTTATTGTTCTAATAGTTTGATTAGCAAACATTCCTTCAAAAATTAAAATCATTCCATTGCTTGTAAATAAATTATTTTATAAATATAATTCCTTCATTTTAGTTGAACTTTGAATGATTTATTTTAATTATTATCCAACATTATCATTTAATTAATTATTACTCAAACTTAAACTAAGTATATGTTAAAAAGAATAATTATCTTGATATAGCTATTAACCTTACAATATTTCTTTGAATAAATCTATTTCTAAATGACAATTTGACAAATTTAAATATCGTAATTTAATATTTTTACCATTAATATTATTTAATATTCTTGGAATAAATAAATCTAAGATTGACTGCTTATCCAAAGGATTTTCTGCTAAATTTAATTCCTCAAGTCTGCAAGTTGAAGCATTCTATAAAGCTGATGTTAAAAAGTTATCTAAATTATTCTTAATCTAGTTTTTTGCTATTTCTAAGACTTCTAATGTTTTATTTTAAGATACTGCTATTCCTAATGGTGTAAGATTTAAAAATCCTAAATTACAATCATTTAACATAAAATTCCTTAAAGATGAATTGTTACTTATTCCTAAACATATACTATCTAACCATAATTATTATAATTTATTTTAACTCATATCTAAGGTACTTAACTTAAAATTAATACATAATTTACATTGCAACATTCAGCTTTTGAAAACCAATCTTAAAGTGCATTAACAAAGCCTTCAGCTAAAGAAACTTAATTTAATTTTAAAATCCTTAAATTTTTTAATTTAGAAATAAAATCAATACTACCTTCTAAATCTTTATATATTGTTGGATTATAATTAATTGCAAAATATGTCAGCTTTCTGCTTTTTGAGAGATTTTCAAAAAATTTACAAAAATCTTTTTTTTAAAATATACAAGAATCCAAATTAACACCAAACAAATTTCTCTTTTAGTTGTCTATAATTTTCATTAAACTATGATAATTTGCGTTATCAAAATAAACTTAGGATAGATGTAAAAATTCTTATTTTTATGTAGAACATTAATAAAAGAATGTTTTAAGTTTTGTAGTATAAGGATTATTAGCTAAATTTAATTCCTAAAGGCTTTCATTTCCCAATGTTTAACTTAATATTAATAAATCATCTGCACTTAATTTCTAATAAGACAAACTAAATAAATAATTTAATGTACTTCAATCTTTTTAAAGTTCGATTTGCAAATAATGATCTATTTATTGCAGCTAATCCCTCAAAATTAATGCAATTTCTAGAAAAATTTACCTCTTACAAATTTTTCAAAGACGTCATCATATTTTCAATATATGGAGCATGTTTAGCTTCCAAGTAATTGTAACTTAAATCTAAAACTTCTAATTTATAATTTGATCCTAAATTATTTGAATTAAATAATCTTTTAATTTACTTATACATTCTATTTTTGCTTAAATTTAAGTATTTAATACTACTATTAAATAAGGCTTCACTTAATTTTTTTATGATATCTTTTTTCATTGTTCCTAAATTCAAGTCTCTTAAATTTAAATCATGAATTATAGTAGATTTTCTTAAAAATAAACACAATAATTCAATATCTTAATCAGTAATAGGAGCACATGAAGATAAATCTAATTTCTCAATTTTATTATAATAAGTAGATAAAGATACTACTACTGGAGTAAAAATTTCTTTATTTCCATGAAAATCTAATTCTCTTAAATTAAATGATGTTAATTGAAATGCAGCATTATTTGATTTTTGTTAATGCTCATCTTATTTTATGAACTTTGCATTTTGGTCAACATTTTAATCTACTTTTCTTATCTCTTCTTCTTTCTCTAAGTAGGAGCATCTTAAACATCTTAAACATCCACTCTTTATAAATTTTAAAAGTACAAATATAATTGCATACCTAATTTAATTAAAAGATATATCTAAATGTTCAAAATATACTTATTCATGATTAATCATATAACAGATAATAGCTTCTCCATCTAATTAATTTTTTGCAACTATTAACTTTTTTAACATTCTATTATCTCTTAATCCAAATATTAATGAATTAAATCCTTCACTTTTTAACTAATTGTTTGACAAATTCAATTCAACCCATAAAGGATTTTATCTTAGAATAGTTGATAATTAAAAAGCTCCTTAACTTGATATATTATTATTAGATAAATTAACTACAAGTGTATTAATAAAAAATTAAGGTGGAAAACACATTATTACATTATTACTTAGATTAATTTCATACATTTTTCTTTAAAGTAAATCTTAGCAAGTAAATTCCTCTATTTTATTATTTGAGAGATCTAATTTCTAAAGTTATGATATTTTTCTTAAAAATGCCTCCAAAGATGGTATACCTACTTAATTAATAAAGTTTCTTCTTAATACAAGTTCTTTTAAATTAATTTTTCTCATATTCCAACTCACTCTTTAAGCTAAAGTATCTAATCCATCATTTTTAATATTAGTATCTGAAACATTTAAATATTCAAGAACTTTATCTCCTTTATAATGTTATAAGGCAATCCCTAAACTAGTTAACACTTCGGTATTAAATTACATCATGGATAAGTCCAAAGAATTAATAGTTTCAGAATATCTAAAACAAAAATAAAGAATTTTTACTTTAAATTTCTTAATAAATAACTCATAGCAGTATTTGATATATTACAATGAGTAAGTTTAAGTTTCTTAAGATGATTTTTACCTTTAAAAACAAATTAACTAATATCATTCATTAAGTCTATTGTAAATCCTTAATTATTGTATAAATTTATTGACTACAGAGTTTTATGATTAGTTATGGAAGAAAAAATGTATTATAAGCAAAAGCTATTCATTTTACATCCAGAAATATTAATTTCTCTCAATGATGCATTATGTTATAAACCCTATCCAATTTCTATTGCCAAAAGTGGGTGAATATCCATACCTGAAATATCTAAAGATCTAATATATATAAAATTTAAAAAAACCTAAGACTTCTAGCGTTTTATAAAGCTTAGCTAAAAAAAGAAAAGCATTATTAAACTAGAGCTGGTGTTTCACCTGAAAAACCTTCTAATATCTTACGCTTTTTAAGACTAGCTAAGTTTTCTTTCAAGTAGCTAATTGAAATGTTGTATATAATACATATTTTATTTATTATTTAAGAGCTGTCTTAATTACTTTTTAACTTAATATTTTTTTTAGCTTATTAATAAAGTATGTTCATCTTTTTTATCATCTTATTCATCTTTAGCTTCAATTTCAATTATCTACCTTTCTTCATTAAAAATTGTTTTTTTTGACGCTATATTCAATGGCTGGGTAAAAAAAAGTTATTGCATTTTATAATTAATATGAATAATAAATGGGGAAATATAAATTTTCATATTTAATAACCATTTTCTTCAAAATCTTCATCAATCTTAGACATTTCTTATTGGCCTCCTATTTTTGGAAAATTGTTAATTAAAGTATTATGTTTTTGCTAATGTTATTTTGGTAATTATTATTATTCATTTAAATCACTCTTAAGAATGAAAGATGGTTTAGAATTATTGATTTAATATTTTAGGGTATTTTGATGTTATTCAAATTCTTACGTTTAACATTTTTTAAAGTTTCTTCGACCATTTTAATTGATTTGAGATTTATTTTTTTCAAAATTAGAATTAGCAATGAGACCAAAAGATTTTAAATCATTCATTACAGGAACTTATAATTAATTACAATTTTCATCTTCAACTTCATCATCTTCAATATTAGTTAATTTAGAGATTGGTTAAAAGTTTTATGTTTAAAATACTGGATTTTATTTATTTAAATTAGAAGATTAAAATTTTTATTTTTTAGTTTCGAACTTCTATTAAAAATAAGGATGATTAAGAGCATCTTAAGCATTCATTCTATCTTTAGGATTTATTATTAATAATTTTTAAATTAGGTCGCAAGCTTCTGGAGGAGTTTTGTATATAGCAAGTGAATCTAAATTTAAATGGCATTTTTTATTTAATTTTAATATTTCTTTATATTCAGTACCAGGAAACAATTCTTTGTTAGTACATCTATATATATATAAATAATATAAATACAATTTATAAAATATGCATCCAACACTGAATTCATCACAGATCATATCATACTTTTATTTTAAATCTCTTAAATTGGCCACTTCTGGTGCTACATATCCTGGAGTTCCACATTTTGGAAAAGGATATTCTTCAGCATTTGAAAATGTTGCTAGACCAAAATCTACAATTTTTAAAGTATCAAACTAATTAAGTTATTTAAACATAATATTTTCTGGTTTCAAATCTCTATGCATAATACCATTTAAATGCATATTGGATACAGCTTATAATAATAACTTTTATAAATGTAAGTTTTACTTTCATAATCATCTAAATCTAATTATGTTCTAAAATAGTTTGTCGTCTATTAAACATTTCATGTAAACTTTCACCTGCTAAATATTCTAAAATTAAATAAAATGTAGATTCTCCTTCATACAAATCAACCAATTAAATAATGTTATCATGTTTTAGTTTTTACATGATTCTTATTTCATTAAACAATGCATCCTAAATTACTAAGATTTTATTACATATCCTCCATCTTCTTATAAATATCTCTTATCTACACATTTTGATGCATATTTCTAATTACAGCCTTTTTTAGTGACCATATAAACCTTTATTACATTAATATATACTTTTGCAGATCCTCCTTTACCCAATAAACTTAATGGCTGATAAAAATCGCTTATTTCTTTATACATTATATATCCTTATACACAATCCTTTAATTTGTATAACTCTATAGATTGGCCATAAAAATATTTTATTTTCCCTTAATAGGAAAACCCAAATTATTCCAAAATTGAAGTTTTAGTTTTTATTACCCAATGAATTTGTTTCTCTAAACTAAACTCCAAAATATATTTTGGATTAGATTGTCGAGGGGCCTAATATAAATAAAATTGTTAATATACACTAGAGAGAATTAACTAATTAGGTAGTACTTAAGCAAAGTATTTTGTATCTAAAAACATGTGTTTTCTAAAGCAAGACACGGTCAGAATAGTTTAGTCATAATTTATTGCCTTCATAAATATATAAAATAATAAATCTTAAACATAACTATTAAACTTCTCTATTGTAAAGAAAATATTAAAATATTTAAAATATTTAGAAAATTAGAAGTATAATAAAATCTAATATGATAAGATTTAACAATAAAAAGTCATTTAATAGGATATTTTAAAATTTACTGAACTTTAAACTGTTATAAGATTAGAAAAATTGAATATTAGAAATCATTTTTTCAGAATCAAACTATTTATTATTTGAGACAGAACCTTTAAATTTTATTATCAAATATACATAATATGATTTATTTATTTCAATCTAATCAATTATCTTTTAAGTAAAATAAAATGATAATGATAAATGTTTAGAAGAACAAACCAATTATTACTGTTTTGAATGATATACTATTATTTTATAAAATATAAATTATGATATTGTTTAAATACACAAAATAAGTTAAAATAGTAGAATTTATATTTTAGATGTGAATTTATGAAAAACTAGTAATGAATTATACTAAATTTGACCATTAAATGTATATAAAATAAGACATACAAAAAGTAATTTATTTTATAATTTATCAAATAATTTTGTGTTTTTCACAATTATGAATACTTGTTCTTTCTTTTCTAACTAAAATTCTAAATTTGATTGGATGTTTTCAAAGTTTCCCATAATAAATTAGCAATATTAGTTAACAGATGAATTTAATGTTGTTCGAAATGGAGTAGGAAAATTAAGATAATTTCATTTAATCAACAACTATTTGATTATAAAATCAAAAAAAGTACTGCTATGATATATAAAAGGGGAAAACTAAATGGGTAAATTATGAAAATGCCAAATTAACAATAATTAATGATGATTAAAATGGATATGGTTTATGTTTATAAAAAGGTAATGATAAATTAGATTTTTACGGAGATGTAGAAATTTGGTTTAATTCAATGAGAAGATTTGCAATTCAATCTGATTTTGACTTTTTCTATGTATTAGAGAAATAAATAGGAAGTGGTAGCTTTTCATAAGTAAATTTTAGGGAGTATTTTAGGTTTTTTTAGCAAGAAATAAATATGATGGTAATGAATATGCTGTTAAATACATTATGAAAAAAGAGGAGATTGTAGAAATTGATTAATAATAATTAATGAAAGAGATCTCGATTCTTCGGTAATTACAACATTAATCAATTATAAAATTGCATGAAACATTTGAAACAAATGATGCTGTTTATTTAGTAATGGAATATTTAAAAGGAGGAGATTTTTTATAATTTATAGAAGAAAAATAAGATGGAATGTTTACAGAAGAATAGATAGCAATAATAATTTATAAATTATTAAAGGTAATCCATTACTTGCATCAAAAAGGAATAATGCATAGAGATTTAAAACCTGAAAATATATTATTTAAGGAAAAAGGAATGATAGAGTCTTTATGTTTAGGTGATTTTGGATTAGCAGATTTTTATAATAAAGATGGTAATTATTTGTTTACAAGATGTGGAACACCTGGTTATGTAGCACCAGAATTACTTTAAGATTAATAATATGATTATAAAGTAGATATATATAGTATAGGCATTATTATGTTTATATTATTAACAGGTAAAGAACCTTTTTAAGGAGATTATCATTAGAAAGTTCAACAGAATTATTTTGGAATTATAGAATTATCAAATATTAAAAACTTAACTGATATTGGAAAGGATTTTTTAAGAAGAATATTGTAAGTTAACCCATAAAAAAGATTAAATGCTAATCAAGCTTTATATCATTATTGGTTTTAAATGTTCAAATTAGCAAAACCTATGCTTTTATAAAATAATAATAAAGTGAAAAGTATGAAAAGATTATCATAAGTTGAAATTAAAAATCCATCATTAAATACTCTTGCACTTATTAGTCCAAGATTATCAAGATAATAATCTAAAGAAAAAGATAAAGGTTCACTTCCTTTAAGTCCTAATCCACGTCTCTAAAGCTATTTAACGAGTCGTCAATAATATTCACCTAGAATGAGTACACATTTTACACTTAATTCTTTGGTTCTAGCAAATAAAGAAAAATAGTTTCTTAGATCTAGAATATAAAATTTGATGAAATATTGAATTATAATTATAATAATTATAAATTATCTATTTAAAATTTATTATTATATATCTACAAACTTTAGGATTCTTATAATAATTTTCAAATCTTAGTTTTACTAATTCTGTTTATTTCAAAAAAATTTCTGTCTGAAATTAACTCTTAATCTATATAATCATCTTCCAAAATTATATTTCTATTGTTAATACATAATAATAAAGAGTCTTTAAATGTCAATCTTTTATCATTCGATATTTTTGCTGAATCAAGCAATCCTTATTCATTGTCTTCAGCTATTAAATTATATTACTAATCATTTTATTATTTTTCAAGTTAAAGTTTTATGCCAATCTAATGAGATTAATAAATTTCTTCTTTTATCATAATTGATTATAAAATAAATTATAATCTTGATATTTCATAGATTAAATTCAAATAATTAAATTTACAATTAAGTAATTTGGTAATTTTGTTTTTAAAATCGATAAAACTTTTAGGATTTATTTCTTATGAATATAATTAACATTTAGTTATTGTACCAAAACAATTTTTTTTGATTTTAAGATATTATAATTCTGGATAATAAAAAGATAAAATTTAATCTTACATAGAATTAATAAGGCAATTTTCATTAAGTTTATATATTAAAAACTCAATTAAAAATAGAACTTCTATAATAGATCCTATATTTGCTAGTATATCACCAATTTCAGGATATTACATTCTTTGAACATATGCAACTTGAGATGTAGTAATCCATAATAATGCATAACTTTCTTCAACAAATCTTTTAGAACAATAATCTTTAGTTCCATAAGTTGTTTATTCAACTGTTTCACTAACAAATATTTTATTAATTGGAGTAGGAAATATAAAATCTTTATAAATCTAATAATGTGTGTATTCCATGCTTATTTTAGTAATTTAGCATTCAATTTCTTCTAAAATTATTCCATATGTTTTTTTTATTTATTTTTCTGTGAATGTTTTTGGATCAACCATTTTAAGAATTACGTTAACTTACAATTCGTTTCCTCTTTAATTAAAAAAGTTATTCATAACTTCTTAATCTGCACATATTTAACCTTCAATAAGTGCGTCTTGTGTACATCTTGCAAAAGAAATTTGATACTCGCTTTTTGAGTTGAGTCTTAATTTTGGAGAAAACACATTTTCTTAGACAAATTCAGAAAAATTATATCCAACAGCTTATTCTTTCCCATTTGAATAATTCTTCAATATTGGTGTTAAAACAATTTATTTTTGACTAAATGGATTGATTGAGTCATTTCCATTTGCTGTATTATAAATTTCAAATTCAATTGATGCATTGGATTCATCTAATAAATTTTCAATATCATCATTAAAGCTATGAAGTTCAGTAGTAACAATTGGAACCATATCCATACTCATCCATCTATACATTTCATAAAAAAAATATGCTGCACTAAGGGAATAAATTATTAAAGAAAAAACACCTCCTAATATAGTTTTATAACTAAAATTCATTTTGTTGTTTATAGCTGGACTAAACTCCACTCCAAACGTGTCAATTTTTTTGAGCAATTAAAAAGCTCGTTTCATAATACTATTATTATTTTATTATATTTAATAAGTATATGATATTTAATTATTCAATTTCTAGTATAATCATAATTGTTTCAGCATAAAATTAATTATGTCTTGAGTCAAAATAAAATTTTGATTTTATTTTAACTAAATATTATTCTCATTCTAAATTTCCTTTTCTACTTTTTAAAGTAGTATTTCATCTTCAAATTATACTCCTTCATCAATATTTTCTTCATTTAAATTGAATTCTTCAATAGAAAAATTATCCAATTTAATTTTTTTAACTTTTGGAAGTAGTTCTTAAATTTCTACTAGTTCCAAATCTGAATCCTAAATATCTGAAAATTCATCAAATATTGAATCATAATCATTTGAGCTTTTATTCAATTACTATCTTTCTGAACATTCTACCATTAAAATTTCATCAATATTATTAGATTATTAATTAATACATATTGGATCAAAATAAGAATCCAAAATTTATAATCCTAAACCACCTTGTTTATCAAGTGAAAAGATAAAATATTTTTTATCAAGATAAATATATTAAAATCCTCTATTTTTTAATCTTTTTGAATATATTTAACTATTTCCAATTAACATAGGAAATCCATTTAGAGTCAAATCATTTGTACCATATTAAATTGAATCATCTACTAATAAATTTGTACAAGTTCTTAAGGATGGTAAATTTTCTTTGACTTAATTAACAAGCCCACAATCAAAATTAATAAAAATAGAATTTCCATAATTTGAATAACCAATTACATTTTCTGCAGTGGAAAAGGTCTTATTTCTATTTAATTAAAAATCTTTTTATTCTAAAAAAGCTTCGAAATTTATTGTTTAATCAGTTATACTTACAAATTAAGATATTCCAGTTTCCATACAACCATGCTTTTATATATTAAATGGATTTCTTAGATTTCTTAAATCATAAAATTACAGATCTGTGTTTGTAGATAACATTATGTATTAACTTTATTAAAATTAATGAAATGAGTATATTCTATTCGTTAACAAATTTTGTAAATCAATAGAAACAAGTACATTTGTATTTTATTTTCTTTAATCATAAAGTTAGAGTTCCTTTTAGCTTTATAAAAACAATAAATATGGATTCTTATGTAAAAATACAGATTAAATGATGTAGGCTTCAGCTTGTTATGTTGAGAATTATTTCAAAATTACATCTTCTGTTTTTAATTAACTTTTTGATAAGATGTATAATCTATCTAATGTTTATTCATACAATATTTAATTTATATAATCAGGACTTGAATATTTCTATAAAATTAATTCAATAAAATACTTAAATTGATTTTTCATTCTCCACTACCTCTACAGTGTATAGATGTTTTAAATAATACTTATCATTTTATTTAATTAATTATGATACTCCAGTATGGTCATTCAAATAAAGGTCTTTTTCAATAAAATCTTACACTAAAAATCGATTATTACTATTACAGAATTTCCACTCTAATCTTCCTATTATAATTATTAATAATTACTCAATTTTTCTTCAAAAACATATTCAAGAATATTTAATCCTTTAAATTCAGAATTCAAAACTAAGCAATTTCTGTATTATAATGATGAAGGTGAAAATATTGATTCTGTATTTTTAATTTATTAAATTAATTCTCTGTCAAAATGAGCTAATTTTAATTTCTCTAAGTATTAAAGATTCGAATGTAAGTCAGTTTTACTTTTGGATCTTTAGTTTTTCAATTTCTAAAATGGTTTAGGTTATATTAGATATCCAAAATATTTTTTTAGAATAGTATTCACAATTTAAATATTAGGAATTTGATTAATTAGTTGTTTGCCTTTGACTATTAATTATTAGGAATTTGATTTATCACAATTGAAACAAATTTTATCTGCCACTTAAGCTTTTTTCCTTTATTTCATAATTAAATATAAATATTAATTATATATATAATTACAATTTATGTAATATATCTTAAGATGCAAAATAAATAAGTTATTACATGAATTTGTATATTATGATAGAAATTACAATAAATTTAATAGATATTATGAATTTCAATTTTTTGATTATTGAGTTGATATAAAATATAATAATGCCCTAATATTAATATAAAATTAATGAAACGACCGTAATCAGCAATAACAAGAGTTGATGATGCTAATTCAACAGCTAGTAAACTAATTAGGCCTTTAAGTGGTGTCAGTGATACAACACTTAGATTTTAGAATTCAGTTGATTAATTATTAAGCAAGGCCAATTATTCCTTATAATTAATGAATATTAATGATAGTCTCTAGTTATTTGAATAAGCATTCAAAAAAGGGGAACATCAATTATCTTCAATTAGATTAGTTAAATTAGTTGAAGATGTTGTTTTACAATTAGTTAAAGTAATTGTAAAATCAGAAGATAATCTAATATCATAATAAATTTTGAACAGATTATTGATTTGGTGTCAAGTAAAAAATATTTAAATTAGATTCAATAATCAAATGAAGATATTATCCATATAAGGTGTCCTCCATATATTTAGGTTAGAGTCTTAAATGCATATGGAGATTTTTTAAGAAAATAAAATAAATATGATGAGAGTACACATTATTTATAGTTGTCTTTATAAATGCTATCTTAATATAAATTTGATTCTTCTATTGATGAATTAGTAGGTTAAACTTATATGTTACTCTCTTCAAATTCTTTATATACTAATCATTATGCATAAGCAATTTAAGAAGCTTAAGCTGCATTATAACATTTATAATAGGCAGCCATTTCAACAAATAAAATAACAGAAGAACTTCATGAATCAATTTGTGATACTTATATTAATTTAGGAATTGCAAAAGAGCATGAAAAATAATTTTAAGAAGCTCATTATAATTATTATAGTAGTTTAGTTTATTCATAATAAAATTTGAATGAAAGTAAATAAATGAAGATATAACAGATTTATGATTAATTTTTATCAAGATAAGCAGCATATTTATAAAAACTACAATTTTAATAATAAAAGTCTTTAAAACAATTTAATTCAGTAGCAGGATTTAGTCAAAAGAAACCATAATAATCAGCATTTCTTTAATAACCATTTGTTGATTTGGTTAAAAATTCAACAGATTAAACAAGTGGAAAATTAAATAGTAATTTTTTTAAAAAGAAATAAAAAATAATAAAATCTGTTGAAAGATAAAAATATAATGAAGAAAAAGCCATGTTAAAATTTAAACCATATTTAAATAAGATGCCTTCTTAATCAAATTAAATTATAAAATTCAAACCTAATTAAATATTATTAAATAGCTAATTACCTAGACCATAATCTCCCTTTAAATAACCTTATACAAATAATGGAATTAAAATAATGAAAGTTAGCAATAAGCCAGAATATAAAATATAGAATAAAGCATTGACATCATATAAATAAGATTTATATTTTACAAAACAATAATAAAGTTAATAATAATAGTTTTCATCATCAACTTCATAATTGAATTCTGCAAAAATACAGAATAAATAACCTTCTTAAACATAATAAACATTTTAATCAGAAATACTTTACAAAAATAAAACAAATTAATTTTTGACTTAATCTAATAATAATATTCATTAAATTCCATCAAAATTTATTTAATATCTAGAGTAAAATATAAATGAAAGTAATTTATTAAAAAATGGAAATGTATAATTATTATAATCATATCAAAATATTCATTTACCTAGTATTGAAGTAAAATTTTAAATATCTTATAGAGTTAATCAGGAATCCAAGAGATTTATTAAGGTACCATGAGTATATACTTATTTTCATAATAAAATATTCTATATTTCCAATATTTAGCCAGCGAAATCACAGATTAATTTGCAGTTAATTTAGGACCAAAAAAGATTAAATTGATTGGTAATAGTCTTAACGTGAGTGATGTAAATAATTAATTTAATACAATAAATTAAAATCCATTAGGAATGAAAAATATATTGCTTAATTTTAGTGTTGAATATTTTAGATATGCAAAAATAAATTTAGAAAAGCAATCTTTTCAATTACCATATAATTAGGCAAATTAATTTTATATATATATTGCTGAATAGAATTAGAATTTATTGATATAAGTTAAAAATGATTATGAATCTTTAGTATTTTTGGTTGATGCATTTGAAGAGAATGGTTAAATTTCAAAAGATTAAGAAATATAACCTATATTTAATCATAAATCAAACTCAGTAATTTCAGATGAAATACATCCACTATTAGCTGAATAGATTAAATAAATTGATGAAGATGTATAACCAGTATTTGAAGAATAAGAGGAAAAGCTTGTGACATCCTAAGAATACTCTTAAGATTTTGAACCAACACCTATAATGGAAGAAATACCATAAGATAAACATATTTAAAAATCTCAGACAATGCCTTAAACTAATAATCAGAATTAATATAATGGAATGGAGAAATTCACAATTAAAATAGAATCTGAAGATCAAAGATAATAAGTAATTGAAGTATATGCAACAGATAAAAAATAATAATAGGATGAAGAAATTAAGGAAGAAGAAGATCATGAATTAAATGCAGCTGCATTATTAATTTAAAAGAAATTTAGAGAAAAAAAAAAGAATTTGAAACATTGATTGGTTATTTTATTATATAAAACATAGAATTTAATATATTGATATTAATTAAAATAAATAATATAAAATGGGAGGAGATCATCATTAAGATCATGATTCAGCAATATCACATGAAATCAAAGCTGAAGAAATTAAGAGATTATAACCATTCTATTAATAAAGATTACCATATATTTTGAGACCTTTTGCTTCATTGATTTATCATGATATACCAAATATCAATACAGATAATTATGATCATAAATCTATTGAAAATTATAGTAAATAATGATGTGTTATTATTTTAGCTGAGTCTTAGATTATTAATAGAACTGTGTTTGCTTTACAAAAATTACAACTTTTGAATCCAAATTTCTTTACACCTTAAGAGTATTATCTTTATCAATTCTTTTAGAAATCGTATATTATCTCCATTACCATCTGGAATAGTGTCATATACATTATAATTTACATGCTCAGCAATGAATGCAATCTATGGATTGTATTTATATAAAACATGGAGTTTTAATGCTAAATCTCTTGGTCTTTGGGCAGTATTTTTAGCTACTTAATAAGTTTGTTTATAATATCCAAACTTATTATGTGAAGTAAATTTCAATAATAATCAAAGACTCTCATTTAATGGCCTAGAAGAAGAAGATTGGCTAAATAATATCTTGAAATTTATGGTCCAAATTATTTCCATTAAATAATTGATCCTAGATTCAGTGTGCACAAATTAGAAACATTAAAAAATATTGCATGAGAGATTAATAAAATCATAAAACAAATAATTTCATTTTATTTTATTATTATTATTAGTTCCAAACTTTTATTATTAATCATTCATTAGTAATTCATTTTATTTTAATACTTATATTTATTATTTTAATGCTTTATTTTCTTGTATATAAGATTATTTTTCTAGTTCTAACTATTTTATTTCTAATTAAGAATTATCTCTATATGATATTAAATCTTCTTTTAAAGATGCATACATATTCTACATATCCTTATGATCTTCAATAATTTGTTATAACTTTTTTTTATCAATTGATTATTAAGTGTTCTCCTTTTGATTTTATAAACCTGCATATAATAAGTTCTATTTAAATAACTTTTATTAATATTGATAATTTGTTTCAATTCTAAGCAATATTCTTGGCTATTCTAAATCATCTTCTATAAGATTTCCATCATATTAATCATCTTTAGGGTCAAATAGAGTAATCCTATTAAATCTATTGATTATACCATCTCACAAGGTTTAATGATTTAGTTAATTATTTAGAATGAAAACTTATACTTCCTATTGTTATACTACCATCTCTTATTATTATTTTGAATTCTTTCCCTTCAATTAAAGTTGATATTGGTAATTAAGAAATCTAATGTGTTTCATTTGTTTAAGAATTAGATTAAATTTAGAAGTACAGCTTATGATACTAACAGCCTAAATCAATATCATACAAACTCACTTATATCATACCTAAAAAAATATAATTTGAAATTTTATTAATATATATTTTTTTTTTAAATTTGAACTAATATCAATTAATTAATATAAATTTAGATATAGATATAGGTTTGTTTGCTAATTAATATAAAACTTATCTTATTCTTAATTTAGATTTTAAGAAATATATTCTTAAACTGTTTCATAAGTAATAAAATATTTTAATTTATAAATGATAAGTAAAAAATAAAAAAATAAATTGATTGATTTAATTGATCATGCGCGCATCAACTAGAAAATCCAAATTAGTAAAAGATTTAAACCTACCAACAATTCATAATAAGTCAACTCCTAAAAGAAATTTGAGTTCAGGATAAACAAATTTAAAAGCATAATTTTCGAAATGCTCATAATGTGGTGAAGTCTCTATACCAGTTTGTTGTGTTAATTGTTATATATTATTATGCATTAATTGTGGAATTACTCATTCTAAATAATATTAATCTCATAATGTAACAAATTTTAAGGAAGCATTTATTTTACTGTATGATGAAGTTAAAATCTTAGATGATAATATTAAAATTATTAATTAAAACATTAATAAAAAGAACATCAATCTTAAGAATTAGATTAATTGTTAATTATTTGAGGATAACTTATAAAAAATATTATCGTTAAGAAGATAAGTTGAATAATAAATTTCAAATTTTTTCGATAAAATTTATAACCAATATATTTGTATATGGAATAACTTCATAGAATTATGGGGATCAAATAAAACATTTTTGGATAGATTGAATTAATTTTAGTTTAAGATTGAATAATTTTTATAGAATGAACTATAAGATTAATTAACATTAGTTGAATAATTATTTAAAGAGAAATTAATATAATCATCTAAATCCTTATTGAATTAATATGAAAAAAGAGAGTAACTATTATCAAAAGATGAGATTTCAACAATATATCCTCCTAGATTGCTTATTGATTTAAATTGCATAATAAAATAAAATTTGTAGCTTTTTTAAATGGTTTAACTTTTAGATTGGTATGAAGATGCTAAAGAAGAATTATATAGCATAAAAGGATCTGATTGGTAGAGTGTACCTTTAATACCGACTTTTGCAAAAATTATGTATTTGTATGATTTAGAAACATAAGAATATTAAATAGGTGAATTTTAAGATTTAAGACATTAGTAAATACCTTAATTTTTGAAAACAGTATTTTTAAATGATGGAACTGCTTATATAGTTGGTGGATCTGATTCTAAAGGAAATCCAGTTAGATCAATGTTAAAATGTAAAGATGGAGACCTAACAAATTTAGCACCATTACCAAAAGCTAAAAATCCATCTAATGGATTAATTGTTTATGATGAATACATTTATGTTATTGGAGGTCTCAAAATAATTGAAGATAAATTATAATGGACTAAAACTTGTGAGAAATATTCTATTCGATTAAATAAATGGTATAATATTGAACCAATGAATTATCCAAAACCTAATTAATCTATCTATAGATTAAATTAATATATATATGCTATTGGATTTCAATAACATGAATTCATAAATTTTGAAAGATATGACATAAATGAAGAAAAATGGAGTTTAATTACTCTATCTAAAACTTCATTAAATCCATTTTTATTTGGAGGAGGATTTTCTTCTATATAAATTAATTAATTTTAAGCTTTATTATTTGGAGGAAAGTAATGGAGAAGAAAATTCATTGATGATGAAAGAGAATTTTATTAAGATGATGAAATTATTAGAACTGTATTTTGTTATGATTCTATTTAAAACTCTTTTATTAGTTTAGGAGATTGTTTACCAGGAACAGGAGTATCTTATGGAGAATTTTAACCTATCTGTTATAAAGATAAAATATTACATTTTGAAGCTCCTATTTCAAAATAAAGAAAACTACATTAATGGTTATAAATTATTAATGTAGTTTAATTTTAATTTGTAAATCAAGTCTTAGAAACTGAAATCATATAAATTTTAACTCCAGATTGAAATATTTGTAAATATGCATAAACATTTTTATAAAAATTTAATTTACTAAATATGTACAAATTTCTGAGTACTATTGAAAAAATTGATATATTTGGAGTTCCAATAACTCTTCTCACATATAAAAATGAACCAAAGTTTCAGAGTAAAATGGGTGGAATTATTTCTATATCTTTAGCAAGTCTAAGTTTTACATACTTTTTGTATATAATAATTATGTGGATAAATAATGAAATAACTCCTAATGTTAGTTCTAAATAATAAACTACTGGATATGCAGAATTTGAATGGAATGAATCTCTAATTTAATTGGCTTTAGAAGATTTTGGTAGTAAAATTGATCCTTTTAGATAAATAGATAATATAATTACTCCTTTGTTATTTAAAATCTCTGGGAGCACTATCAATGAAGATCCAACACCTTATTTTAGTATGGATAGTAATCCTCTGACTTTCATATTAAAAAATGGTTCTTTAATTCTAAATAATGCTTTTGACGCGGATGAATAACATAAAGAAATGAAATAATATTTATTAGTATTTGCAACTTGTTCTAATAGTTATTCAATACCTGGGAGAATTTGTGCAGATGATGAAACAATTAAAAATTATATATCATAGTCGCATGGATTCATGTTTTTAACAATAAGATTAAATCAATTAAATTATGTAACTAGATAATTAGAGCTTTTTGCTAAATAATATTATTTAGCTTTTAATCCTCAAAGACCAATCTATTCTCAAGTTATGTTGAAATAATAAGAGACTATTATTGATGATGGTGTACTTTTCAAAAATTATTAACATTATTATTTTTTAAATAATTATGAACTCATAAATTAAGAAGTTGATAATTTATTTATGTCAAAGGTTGTATAATTTATGTCCAAAAATAAATATAATTTAGAAATCTTGAATTCTTATTTATTTAGGATAGATAACATTTCAATTGTAGAAGAAGTTACTATGCCAAAATTAGGTTCAATTCTTGCATAAATTGGTTCAATTGTTTAATTAATTTTTATGTTGAAATATGCTGCCATATTTTATAACAATAAATTATTAGAAAATGAATTGTTACATGATATTATTACTATGTATTATCCTGAATTCAAAGAAGTTTCATTGAATGTTTTTAATTAATTTGAAATTATAATAGATGAGAAGGAAAAATTAAAAAATGATATATAAAATATAAAGAAAAAATATTAAGCTTTGCTGCGAGGAGCGAAAGAAAAATGTCGACTTAATAATATACTTTATGAAATTTCAAGAATATAATTTATTTTATAATAGCAATTTGGAAATTAAGCATTATCATTAAGTCATTAATTAGGGGCAAAATTAAATGAAAAATAATTAGAAGAATAGAGTCTAAAAGATTCAAATCGAGCAATTGTTAAACCAGTTGATTCTTTTGGATTTGAGAGACGCTGTTCTTCTGTTGAACCATTAGAAATCTTATTGAAGTAGTAATGAAAAAAGAAGAGTTATTTTTTTAAGTGGAAGTATAATTATTAACTTTTAGAGATAATAAATGTTAACTACTTAATAATTTTATTACATAAAGAAGTTTTCTTTTTAATATTAGTTCTATTGTTCATTTTTTGTATTTCTTTATGAATTATATGAATTAATTAATTTTTGAAACATTTCTAACTAAAAAAACAATTTAGAAATTATAGTGTGATATTTTAAATTATAAAGAAATATATAAATAAATTAATTGAAGTTGGTTTGCTATTATAATTCTAAAAAAAATGATTTTGTTTAAAGATATATATATTTAAAACAAAAACTAAAAAATGAAAATTATTAAAAAAATAAGTAATAATGTTTAGCTACTCTTTGCCCAATTTACCTGATTCTCTAAATTTTTCAAACTTATTAATGCTAACATTAACAGCACCACCCTCAAATTTGAATCCAGAATATTTTAGTTCACTCATGAGCCAGTAAATGAATTCTTTAAAATATTAAGGTATGGACCTGTTGTTCATGTAAAAATATTAAATCGATCTTTAATGGAATGTAAAGTTTTGGTAGAGATGGCTAATATTGAAGCAGCTAAAAATGCCAAAAAATCATTAGATTAGTTATCTTCAAATTTTATCAAATGTTCTTACTATTAAGATGATAAATTAATACCACATGGTTCATTTACTATAGGATCATATGAAACTATTGAAGATACAACTTCAAGTACGTTTAAAAATAGGCATTCCACATCTATAAATGATAGTATTATATTTAATAATAAAATTAGTCATATAAGATGGAGACTCTAAACCATAGAGTGCAACTGTATTACCAATAAGTTAAAAACTTATTCAATCTTAAAAAAATATATAATCAACAAAAACAGTTTGTTTAAATGGTATTTCGGGAAAAGACTTAGATGCATAGAAATTATACAATATCTTTAGCAATTTCGGTAATGTAGATAAAATTATTTTAATAAAGTAATTTTTTTTATATTATTTAAAGTTTAAAGAATTTTGCTTTAATAAAATACTTAAAAGAAGATCAGGCTTGTTTCGTTTATTAGAATTGTCAGAATTTACAATTTTTCGAAAGTTCTTTAACAATTACATTCGCTGCAGATGATTCAATTGAAAAATTAGTTGGTCTAGATACATTATATAGAGAATAAGACTATTATGTTGGATCTGAAAACACTGATAGGTAATTTATAGAAAAATCAATTTTAGATTCAATGCAAATAATAAAATGATTTTATTGGCTCCTAGCCAAGTTCTTCATATCTCTAATCTAAAAAAAATGTCATCCAATGCTGAAACTATGTGGGACATCTTTTCAGAATATGGCGTTGTTGAAGTATTTTACTAAAATAATTAATTAGGCTGTAAAAGTTTTGAACTCATAATTTAAATTTATGTGTTTAATCAAAATGGAAACTTTAAAGCAAGCTTTAGAAGTAATGGCTCTAATGCATAATGAAGAAGTGGATGGAAGAAACATTTAAATTTCATTCACTAAAGCCAAAATTTGATTATAATAAGAAAATATTTTAATTAATTAATTATTATTATATATTAATAATAATTATCATAATTAACAATTTTTTTCTGATTATGATCTTAATTATAATAATATATAATAATTATTATAAAAATTGATTAATTATTATGATGCAAGATCATTTGTAAGGATTACCACAAATAATCCATGACGCATGATTATTTGCTATTAAGCTAAATCTTCAAATCTTTTTTCTCTTTAAATAATTCCTTATATTTCAAATGAATTGCTTAAATTACTTTGATCAAAGCCTTCTTCTATAGTAACAATTGATTCTACAACAGTTGTTAATTTATAATTGGATGATGAAGTATTTCTAAATGTTAATCATTAGAGCCTCTTAAAATCAAAATATCCAAACTTCAAAGATATAAATTCAAAAATTAGAAGAAATAGAAACATCTTATTCCTAATTTTCTAAGCATGATGACACTAATCCTATTCAGTCATAAAAAGAATAAAATAAAAATTCTAAATTACTTAAAATAGAGTAGAAAAAAGTAATCAAGAAAGCAAAGAAATAAAAAAATGAAATTGCTTAAATAGATGAACTTCCTAAAAAGAAGAAAGTGTTTCTTTCAATGATGGACATTAAATAAGCACATTATAAATAGTAAAAATCAAATAATATATTTTAGATTCAAAGCTTAAAGCAAACAAGATAACTAAAAAATTGATGCTGAATTAGTTGATCCTCAAATATGACCATAGTTTATGATATTATTCTTGTATATAATTTTTTACAAATCCATGCAAATATATTTGACTTGATAAAATTACTCATTGCATACTCTCAAAGCAGAATTCATAAATTATATTTTTCTATGAGTGTTCAATTTGCTTTTACAGCCTTTTAGATAAACAAAAACAAAATTGATTACTTATTTTCTGTTAGAATATAATTTATTCCAATAAAATACTCTTCCTTAAATTCTTTTGAAAAACTTGATTCTAGAAATTATTATTAAGTAATATTAGATAAATACTAATCAAGAGAAATAATCAATAATTGAACAATATTCTAAAAATAAGAAATCATATTTAAATTAAGATAACAGGGATTTTGTAATTCTAATAATAATAAAATAAAATTAAGAAATTATATTAATCCATGAAAATTTATTTTTTTTCTTCTACAAAATAACACCACATTTTAATTGATTTGCTTAATTTTGTTAAAGACACATTAACCTAAAATCTTAGAATATGCATTAATAATTTTATTGAATCACTCTGAAAGCTATTTCAACTAATTCTTAGATACTTTTATAATCATAAATTTACCGTTACCAATAAAATAAGAAAGCTTTCTCTATGGAATCTACTTTCAAATAAATTAATTTGCCTTTCATCAAATTACATAAAAGATTTATGACCTATAGATTTTAAATAATTCTTCGATTAAAACTTAAAGATTTTTATAAAATTTTCAGTATCTATAATCTAATATAACTGAAGTGTAATTGTTTATAGCCAGAATTGATGGATTTAATTTAATTGGTATATGGTATATTTGTTATTGAAACTGTTCGAAAATTTTCATTCTTTGTTTTCTTGATTATTTTTTATAAAACTAAGAATCTTATGTATTCTAAATTTATTTTATAATAAAGATAATAGAGTTTTCATTGTGTATCTAAATAAGCTCAAAAATTAATTTCAGCAAATAGTTCATAAACTTTGTTTAGTATTTCTGCTTTGTTAAGATTTGGGAAAAATTAAAATCTTATTGTTAAATGACAAAAAGGAAAAATATTAGCAAATAGTCAATTTCTATAAGCTGAAAAAATATTTGATTCCAATATGCGGATATATCAATCTCATCATTCTTAAAGTTTGAAGAAATTATTTATATTTAATAAATTCAGTTTTTGTAATTTTAAGAAATCTGATTCTATTATTTTTATAGAGAAAATCTTTATTTAATTATTGTTTTATCTTTTTCTTGGAAATAAAATTCTCCTTTTAGAGAAATCATTTATTCATTATAACTATTTTAAAGCATTTGTGTGAATAAAATTAATTCTTTCTTTTTATAATGAATATTTATATAATGAAAATAATAATCAAATTTCTGGTAATTTAATTTAAAATGTTCCTTATGTTTAGTGAATTAATTTATTTATTTTATTAACATTTGAATTTGATTTAAGAAGAATCATATGTTTCATCATAGTTGTATGCATTTTTCTCATTCTATGATTCATTTTAAATTGCTAATTATTCAAATCTAAAACATTCTATAACTTTTGAAACTTTTATTTAATAGGTTTATTAATTTAAGGAAATTGATCATCATTTTCTTCAATATCATCTTTATCTTCTGATAATAAAATAGTATCAACTTTTGATTAAGTACTAAAAAGTTAATTTCCTAAAAGTAAACTATCTTATTTTTCTATTGTATTGTCTCTGGGACTGATTTTCTACTCTCTAGGTGTATTTTACATCATTTAAATAATATAAGTATACTTATCCTTAGCATCTATGTTTTCATTATTGATTTTGAGATACATTTACTTCCTCTAAATTAGTTCTCCTAGTCTAGAAAATAATCCAACTAAGGTTTGAGGAGTTGAAAATTAGCAATTTTACAAATAAGCATTATTTCCAATTAACTAGAATATTTCTGACTTTGGTTTCTTTCTATAAATTATTTAAAGTTGAGGATTATGCATAAGTTAATGAAAAGAATGTAAATTAATCATTTAATTCAATTACTAATTACAATATTTATTTGCATTTAACATTAACTTAGCTAAAATAGAAAATGGGATATCTAATCTCCAGATCTATGAAAATGTTAAAGCGTACTTTTAATAGTTTAAATAAACCAACTAAAGTAATGTTTTCTTATTAGACATCAATTTGATTTTCTCTAATCAATAAAAACAAAGGTCTAAGTTATTACTCACATTCTTCATTGTTCGATTGATAGCAGTTTGAATTTAAGGCTGGAAGTGATTATTTCTGAAATAGCATTAGATTTGATAATTTATTATTGTTTTGATATTATTTTATTCATAAAATGTATTTTGCGTGGTTTCTTTATATTGCTTTGATTTTGGTATTCTCATAATATTAAAATAGGGACTGTACTTTTTATCCAGAATAATAGTGAAATACTATATAGATCCTGCTGAGTCTTATAACTTTGCAATTAACTCTATATGTCTTAGTTTCACAGTTTCTATGATTTGTATTTTAATGGTGCCAATTGATGTGTTTGTGACTTCTCATCCTAATGATGTTATTTCAACTTTACATCAACCAATAAATAAGTACTTTATAAGGGAAGTGTTTATATGTAATATTTTGATTAATTCTTATAGATCTTTATATTGGATTATTATTCATTACCTTTGTGATTTTACCATTTAATTATTTTTATTCTGAAGAAAGAGCATTGAATTATGATAATGATTTTGACTTAGATTTGAGTGAAAAACGTCTATCATCAAAAATAATAAGATCAGCTAAATAAACTGTATATTTTATAGGATTTATTTGTGTCTTATTAATATCAGGACTTGTTTTTAATCCTGAAGTTAATTATAATAATTCTGCGAAATTGGAATGGGTTAAAACAATGTTTGATGTTGATCATTTAGGAGAATAAGCAATTTCATTTTGCATTTCAATTATTTTAACATTTGGTTTTTGTCTATGGGTAATTTATGGATCATATGGATTAACTGCTTTGCCATTTTAATTAATTAAAGGAGCAAGATCTTTAGAAGAAGAGAAATCTTAAGTAGATAATGATTTAGCAAAAATAAGAGAAAAATATAGAACTATTTAAGAAAAATATTAAAAAAATTCATCAAAAATTTCAAAAGGAGATTAAAAAGTATAAATTTAAATTATATTTTTAAGACTTTAACTAATTTAAAAAGAAAAGAAAGGTTTTTAAATTTAAAGAATGAAAAAATAATTGAATTAGAAACATAGACTAAATCTTTATAGACAATTTTTAAAATAATTTCACCATTCAGAATAATAATTGGAATGATTTGTTTATGTTTTTCTGTTTTAATATTTAGTTCTTTAGCTCTTACTACTTATGATAAAGTAATAAACGAATAAATATTTTATAGATAACAAATTCATAATGTGGCTTTTAGTGTGGTTATTTAATCTAAGAAAAAACTTTATTAAATCCCATAGATACTTTATATGTTTATTCTTCATACTATTTTCCATTGGATTATTTATTCTTTTTCATTTTTACCCTTTATATATTTATTTGCACATTATATGGAATTATAAAATGCGGAATAATTTTCTTAAAAGGATTTGAAATAAAAAAAGAATAAACTCAACCATCCTCTTTGTTTATAGTAGCTGCTATTTTAAATATAAGCATTTTGGTAGTTTGTAATTAATTAATGACATTATGTCCATAATATGCAACCTTTGGGAATCAACATTATTATGATATTAGAACAAGATAATAATCCTTATGTACTTTAGAAGCTGTAAGTAAAGTGGAAGCAAAATTTATATGTTAGATGACGAATTTATCTACATTTTACAATAAGTATAAAAACAATAATTACATTTAATAGAATATCTTTAGGATATCCTATGTTTGCCGTAATATTCTTTTTAGCTAATGCTTCATTTTTAGGATTGTCTACTTTTATGATATTTATTTTTATGTGTAAAAAGAAGACTAGTTAAATTGATGTTAGTGAAGATGATGAATTAGAAGATGAGAGTAAATCATTAATTAATATATGAATAAGTATGATATAAACATTTTCATTTTTTTCTAATGCTTGTCATATGAAAGAAGTCTTATAATTTTTTATTAGCATTTCCATAGGTTGATGATAATTACGATTTACTAACTGATTAAGGTTATTCAAATTTTTAATCATTCGAAAACTTAGTATTACATTTAGATCTTGTTGAAATTAAATTAGTGCTATTGTTTGTATTATTTAAGAGTTTTGGACATTTTGAACTTACTCTTAAAATAATTTTATTTTATTAAATAGGTGTTGATTTTAATTATAAATTGGTCATAGAATCTCGAGATAATTCTACACTCTTTTTACTGAAAAGAACATCAAATTAATGTGGAGGACTTGCTTTTTATTAAGTTGATGATCTATTTAAAGTCTTTATCTTTCTATTCATATGATGTAAATGAATAAAGATAGGATCAGATTATAATTGATTAGCTTAAGATTAAGAACAATTTGGTATTTAAGAATCTATTGTAAAGATAAATCTTTTAATTTAATTAGGAGATTATTCTGTTTTACAAGATCTTATAGGTTACAATTTTGTTGTTGGAGATTATGTTGTTAATTATTATTATGTTTTCAATTCTGTTATAGGTGTTGCTTATTCTTCAAATGGTTATCCATTTAAAGGTTGTAATTATTTTATTTTACTTTCAATTACATCCTTTTTCCATTCTTTAGGTTTGAATTCATAACTATTCATGTGCTTCTCCATTAAATCTTATAATTTATATTTTTATTATAAAAGTTTAGCTGAATTTTGTTATACTTAAATATTTTTACATTCAAAGATTGCCTCTTCTATGAAATTTAAAAGAAACTTTAATTATCTTCTTGCAGTTGTTAATGCTATTTCATATCCATCAGTTTTTATTTTTTTCAATAAGTCATTTATATTGAAGTTCTCAACTTAGGTAATAATATTTTGTAAATCATTTATAGAAAAGAACTAAGCTAATAAAGAATCTTGACTAATTGCATCAGCAACTTATTTCAATTCATCTTTATTTAATAGAGAACCTAAAATTTCTTAAACTCCTTATTTTTAGGCTATACGAAGTAAGGTTTTTCTTTTAGCTGGACGATCTTCGAGATGATCATATATTGCATTTAATAATTAATTCGAATTACGAATAACAGGATCTTTTACAACTATTTTAATCTTAAATTGATTTTCCAATTAATCATGAATTGTACTCAGTTTTGAATATAATTTATTATATGTCCATTTTAAATAAAAACTAAAAATTAATTAATTCATACTCTTAATCAAATAATTCAGAAGGACAAGTTTTCAATACTTCTTTTATATTTAATAAAGAATTTATCATTCTAAATAATACATTTGTAAGCATACTGTACACTCTTAATACAAATTATGCATTATTTTCAACTAATCTAATTTATTAATTCTTAGAGACTAATGCTGCTTCTACATTTAATTCCTCTATATTCATATACTAATCGTCTCTCTCAAATTAAATATCATCCATAGTATAGAATTCTAAAGAATTTAAATCTTCTAAAGTTTATTTCAATTTTGCTTTTTAATCTAATAAATCTTCATACCTATTTTTTAATGTCATTTCATTAAATTATAATTTACGATATACTTATATTAAATCATCAATTGATTTCTATAAATCATTATTGTGAAATTTTAAAAAAATCTTCATTCTAGAACTAACACTACTAAATCTAGCTCTATCAATATATTCTTATTCACTATCAGCTATTTACATTCTATTTTTTGGTCTTTATAATTAAAATCTTGCATTTTCCAATATTTCAGGTAATTCAAAGTCTTGTGGATCTTCCATTACAAATATTAAAATAATTTTATCAAAATCATCTAATTCATCCAAAAACTCTGCACATTCCTCTATCTTATTGAATTTTGTAGATATCTCTAAATCAATATCCTAAATTTATTATTCTGTTAGAATTAATTATTCTTATAAATATTTTAATCTTTCTTCTTATTAACATAAACTTTCTAAATTATCTCTAAAATTAATTTATTAATTTATTACTTAACAATTTAATTTTTATATTCATAACTTGCAGTATTTTCAAAAAGGTATTTAATTTACCATTCTTTTTCTTCTTATAAAGCTGTTTTAATCTTTTTATTTTATTTTTTTGCAGCATCAAAAGCTTACTGATTTTAGAACTCCTTGATATAAATTTAAGGCTATTTCTAAGTATACAATTATAACTATTCGATAAGTGTGTTATTGTATTTTTAATTTTTTCTTAATGTGCGACCTATTAATTGAATTTATTGCTATAATGCTTAATTTTATTCCTATTCAGCATCTATTTAATTATTAACCTCATTCAAATTATTTTAATCTATTGCCATGATTTTGTTTTCTTGCAAATCAATTTACTCATGCGATTTTAAATTTAATTTCATGAGATCATTTTGATATCTAATGCTAGCCAATAACGCTTTTAACTTTTAAATTTCTGTTTTTTTGTCATATTCCTAACGAATTTCTTCTTGTTTCATTTCATCTAATAATTCTGCTTTTCTTTTAACAACATACTCATTTATGACCTAATTATAAGTTTGTGTCTACCTCTTTTTTCTTATTCACAAATTATAAATTCAGCAACTCTGCATTAAAAACCGTAGGCATTGATTCTAAGGACTCTCGTCTACTTATATTACTGGTGTAACTTTTACGAATAGAATTCATTTTATTATTAATAAATAATTTCAACTCTTTGGATGTTATACAAATTCTAATTCATTTATTCCAAACATCTCTTTAACCCATTATGTTATTTTATCATCTTACATCTAATAAGAAGTCATATCCTTAACCCAAATTGAAACTTATGTAAATGATCTTTTTTGATTCACTACAACTCCACAGATGAATTCATTGTAAGTACATTAATTTCCTATATAACTTAAAAGTATGTTTTCCCAAACTCGATCAACATTATTTTTGCATCTAAATACAAATCTTCCTCCATTTTAATTAGCCTTGTCTTCCCACATTGGTTGAATTTCTTCTTAAAATAATAATATTTAGCATCCTTCTGGTATTGTTGATGGCTTTGCTATCCATTAATAATACATCCAAAATTATTCTGCTGTCTCAAAATTGCCTAAATTTAAATCATTACAAATATCATACACACTTTATATAGATTATCATTGTAATTATCTTTATCAATCTTTGTTTGTGTTCTTTGTGTTGAAACCCAAAATGTGTATTTACTCTTTAATAACATATTAATTTTAACAATGAATTATAAACTTATTAGATAAACTAAGTCAGCATAAAAAACCCCATCATAAGTTACATAATAAAAAAATCTAGAATAAGTTTACATTAAAAGACTTTAAGAATAGGAGGCCTTTATGCCTAAAGATGTTTATATCTAGAAACATAAGAGTATGCATTAAATTATGAATAATTAATAATAATAACCTTTGAGATATTATTCACATATAAATGAAATTAGATCTATTAAAGAATTCATCTATGTTTCAGAAAAGTTAAAATAAAAAAATATAGAACGAAAAATGCAAGAAAGATTAGAACTTAAAGGCAAACTGAATTAAATCAAGTAAATAGAAATTGGAAAAAAAATATAATATTATATTGAAAGAAAGATAAGATTATTTATAAAGGATAGACAACATGAAGAAAGTATTAACATATATATATTAAGATCCATAAAATAAGTCTTTTGAAGCTTTTTATTAATTTTATAGTAATGATCCTAAATTAAAAAGTTTTGAAAAAGAAAAACTACTTTCTGAATTTAATAGATTATCATCCTAAGTTTTGAATGTTCCTGTTAGTAAATCATAACATACAAAAATTGCAATTTCTCCTCCCCCTAAAGAGATTTATTAAAATGTAATAAATTTATTTATTATCTATATTAGCTGGAAGATAATGAACCTACTTAAAATGAAGAAGAAAATGGAACTAGCAAATTTTTAACTATGAAAGCTGCTAATCGGCTATTAGGATTAATGATGATTGAAAGTAGTAAAGGAAAGAGAACTCCTATTGTGTGGGCTCTTAATAAAAAGAAGGAACTATAAGAATTACTTAATAAACCATTTGGAGGCAAAATGAATTTCACAATGAATGCCTTTAATTGGTTAATAGATAATGCTATTTAAAAAAGTTAAGTCTATATTAATAAAAATTAAATTGTTGAATAAAAAAGTGTAGATCCTAAAATAATTAATTAATAAATTGAAAAAGGTCTTGGAAATATTAAAAGAACTTTAAATTAAAGACCTGCTAGTTCAAATATTGTCAGAAATTGTTAATAATTAAAACATAGAAATGATGTAGCACAAGAATATTGTATTTCAGAACGTGTTAAATAAAATGTCATTTAATAAAAAATGAGAAATCAAAAATTATAGGAATAATCAAAAATTTAGAAAAGCTATCTATCAAACGATTCTTATGTTAATCACTATATTTGAGATTATTATTTAATAATTTTGGAATACTTTTTAAATAATTTTCAATTTAAAATAAAAAACAGATTTAAGATAATAAGTTGAATACTCTTTTTTTATTCATTTGCCATTTATAATTTTATTATTTTAATAATAATGATATTATGCGTAGGTGATATTGTTCCACCCACAACAGAAAAAGCAAAGGTGTTAAGAAGAATAATTTTCTTTATAATTTTTTTACAAATATGTTTAGCTTTAGGAAAACTGTATTATGATTTATGGGCAGGTGTAGCAGAATTTACATCAGCTTTTATATTATGGTATTGTAAAAATTAATCATTAGGTGTGCTTAAGCTTAATTAAATTATTGTAATTGTGTGATTTACATATTCTTTTGTCTAATGAATACTTTTCTGATTGTGGTTAATTTTATGACTGATATCTAAAATAAAGTCAACCTTTAATCTTTATCAAATGATGTTAGAAATTAGTTTTTACTTTAAGCAATCTCTTTAACATTTTATATTGTCTCTGTGTACTTCACTTTTTAAGCATATAAAGAATTTAAAGTAAAAATAAAATTTATTTTAAGGGAATAGCATATGATGTATATGCTGCAACAACTAATGATCAAGTACTTTCAAAATCAAATATAAGATAACAATTAGAAATGCATAGTTTTGAAAATTGAAAATTATTTTTATTAGTTATAATACATTCAAATATCAATATTTATCATTTACTTTTTTACAAAATTAAATTACTAGCAATAAAATTAGCAAACCTTTCAGCATATCTGGCTGGAGGTATGCATGATATGTCATTTGATATAAGTGTTGATTTCAAACCATATTCTAAATATTTTTTAGTACTAAAATTAATTAATATTATAAATGACTTAAAAAGTGTAAGAATATCAATGATGCCTATAAAATAAATCCATTATTTATCCATTGATAATATTCCTCCTTCAAAACTTTCAAATGGATGAGAACTATTGTAAATTTATTAACCATAAATGCTCGACCTATCTGAAATTTATAAATATTGTACTAATATCTCTTTTATGATAACCAACTAATAGACTGTAATCTATTATATTATTATCTTTTAAGAATGAACAATCTTCAATGATTGTTTTTATAAGCAATTTTTAATCTTAAGGCTCTAAATTTAAATTGTCCTTTCTTGACAAAAAATCTAAATCTTTTAAAGCTATAGCATTGTCTTATACTTATTTATTCTAATTATTTTATGTCTACCTTCCATAAAGTGATCCTTTATATAATCAATAACAAAACCTTTTATATCATAGCGAAAATCAATATCCAAACCAGATCGAAAAATGTTTACTATTGTAACTAAATAAATTTTAGTAAATTCAGTTTTGCTTTTAAATATTTTTAATTGATGAAATCCAAATATTCTACTTAGTAAAGTATAAGGATGAGTTAAAACATATTAATAATACTTTGGAAGTAGTTTTCTAAGAAGTCTTGCTTCATTTTCTGATATTGTCTTAATCATGTATTAACCTAAAAATTTAATACATACTATTACAATCTTATGTATAATAGAAAAAGCTACCACTTTTACCAGTTGATCCTAATTCTGTTAAAGAATCTAACTTGCCAAACATCAAATTACCAATCAAATTTTCAGGACCCACTGATCTTTAGAAGTCTTTATTGCTTATCTAAAATCTATATCAAAATTAGAAATACTATCGTCTAATTCTTAAAAAAATTGAAGGTGCATAATCTTTAAATTAATAAGCCTTTCTAAAATCAAAATTATTTGATCTGTTCTATAAAATATCATAAACATATCTATCCGCAAATTCATGTTATAATGGATTTTTTCCATAAAATTCAGGCTATATAGTTGACAATGCTTATTTCATTCCAATCATTAAATTTAAAATCAAATTCCAATTTTCATGTCCAAAATAAACAGATAACTTTTATTTTGCTTTTCTTTTTGGCATATTCAATATAGTATTTTTTTTTCTTTGAGTACTTAATCTTGGAGGACTTTTAAAATAATTTGATTGAATCATTTAAGGTAAATTAATTGCTTATTCAACCATTTATTATAAGTATTCTAATCTATTTAATACTTAATCTAAAGGATGATCATTAGAATTAGATAAACTAAAAGAATTAGTTTGAATATTTGATAAAAAACTAATCTCAAAACTTGGATCATCATCTCCAATTTTAGCTATTTGACTAGTACTAAAATTGCATGGACCATAAACAAAGCTTTCATCTAATATTTACTTTTTATTTCTTTCATAATCAGATAGTAAATTAACACAATTTCTAATTTCATTCTATAGTTAATCAATCATATTTTAAAGAATAAATGCTTTATTTGTCTATGGAAAACTCTATAATAATATTTCATTTTCATTAAAATATTCAAACCAATCAATACTTTCCTACATTAATTCATACTTTTAATAAAATAATGTAAAATCCAACCTTTCACATTCAAATTAATCCCATAGATTACCAATGTATGATTATCTTGGAGTTACTCTTGAACCTGTAATTTAATTCCAAAACATTGTTAAATCTAATAACATTGATTAAAATTCTTTATATTCAATATAACCTTTTCTTGATAAATCTATAAAAGCAAAACTTAATTATGCCTTTTATTATTCACTTCCAAACATAACTAATTACAAATATTTTATGTATTAATCTAAACTGAATACTTTTTTTCCTTCACTAATTACATTGAAAATCCTATCCAACAAAAATGTTGCATGATCCATACCCAATATTCCCATCGTATTTTAAAATTATTTATAGTTTACTTCCCCATTATTAGACATTCCACAGAATCTCTTTTTTATAGATTCCAATTCCTTTTGATTAAACTATTTCATCAGAGTTTTTATTAATAAATTATTATAATATTATATTCACTACTTTTTCTTTTAATCTATATCACTTTTATTACTTGATAAACAATTTTCAAAGACGTACTTCTTAAAAGTGTTTGATCTTGTCACTTTTCCATACACAAAATCTATTAAAAATAATATTAAAAATTAAATTATGTTCACCACAATGACTACAGGTAAACTTAAATTTTTTTAAAAACCATAAACATGTCTTCCCTTTGATAAAAAATAACATCCTATTAATTAAATATTATTAATACCATATATACATAAATATATTATAGTATAAATAGAAAAAAATGCGAATAATTTAAGTTTTGCCACTTTCTAATGTTCATACAAGATATACTCTATTTACCTAAATATACTAAAGATTTCTTACATTAAAAGCCAATTTCCAAGATGCAAGTATGCAAGAATGACTAATTACCATTCTGTTGGATTAAATCCATCTAATACTAATAGTTTGGGATCTATTAATATAAAACTTTGATAAGTTGCCATAACTATAAATAAAATTGGATTAAGTCCTTGGAACAAAAGATTCACAAATTCTGGATATCTATCTTATATTTTTGATGCATTGTAATTTTTGATATCAAATATAACAAATGGTACTAAATAAGTAAACATTGCCCAATTAGAAAAATTAGTCAAATATTTCACCTAATTCCATAAGCATTCTTTTAAATCTCCAGGATAAAATGCCAAAACGCATTAATACATAAACCATGAGTGAATAATGAATTAGCTTAAATGACTTACTGTGACGATTAATTTAATCATAAAATTTTTTATTTCTTAGTTTCTGAAAATTTTAATGAACTTAATTTATTAAAAGTTTATTTAAATTATTTCTTAAATCAAACATGTATTACTTTGATATTTAAACTAAATATTATTATGCAAAATGCAATCTAAATAATTAATTATAAGGGAGCTTTTATACTTTTAAAAGTTTAATAAAAAAGTTTATTCATATTTATTGTTTAACAATAATTTAAACTAAGCAGTTATTAAAAAATATATGTAAGTTTAGATTGTATTTAATTTAAAACTACATAAAAAGGGTATTTGAATTATTAATAAAGTAATATTCATTAGCAGCATAATAAATATGGCTGCAATATTAATTCATGTGAGAATCAAATTTTTCACTTATTACTAATATTCTATATAAGCTCTACAAAAATTAATGAATAAGAATGTTCTTGCCATCAAAATCAAATGTAATCTATTACCTAAATTTCAATTAAATATAGGTAGAGTATTCATTTTTTTCACTTTATTTACTAAGCTTGCTTATTTGAATAATTAAAGTGTTTATTTTTTAATAAAAATTACTCTATAAATCTTCACATTTACATTTAGAGTTTTCATGAAATCTATATGTTAAATTGTTTTTTTAACTTTTAAGGAAACAGAAGGCAATAAATGGCTACAATAAGTATACTAATGCTCTCAATTTTCCAAAAAAAATTTATTCCTGCTTCTGGATTATAAAAAAAGCTTAATATATGTAATAAATGAAATAAAATGCTATTTATACTAATTTTTGAAATAAAATTTTAATTGTAGTTAAAATTTTTATTGTTTTAAATAATAAAATTTCTTGCTTTGTTCAGTTTATGCATGTTTCAAAAATTTTTATAATAGATTTATTAATCTGATTTTGTTTCTAGCATTTATTTTGCTTTATCATTTTTAGAAAATATCAAAGTATTTATTGTTTTTAACAAAAAATATAGAAATTATATTTTTATCTTCAGTTACAGTTAATAATTCATAAATTTAATTACATAAAACTTTTGGTAGTGTCAAGTTGATGGATGTAATTTTAAACTTTTATTGCATTTTAATTAGTTCAACCACGTCCTTATATTAAATTTGCCTTATTAATACCCTCGAATTCATAAGATATTAATATGTTAGATATGAGTATAAGAGTTGTTTTATTCAAAATCTTTTTAAGAAGCTTATGTTAAGTATAAAATGAGCAAATTATTAATGCTCTCTTAAACTTCTGATATTATAGATATAATTTTTGTAACTTGATTGTAAGTAAGGCACTTCTATCTATTTGAATTATAATGATATGTATTATAAAATATCTTTTTATCAGGTCATTTGTCTTTACATATGATTTCAAGGTCATTATTTATAAGCATATTAATAAATTTACAATTATATGCTTCATATATTTATTTTTAAATTAATAAAATAAAAGGGAATTTTTGAAAATAATTTAGAATTATTTATCTCTCTATAGATTAAGTTTATTACTATTTTTTTTTAATATTGAGTATTTATTATTAGAATTTATTACTAAAATTCTCTTAATAAATTTTAAACACTTATATCAGTTTAATGAATAATATAATTTTTTGTAGCTCTATATAAAAATATCTATAATGAAAACCTAAATTTTTTAACAATCAAAGAATTTTGAAAAAAGATCTTGTAATAAGTACATTTTAATTACTGAGTATTAAATTTATTAAAATTTTACAGCAATGCAGCTATTGAAGAATATTGATTAATTCGGAGTTAATTACTAGTAAGAAATAGTTAAAAATGAGAAAGAATTCAAAAGCAGTTTTGGAGGGATGACTTCCTTACTTTTATATGCATTAAGTTTTGCTTATTTCATTTATAAAATATTTCTTTGGCTTAATGGAGATATTTTACCAAGAGTTTCTACTTAAAAATCATCATAAAGTTATGCTGATGTAACATTTGAGTATGATCCAATTATGTTTTCAATAGTTGGAATGAATGGTGATTAATATATTGACCCATTTTCAAAAAGTGAGAATATTATCACTCCATATTTTTCTTATATTAATGATATTGAAATTTCATAGAAATAATCATTTTTGAATTCAGCTATACCTCCTGGAAGAGAAGGTATATCATCAACTGTTTTACCATAAAATTTAACATTAGTACTTAATTAAGAAGGAATAAAAGATTCAACTCCAAAACATTAGAGATAATTGATGATTTTATTTGAAAGATGCAATAGCACAGAATTTGATTATTGTGCAAGTGAAGAAAAATAATAGTAATTTTTTCAATAACCTTTAAATACATTTTTCTTAACTATTTAAATGATGTAATTTAACACAAAAAAAAGGAACTTTGAAATGATTTCAAAACAAATATATTTTATATTAGATGAAATAACGGTGTTATATACATAATTATTATTTTAAATTACTTCGTCATCAACTGATACAGGTTTCTTTTTAGAATCAATAGAAAAATCTAAATATATAAGTGACTTTTAAACCACTTCATAACAATTGCCTTAGAGTAATTTTGAAAAGGTTTTTGGAAATAAATATTTTGCAGCTTTTCTTATAAGCATTGACAGTTTATCTGAAACTTAATAAATAATATACCCAAAGTTAGGAGAAATCTTAGCTGACGTTGGCTCTATTATGTCTACCTTAATGGTGTTAAAAATATTGGTGATTAAAATCAATTAAAAACTGCAAGAAGATACTTTGATAGAAACTGTAATTAGCTATTACTATCCAGAATTTAAACAAATTATAATTTAGAAAAATATTTTTGGTAAAATCAATAATGTAGAGTAAAATGGAAAAATTTTAGAAAATCCAACCTAATTTATTTAATTTTATGAGTAATTAAAAGATAGAACAAAGGAAAAAATTACGCTCACTAATATTATTTATGAAATTTCACGGTTGCAATTTATAGTACAATCTATGTAAAGCAAGTAAGGGATACGCTAAAGTCATTTTGTAGGTATAAAATTAAGATGTATTTCTAATTTTATTTGATTTTTATAGTTTTTGATGGGTTGATAAGTCCTTAAAATATTTAATTTAGACCAGGAGAAAAAAGTTAAGATGAGAAAATTGAAGTTTGCAATCTTCAAGGGAAAGAAACATTTGAGCCTTTGAAATAAATAGAAATATTATAGGATGAAGATTACATGCTACTTTCTAAGATCAATCATTTAAAGAATTCCTAATATGATTACAAACAATAACAAATTCAATTTTATGAAATAAATAATGCTTTAAAATGAGAATTCAATTGATATTATATAAAAAAAGAAATATTTTTGGTTTTTATTTTTATATTCTTATCGAATTTAAATGAATCTTTGATGAAAATACAATATGAAAATTTAGTAATTTAAATTTCGAATTTTTATTTTTAAACAATTTTTAGATACTTTATATATTTTAGTATAATTAGAATGAGAGTAAAATGAATCGAAATGATATTTTAAGATTATCTATCATACATATTATATATAAAATTCACCTAAAAAGGGTATTAATTTTTGAATTCCTTACCAAAAATTAGTTAAATTTCCTACCATCAACTTTTGAAATAATTGAATTATATTATTCTTTGCTAATAATTTAAAAATTAATGTAGAAAAGAATAAAAACTTTATGTTATACACTCTTAATAACCATTTAAAAGGTTATTAACATAAATTTAGATATTTAAATAATTATTAAGATAAATAAACATTCTTAATGAAAAAAATAATTCCTGATTACTCAAAATCTTCTTTTTTTAATGATGGCAGTAGTCTCTTTTGTAATACTCTTACTAGGCATTTTGACTTTACAGAATATGGAATTTTCTAAATGAAACACTTAAATAAATAATCTCCAGTGACTATTTTTATTTCTGACTAAGTGATCAAGATTGTAGAAGAAGTATAGTATTAATATTATTAGAAATGCGAAAAATATATTTTTATTGAAAATGCTTGCATCAAAAAAATATTACATCCAAAAACGTAATAGTTAGGATTTCGCTTAAGTAAAAATGGATAATACGCAGAATTTTATGGAGAATATATTGAAATTTGGTCATCATTAAAAAGATATGTCATTCAAGCAGATTTTTTACTAAAATATAAGTTGGGATAAAAAATTGGAGAAGGATATAGCTCCTCAGTATATTATTGAAATTATAAAGGTTTATAAAGCTTATAACATTTTAAATGGTGAAAAATTTGCAGTGAAAATAGTAGATAAATACATGTTATCTAGAAATGATAATTTAGAAAAATAATATTTGCTTAATGAGTTAAATATTCTTCGTTAGATAAATCATATAAATTTATTAAAATTAGAAGAAATATATGAAAGTGAAGAGAATGTTTACATTGTAACAGAGTTATTAGAAGGAGGAAATCTAAAGAATTCTATATTCAGATTTAGGTTTTCAGAAGAAGAGACAATCATCTTAATGTAATAATTGTATCGTAGTTTGAATTATTTACATTAGATGAAAATTTTTCATCTTAACATTAAATTTGATAACATTTTTTTAAGAGATTAACAAGATCTTACTTCTGTTTGTATCATAAATTTTGGAAAAGCAGAAATTTTGAAATCTAGCATAACAAGTTCTAAAATTCTCAATCATCATAATTCAAATTAACTTTTGTCATTTTATAGAAAAAAAGACATCTATGGAATAAGTATAATAATTCTTAGTATATTTGGCAAAAAACTATATTAGGAAAGTTAAATGGTTGATGAATTATTAATGAAAAATTATGACTGTGTTAGCTATATAGAATACATGAATCTTTTACCACCTCTTTAGCAATTCTTTGAAATTTTATTTACAGAAAAAGGAAGATCTTTAATTGATACATTAACTTGTCAAGACATTTTAAACCTAGAAGTTTTCAAAATAAAATTAGAAAGGAGATAATCAAAAAATGTTTAAGTATTACAAATACAAACTTTTGATTAAAAAAGATAATCTAGATTTTTACCAAGACCATCTCAAAAAGGCCATCTTTAGCTTTCCTAACTTTAAAAAAACTAAAAATTACCAAATATAAATGACTCTAGTGATAATAAGATCAAATAAAATTAATCTTACAGCCCTTAAACAGAAAACTATCTTTCTCATAGGTTGATTAATGAATGCAAAATCAATAATTATACACCAAGATAAAGTATCTTAAGAAAATTATTAAGTCCCAATGTTTGATTTATTATGACTTTGAACATATTGTTGATTTCTCTTTTTGCTATTTATAAAATAGATGATTTCTTTTCATATTTTATCACCTTATAATAATGGACATTATTGTTCATTTTGTTACCCAAAATATTAAATGTATCTCTACTTTCTCAAGTATAATATGAAAATTATAAAAAAAGATAATTATTTACATTTATGCTTCTAAAAAATAAGCAATCTCCTTAACACTTTGACATTCAAAAATCAATTTTATCTACTGATTCTTAATTTTGGGTATCAAATGTTAATTTTTAATCAATATCTACATCTTTTTTAACTGTAAAAAGCAAGGAAATAATGAAGGAGAAAAATATTTAAATTGGAGTATAGCATATTAGATATTCTAAAAATGTAGATTTTATGTTCTATTTAGAAATTTATATGCTTTACAAATGCATTTTTAACGATTCTAAGGAATAAGAAATAGGAAATAATAGGAATATAATTGCAAAAAATAGAAAACAAAATTGAGGTTTATGGACAAATATAAAATTGGATTGGTATATTAATGAAAGAATGTATCTCATTAGACTTTATTTCTAACTATAATATTGTTTAATTAATTGGTAGTGGATCTACAGCTAATGTAATAACTATTTTTAGTTTAAGGTTTATTAAGTTCGATCTAAAATAGATGGTTTAGATTGTGCAATAAAAGTGTTTGATAAAGAATAATTTGATTAGGATTATTCTATAAAACAATCCATCTTATTTGAAATATAATATTTAAAACTATTAAGTCATCCAAATATCGTTAAATATTTAGGGGTATATGAGTCAAATACATAAATTATAATAATCTTAGAGTATTTGGCAGGAGGAGATCTCAAAAGTAATTTAGAAGACAAACAGATTGGTGAAGATTAAATTAAAATTATCATGAAATCTATTTTAGGTGGTATTGAATAAATGCATAAACTTGGTATATTTCATAGAGATATTAAAAAATGCAACATAATGCTTAGAAATTAAAATAGTTATGATTCAATATGTCTAATTGATTTTGGTTTAGCTGAAAAAGCAAATCAGGAAAATAACTATTTATTTAAATATTGTGGCACTCCTGGTTGTGTTGCTCCTGAAATCTTAAGAAAATAAAAATATGGATTAAAAGTGGACATCTATAGTGTAGGCATTTTATGCTATTAATTGATGTTTCAAAAAGATCCTTTTAAATCAAATACAACTAAAGAAATAATAGTAAAGAATTTCTTAGGGAATATTGATCTACCAATGACAACATCCATATCAAAAAATGGAATTAATTTCTTAATAGGATTACTTTAAATAGATCCAAAAATTAGATTTTCAGCAACTTAGGCTTTGAACCACTCTTTTCTATAGGATAAAATTACACTTAGTCGTAATAACAATGTTTCTTATAAAAAAAAGGAATCCATAAAATTAAAGCCTATAATTTATCATAATAGTAGGAATATATCTCCTTATAACATATCTAAAACATCGCCTTGTAAATTTTATCTTAAAACTTAAAGGAGTACAAGCTCTAAATATGACAAACTTTAAAATGAAAGCACAAAAATAGTGTCAAAATCTTTTTTATTAAAAAATTATTAAAAAATGAATACAAAATGATTTTACTGCATTTTGATCAAATATGAATTTAATATTTATAAAAATTATGTAACTTAAATTTTCATTTTTTTATTTGAAAAGATATTTATAAGAAATTTAGTCATTAACTATAATATTTATTTTTATATTAATGTTAAGAGTTATGTATTGAAATATGATTATTAATATAAGAAAACAACTATAGGATCTATCGTATAGTGGTTAGTACCTGAGGCTTTAACCCTCAAGACCTTGGTTCGAATCCAAGTAGGTCCTTTTTTTTAAATAATATTTATTTATATTTTTATTATATTTATCTAATATTGTTCTCTTAGAATTTGTTTAAGATAATCAATTTTAGTAAATACTCAGAGATTATTAGAATTTTAAAAATTAGAATTGGATTGCAAAATATTTAACAATATGAATAAAATTTATCTTTGTTTAAAATTCAATTTAATTATGAAAGGATCTATCGAGTGGTTAGTACATGATACCTTTAACCCTCAAGACCTTGGTTCGAATCCAAGTAGATCCTTTTTTTTAAATAATATTTATTTATATTTTTATTGTGTTTATCTAAATTTTTTTAAGATAATCATTTTTTATATTGTTTAAATAAAAAATCAGGGGTGATTAAAAATTAGTTAAGATTTACTTTTATTTAGATTTTTTTAGAACTTATCATATAGTGATTCGGTACGTGAGTCTTTAATCCTCAACCTATATTCATTACTAAATATTTTTATTTTTACTTTTTGAATTAATTATTATATTCTTATAATCATGAAAATTAGTAATCAACATAATCTTTAGATCCTAATTACCTAATGATTTGAATCTAAATTATTTTAAAATAAAAAAGATACACTTAATCATCTTTTTAATATCGATGCGGATATATAAATTATTATAGAATAATTTTATTAAAATAGCTTTAGTGTTTTATTTTACAATTTTATTTTTTTTTAATGTAATTTTAAAATTAATCTTTGTTAATTTTGAAGGAATAAATAATTTTAGTAAAAAATTAAGTTATTCCATAATCTATCATGATATATTCTAGTCTCAAACAAAATTAGAAATTTAAGACTTATTTTTAAATATATTGAAAATGAGATCATTTTATTAATTTAAAAAATAATATTTTTCTTAAATAAAGTAAATGTAGTTGTTCTATTATAAACAAATTTTAATTTTATAAATGAAAGTTTGTAGATAAAAATTATTATGTTTTGTTTTCAAAAATTTTTTCAGCATATTATAAGAAATCCAAATTTTTATATAAAAATTAATGTCTATATTTGATCAGAATTAAGACCCTTTATAAAGCCCTCATATAGCTAATTCTTTGATTCTGGTAAGTAAAAGAAATCTTCACAATGAGGATGATGAATTTTTGACGAATTTTAAAACCAAACAATCTTAATTTAATATGCTAGAAAAAATAAAGATTTCTCATGATGCGAGTGAATAAAGCATTGCTTCTTAAAATGATTCTGATGATTTTAATAATTAATAAGGATTTAAAAATAGGATTTGGAAAGAGAGAGCACTTAATATAATAGTTCTTGTTGCCCGGTTCGTAACTTACCTATTAACTAATTCTGACAAATTTAAGCTGAGATATTTGGATCATAGACAATTTAAAGTGATTGGAGATAAAGCTGCTGATTTTAATTTTTATTTAACAAATAAATTGATAAGAGCTAGGGAAAAAGAAGGATCATGGGTTATTAATTAATACTATAATAGTTAGCATTTTAAACAAAAATAAAAATGTACATAAATTTTTTGAGTATTTTTTCTTCGATTATTAGACCAATAAAACCAGATAATTTATTAAAATTATATTGGGATGTTGTGGTATTTCTTATTCTTTTAATCAATTTATTATATATTCCACTTAAGATCTCATTTGATATAACAGTGGTTGATGGAGTAGATTATTTCTTAGATACTCTACCTTAATATGTATTTGTGTTTGAAATTTTATTGAATTTTAATGTTGCATATTATTCAAGAGGTGTGCTTGTTTTGAATAGAGGATAAATTTTTAAACATTATTTAAAAGGAAAATTTATTTTAGATTTTATAGTTATAATTCCATTTATGATTGGTCGATAAAATATTCCTTATATAGAATTTGTGTTATTATTTAGAGTTTCAAGAGTAAAAATATATAGTAAGTATTAAGGTTATGCATATTTTCGAGAATATAGTTGAGACTCTTAATTTAAGAGTTAACTTTGCATCTGCAGTAGATATTATATCACTTTTGTCTACATTTTTATTTGCATCTCATATAATAGCTTGTTTTTGGCATTTTATTGCTATTTAAGAATAAGAGTTTGAAACTAAAACTTGGATATAGAGAGCCTAATTATAAGATGAAAATTGGCAGGCTCGTTATATTACTAGTTTTTATTGGGCATGTATCACAACTTTAACAATAGGATATGGAGATATTATACCTGTAATATTTTAAATCATTTTAGGTTACAAAATATGAATAAATTTTTGTTATTTTTGTTACATTATTGAGTTCAATAATATTTGGTTATACTATTTCAAGTATAGGATCTATTTTTGCTCAAATGAGTGAGAATAAAAACTATCTTAGAGATAGAATGACTATGATTGACTCGTTTATTAAAAAAAGAGGATTAAACAAGGATTTATAAGTTAAAGTAAAAAAGTTTTTTGAATATTACCTTAAATAAGAAAGAGATACAGAATCAGAATGTGAAAAATTAATGATACATCTATCAGGAAATCTCAACAAAGAAGTTAAAATAGATTTTTATAAAAATTTATTATAGAATTCTAAATTAATTAGATAAAACTTTTCTTAATAATTTATTGAAAAATTATGTATTTTAGTTAAAGAGTAAACCTTTGTACCAGAGGAAATCATTTCAATTCAAGGGTAATATATACATCATTAGTAGATAAAAAGTCGATCGAATCTACTTTATCCTTAAAGGGGAGGTAGAAGCATATATTAGCAATAATAAAATTATTAAAGTATATCCAAAAAATTAAGCTATTGATGAAAAATCATTCATTTCTTAACATCCCGCCTAATTTTCAACCAGAGCTGTAAAGTTTTCTAAATTGGCTTATATTACATATGATGATCTTTTAGAACTGTTAAAGTATAATCAAAAAGATAGAGAACATTTTTATTATGTAAAACATTAGATAGAATTCAATGGTAGAGTTAAAATGGGAGGATGTGAATTATGTCGTTAAAATCATACTTTTACTGAATGTCCTTTTGTATTCTATACTCCTAATTCTCTTAGATTATTTAAGAAAAATGATCATGATGAAAAATAAAAAAGAAAATTTTTCACTAGATTGAAAATGAATGAAAAAAATCATAATGTAATGTAAATTAATTATTAATTAATAGAACACTTTTGGTCAATTGAGAAATCTCTAATCTTTAGTTTTTAATTTTTGTGTAACTTAAGGTTATTTCAATGAAATTGGACCTAATTCTGAATTTATTATCGCAAATAAATTTCATATGTAATAAGATTCTGCTTTAGATGATCAGGAAGCAAGTGAATCAAACTCATAATTAGAATCAGATAAAAAAATAAGTTCATCGAATCAAATATAATATAAACGAGAATCAAAAAGAAAAGAATCAGATATTAATAATAATAAAGATGAAAAGTCAAGGAGATCTAAAAAAAGGCTAACTAAAATTTCTATATAAAAAAATAATTAATACAAAAATTATGGATCATAAGAAAGAGATTCTACTCCTTTAGAAAAAAAAAATAAATTCAGTGTTAAAAGAGGAACATTGATTATAAATCAAACTAAAATGGACTAAAGTCAAAAAATGGAAGAGGAACTAAATTAATTTTAATCTTCTTAACCTTTAAGTTTATAATAATAATAATCATAACAAATTTAACAATAATAATAATTATAATCTTATTCTTCAGAATAATCGAAACCATTTGATATAAATTAAGTTTTATTGATTGAAATCGAAATTTCTAAATTAATGGCGTCTAAAGAATGTAATATAGATTCTTAAACCGATATGGAGTTTTATGATATTGGATTTAATTTAGAATAAGTAGTAGCTAAATTAAAAAAAGCTAAGAAAATTCCCATAAAATTAAAAAGAAGAAAGATGAGAAAATCGTTAGCACGCTCTTAATCCATTCACCATATAAGCCAAACAAAATCTTGAATATAACTTAATAAAATCTAAATAAATCACATTAATTTTAATTCATTTTTAAAAGAGATATCAGAAAATAAATCTGTATTTTGTGATATATGATCAAGTTTAATTTTTTTTTTATTTAAAATAAAATCTTCTGCTTAGAGTTCAATATCTTATGCTTAAAAGATGTCTATTGGTTTGCAAGGGCAATCAATAATATCTTTTTTATTCTGATATTATTATGACATGCAAAAATAATGATACCATAATTCGCAATTTTCACATTAATAAAAAGCCCCATTTTTATCACAAATTTTACAAATTTTCGTTTTGTATATTTCTGCCATTTTATCTACACTTAAATTATTAAATTTAGCTTTCGTGAAGCAATCAATGTGATAAAAATAGTGGTTATCATCAATTATTTTACTATTTTATTATTTTAAACAATTATTATTTTAACAGATAAAGCAAGCCTATCCAAAAGGTTGTTTTATTGTTATTTATGGCGTTAATTATTCAATTTTACTATCTTCAAAAAATGACTAATTTTAAAGTGATTTACAATTGTCCTGTTTAGTACTTATGTCTTAATTTTAGGTTTCAACTCTTCTTTTTATTTTGATCTAAATTAACTGCTTATTAGGTTTAATGTTTTAATCCTATTAGTTAATTTCTTTTTAAAGCTAAAATTCTTCTAAAATGTCAATTGCGGCTTATTTAATGATCTATTCTAATCTTAAAAGTTGTCGATTATTTTAGTCTAAATTGATTGAAACTTCAAAAAGACCTAAAATATATTCAATTTTGATTTTACAATTAAGAAAAATTTTAGAGAGTTCTTAAAATTATCTTTAAATTTGATCAACTAAATTCATAATAAATTTATTGTTTAAATTCCAAATATAAAACTTAAATTTTTGGATATTAATTCTATGAGTTTTAAGAATAGTATTTATTTATAAATTAAATATAATTGAAAGTGAAGAGGTAAATGATTGATGTTTATAATTATAAGAAGATGGTATTTTATAAAAAGGAATAATAATTTCAGATAAGTATTAATTTAAATATTTTAAAATGACAGAGTAATTAAATATAGTAATATTTTTTTTAGGGAAAAGGAAACAAAAACAGTGCCTTTGGATGAGAATGATATAAATTTATTAAAGAAGTATGGAATGGGACCTTATGCAGAAAAGATAAAAGAATTAGAGGAAGAAAATAAAAATTGTGTGACATAAATAAATAAAATGGTAGGAATAAAAGAGAGTGATACAGGATTAAGTATTCCAAGTACATGGGATTTGGTGGCTGATTAAAAATTAGCAGGAGTAACAATTTGATTGTGAAATAAAGGAACATCCTTTAACAGTAGCAAGATGCACAAAAATATTCAAATCAAATTTATAGTAAAAGGATTTGTATATGATCACAATAAAACATATTGCTAAGTATGTAGTTGGATTAGGAGAGAAAGTAGCACCTACAGATATAGAAGAAGGAATGAGAGTAGGAGTTGAAAGATAGAAATATGCAATCTAATTGCCTTTGCCACCAAAGATAGATCCTTCAGTAACAATGATGACAGTTGAGGATAAACCAGATGTGACATATAATGACATAGGAGGATGCAAAGAATAATTAAAAAAATTAAGGGAAGTAGTTGAAATGCCTTTGTTAAATCCAGAAAAGTTCATAACTTTGGGAATTGACCCACCAAAAGGTGTTTTAATGTATGGACCACCTGGAACTGGAAAAACATTAACAGCAAGAGCTGTTGCAAATAGAACCGAAGTATTTATAGAATTATAAGTAGGCATGTTTTATTCGAGTGATAGGATCAGAGTTAGTTTAAAAATATGTAGGAGAAGGAGCTAGAATGGTTAGAGAATTATTTTAAATGGCAAGGACAAAGAAGGCTTGTATAATATTTTTTGATGAAATTGATGCAATTGGAGGAGCTAGACATGATGATGGAAATGATAATGATGTTTAAAGAACTATGCTTGAGATAGTTAATTAATTGGATGGATTTGATTCCAGAGGAAATATTAAAGTATTGATGGCAACCAATAGACCAGATACTTTAGATCCAGCACTTTTAAGACCTGGAAGATTAGACAGAAAAGTCGAGTTTGCATTACCTGATTTAGAAGGTAGAGCAGGTATTTTTAAAATTCATGCAAGAACTATGAGCATGGAAAAAAATATTAGATATGAATTATTAGCTAGGTATTTATATATTGTTATTATTTAGATTGTGTCCAAATACAACTGGGGCTGATATCAGAAGTGTTTGTACTGAAGCAGGAATGTTTGCTATTAGAGCAAGAAGAAAGGCTATTAGCGAAAAGGATTTATTAGAAGCTATAGAAAAAGTTATTAAAGGTTACTAAAAGTTCTCAGCAACTTAAAAATATATGGTATACAATTGATTAAAATATTCACAAATAATAATAAATTATGAAAGCCTTTACCCTAATCTATTATATTGTGCCATAAGATAATGACGATGTTGAAATACCTAATGCATTTGGGTAATTAGATCTTTTTATTTATAGAATAGGTAAACAAATAGATTAAGTGACCCTTAAAGATATTAAGAGTAGTTTTCCACTTTAAGGAGAATATATCTTCAGGTTCAGATATAAAACTAGCCATAATACAGTATGGCTTGATTTACCTACAGATACATCACAAATTCCTTTATTCAATAATCGCATATTACTTAAAGCAACAAGGATTAGTTGGGAAAGTCCAAATAATTAAAATCAATAAACATAGGGATAACAACAAGTGAATAGTACTGCACAATAGCAGAGTCAAAATTAGAGTACTACTTAACAAGTGTTTGCTTAATTTTAGTAGCCATAGCAGAATCAACAACAAGTATAAATGCAATAATAGTCTTAAAACTAAAATTTAATTGATTTTTGAATATTGATTGTTGTGTTATTGAATATAATATATATGTATTGCTATATCAAGTCCAATATCTTTAACTTGGTTCTCTTGGGAATTTCATTTCTTCAATGCAGACAATAACATCATCATAAATTGAGTTATTAATAAAAGGCAAATTTTATAATGCTGGTCCTTGTCTGACTCTAGCATATTTGTCATATACTGAACCATGGCAAATGCATACCCAACCCTAAAAAAATATATGAAGATTTTACATTATAAGCACCTAAATAGGGAATAGGAATGCATCCCAAATGTGTACATAATGCACTTACAACCAAAACTTTAGTATTTCCACAATTAGTAAGGACAACTTCAGAACTATATAATAAAATGGGAGAATATACCTTGGATCTAAAATGGTTTCTTTAGGTAAATTATCTTCATCTTTGATTTCTTATTATGTTAATCTTCTAATGAATACTGGTGTACCATTCCATACAATTTACATGACTTCACCAGGTGGTAAATCTCCGATACTATGCATTAATTGATAATTATTACTCCATTTCAAGATATGTGTCTCTATCATATCTCTTCCAACCATCTAATCTACCAATAAGACCAACTGCAAACAATCTTGCAAAGGAAAGAAGTCCACCATAATAGACAGCATTCAATGCATAAATTTATGTTCTTTTAATTTCAGTCTCATGTTCATTATGGACTCTAAATTTAATATTTATATTATTATTACCTATTTTCATCAAACCAATTATCCATTTAAACTTTGAAATCAATATGATCTCCAAAATTTCCTGGTCTTGCAGATGTTGTGAAGAATTGTGGTGCTTCAGATACTTACACTCCCTTATATAACTTCTAGTTGACTCTGCTATTATATTCTGAAACTAGACCAAAGTGAGCTCTGCCTATAAATGATCTACGGAATGCTCCACTTATCATTTTAAATCTTTTTTTATATAATTTATTAATAAATAGTTATTAACCTCATATTTTCATCTCTTGAATTGATTGTCTTATAGTAATCAAATTACTTTTAGTTATTTGTTATGGAGTAGCTTATAATATTTTAAATATTTAAGCCTTTTTGGTAAATACTTGAAAATTATTGTTATTTTCAATAATCAATCTAAGTAAACTATAATAAAATGTAAGTTATTCTAAAACATAAACCATAGTTTCTTCTTACAATTATAATTATTAAGATTCACTTACACCTGCTAATTTATTATTACATTTATTGAATAAATCTCTTATACATCTTTAAAGTAGAGTACTGAATAATAGATAAAATTCATAACTCTCGTTAACTGATTTAAAATTATCATAAATCTTTTAAAAACATCTATCTTTAAGTAGAGATTGTTTTAATGAGTGATTTCCCTCAATCATTTAATACTATAGAAATAAATATAACAGAATACTTATTTATGGTGAAATTCTTTTGAAAGTTAATATAATTAATTGACTTGACTAGTGTATTTACCAACAGATTCTATATAGGTATCAAATTAATAGAGTTGAAATACATTATTTTTTTTATCAACAACTTCTCTCAACAAAATAGTTTTAAAAAACATATTTTTAGTAATTAAGAATTTAAGTTTGATTTACTAATCTTGATTAAATACAATTTGTTTTTCTAAAATTCTTAGAATTCTAAACATTAATTCAACAAATTAGAATTAAGCTTAAATCACCTCATCATTTTAAGTCATAAATCTTACACTCTCTCTACTCTTTAATGCTGATTATGGCATAGCAGTTTAAGCTACTTAATTAATTATCTTTCTTTTTGGTTAATATTCTGTAGATCTATAAGGAGATCTATAATCTTAATTCTATGTTGATGAACTTCTATCAGCTATTGGTCTAGGTACAGTCATAGTATGTCTTCTGTAAAATATTGGATGATGTTCTAAATCACTGCAACTAAATCTCTTTGCTTCATCTACACATAAACATTTTAAAATAAACTCTATTGTTTCTTTAGACACAGGAATCTATTAAGGAAATGCTGGATTTGTTCTTAACATTATCTAAGCTAAATCTTTTTCGTTTTATGCTTAAAATGGTACTTGTCCATATAACATCTCATAAAATATCACTCCTAAACTCCAAATATCAGTCTTCTCAGAATACACATTTTTTATCATTGTTTATGGACTCATATATAATGCTGTACCAACATTATAATATATTGTTTCTGGAGGTGCATTCATCATTTTAGAAAATCCATAATCTGCTATCTTTGGAATCCCATTTCTTATCAATATATTTATTGGTTTTAAATCTCTATGTATTACTCCCTTACCTACCTACTCTTTAAAACCATTTACTATATGTTTCATAATCTTTATTGCCTCTATTTCCTCTATTCTCTACTTCTTTTTTATTAACTATCCCAAATCACCTAATATGATTTAATCCTATTATTACCTTAATTACAATACTCTGTTATTATGTATGTGCATTATGGCTTATGATAATAATCATACATTTTAACCACATTCTCACAATTCATCAAAGATAATGCTCTTATTTCCTGATTCAACAAAAATTCTTCTACTTCATTTGTTATCTTACTTCTATCTATTATCTATCTATTAAATCAAATCATTTTACTTTTATCGCAACAGTCTCATTAGTATTTTCATTCTTTCCCTTATATACTGAACTGCTAAAACCAGATCCTATTTAATCATTCGCACTATAACTGTAATGTTCAACTTATATCAATTTTCCAGATGAAAACGCTGTTCCTGCTACTTGCGCTTATTTCATATTTGATTTAATTAATTTCTCTGTATTCTAAATTTTATATCAATTTCTAATCAATCACCAAAATATACTTTATTATTTATTATTTCACATTCTGCTCATTTCATATAACCATTTCTTATTATTATTTCAACATATTTTCTATTATCCTTCTTATACTTTAGATAAATCTAATATATCTACAACATTTATATTTTAAACATGATTAAAATTCTTGACTAAATCAAAACTTTAACTTTAGAATTAGAAATTAAATTTTAAACTTTTATAATGTATTTTATCTTTTTTTCCCAAAAACTTTGACATCAATTAAAGTTATAACTCTTAGCTGCTACTTCATCATTTTTTGTTTTTTAAGAATAGTATTTCTGATTTATTAAAGTTCCTATCTTGATATTAGAATAATTGATGAAATATTAATCCAGTTTCATAAATTATTTATTGATTCTTAGCTCATTTGTTAACGATTTCAAGTATATAATTTAAAATAAAATTTCTCGAGTTAACTTATTACATAATTAGAATGGTAATTGAAAATCATGATAATGATTTAATAGATTTAGGAGCCTTAGATTAATCCTTAGTTGGGACCTGTTATTGCAAAATAATTGTAAATTATTATTAAATAACCTATTGATGGTAAAAATTAAAATATATAGCATTAGGAGTACATGTGATATTTAATGAACAAGATGTTTTTGATATTTAAGCAGATATCGAAGGTCCAGGTAATTAAAATAGTAAAAGTTTTAGTTGATACTCCGTTTTAAGGAGGTATTTTTAGATGCAAATTAATTTTACCACCTTAGTTTCCATAAGTAGCACCAAAAGGTATTATATACTAATATTTTAGGATTGTTTAATACTAAAATATTTCATCCAAATGTATCAGAAAAAGGAGAAATATGTGTTAATACATTAAAAAAAGATTGGAATCCTCTTTAATGGTCGTTAAAGAATATTTTTGAAGTAATCAAATGTCTTTTGATTGTCCCATTCCCTGAAAGTTCATTAAATGAAGAAGCAGGCAAACTCTTCATGGAAAATTATGATGAATATTTTAAAAGAGCAAAATTACTTACAGGCATCTATGCTATTAAATAAGATGGAAATGTTTTAAAAGGAAATAATTAAGTAAAAAACATAAAATATATTAAAGAATGTTAATGATGATGCTGATAAGAAAAATAAATTAACATAGACACAACAAAAAAAAGAAAACGATCAAAAAAAATGGCTGAAAAGAATATGATTACTAATAATTATTTAAAAAGTCATTTATATATACATAATCCCTGTATTTGTTTTATTTTTATAATACCTATTTATTATAAATAATCTTTAGAATTTAGCTTTTTTAAAACTTTATCGTTAAGATTGATTCAGCAAATCTACCTATTTGACTTAAATTGTGATTAGAAATCAAATAATTCTCAATACCTGGATTATTATCTTCTAAACATACTTCTAATAATTAACTAATTATTTGAAAGTAGTTTTATAAGTTTCATTAACTAATAAAAAAAAAATTTAGTATTAATGCCAAGAAAATGTTGATCAACAATATATAATTATAATTAGTATTTCACTTTATTCTTTCATAAAGCTTCTAATGTATTATTTTTCCTTGCACCAATAATTATATTATTATCATATCATTCATTTACCTAAGAATCTAATCTCAGTACTTGATTTTTATTCATAACTTAACTAGGATTTTCTATGATAGTAGATTTGATTTTCAAAAATTTATTGATTTACCTCTATTATATAAAATGGAAGTCCACATTAAGGTAATCTTTAACTTATTCTTATGTATAATAATTAAATATTTCTTTTGACTCTTTTGAGTTATTTTAATTATTCAAAAGAGAAAACTATTCTACATTTTGTTAAATACAAAAAAACCCAGGCAAAATATGTTAAATTCTAGTCTTTCATAGTCTTTTTATATTTGCAAACAAAATACTACATTTTGTTATCATTTTTAGATTAAATTATAAAAATAAATAGTTTTAATTTATATAAAAAATATAAAATCTGAATTTCTATCTAGAATTATAGATTATATTTAATAATTGTATAAACTTTTCCTTTTAAAATATAAATTTGAAAGTAAATAATTAATCTTAATTAAATATCTTGTATTTATCTAATAAACTTAAGTGAAAAAGAAAATTGTAGAAAATATTTTTTTTGAATACAAAATAAATAAAATATTATTTTCATTATTATTAATTAATATTCCTTGAGTATGATCTACATAAATACATATTTTAAAAAGGGATTGAAGCTTCTTTAATTATAATTAAAAATTTATAATAAATCATTCTCAGAATTATTATTCTGTAATAAAATTTAAAATATATGAAAAAGTCAAATAATTAGTACCACTTACTATAAAACAAAATTAATTATCAAAGATCGGCAACAATAATATCTGATGCAATTTCTATAAGTTCATCTTGTTTCAAATTAGGATAATAATTCAAAATAATTTCGATTAGAGTAGCAAAATCATATTCTTTTTTAATGTTCATTTGCCTTGCAAACTTCTTTAAAAATGTAGTTAGATTTAGTTTATAAAATTCGTTTTCATATTTCGATATTTCTTTTTCAATAATATTCCAATCTATTATTTTAATCTCAGTATGACATTCCTTTTTATTTTGATTCTTAGGAAATGAGAGAGGTTTTCTATAAAGCAATTCTTTATACTTTTAATAATTGCTTGTAGGAATTCTTCTAAAAAAGAATGAAGGCTTATTTTAACTTTGCCTATCAGTATAACATCCTTAACGAGGAGTATGCATTTTAGTCTAAATTGGAGATATTGCTGACTTATCATCCATTATATTTAATGATAACCTGTGATTCAAAACCATATTACAAATAATTTATCTTCCACCTAAATTTCGTTAATCAGGTTTAAACATTTTAATTTATTTTCACTTAAAAATAATAAATAAAAATTTATGTTCAAAATAATATATTTCTTTCAAATAACTTTCAATAAACATATTTCAAAGCAAATCTCAAAACAATCAGATGTTAAATTCTTTTTGTCGAGGAGTTTATACAATTCAATAACATTATCTCGAATAAGTGTTTCATTTTGAATAAAAAGGATTAATAAATTCTCTATATTATTTTTTTTACAAGAGAAAAAATAACTGCAGCTAAAAATATAATAATCGAAATAATTTCTAAAAAATATCAATTGTAATTCAAATTCCTTAATTTAAGCATAAAATAAATAATTTATTTTTTTTAAATTGATGGAATATTATCATTAATAATCTAAAAGTAATTTAATATTAGAAACAAGTCATGAATTATTGGAATATTTAATAAAATTTATTTCATTTATCATGAAAATGCGAATTATAAAATTTAATTTAAGGCCATTAACTTATCGGTCAAATATTTTCTATATAAAGGTAATTGATTGTAGATGATTATTTTCATTTTCCATTCCTTTTGAAATGATTAATATTATAAGAATTATATAAAATTGAGAAATCTGATTGAAAGAATAAATTCAAGTTTCAGTCAATTATCCGTTAATTGCTTATTCAGAGAGAATAGAACATAATAATTTATAGTTTGATTAGATAATAAAATTAAAGCAGAAAAAACTTCTTGAAGTGTTCTAAAGAAATAATTTTGTGATTAAATGACTCCTTAACAAATATTTTAATATTAAAAAGAGGTAATACTTGCTCTTAAATATTTAAGAAGTATTATCTATTATTTTTTTTTTTAACAAACAAATGAGATAAAATAACTATAATAATTCTCATCCAAACAATCTTCAAGATTTTCAAAATGGATTTAAAAGTTTATGTTCAAATGAAAGAATTTTAGACAAACATTTAACACTTTGTTAAGGTGTGTGTTTTAATTATTGATCAGTATTTAGAATCTTAAATTATGTTCCATCTTCTGTATTGGTAATATATTTATAATATTCTTCTTACAAAGTTTAACTATCCATTTTAATATTTCTGACTGGATCGAGTGATTTACAATTTCTTTTTCTATAACTATCAATCATTTGTTTTTTTTTCTCATTTTTTTCATTTGTTATTATGTAATCAATGAATTTTGGGCTTATTGCTTAATTATTTAATCTTCTTAAAAGATCATCGGGACTTGATTACTTCTCATATTTTTAAAAATAAAATCTTCTCATTCTTAGATATTGTTAATATTAATAATAATTTAAATTTATTATTAAATTCAGGAGAACATTTATATAAAATATTTTAACAATTAGGATGTAATTGAAATTTTATTTTAAGAATTTATGACAATCTTATCTTGAATTTATAGCCAACAATTCTAATCTCGAAAATGTTTTATAAAAATATAATTAAATGAATAAATTTAATTAATTATATTTTTATGAAAACAAAAATGAAGAGTTTTTACTTAAAACAATTATCCAGATCCATATTTTGAATATAAAATGAATCTTTACATAAAATGGATTAATCAACAATTTCAAAGCCTTTAGAGTTTCAAATGAAGTGATGATGTGAATTAGAGTTAATAAAAAATAATAGAAAATAAATAAATTTTTTTATCTTGATTGCTATTGACAAATACAATAAAATTCAATTCATAAAAAAAATGGCAAATGTGTTATTTATTTTATCAATAGGTTTCTAACATAAATCTAAATAATTAACTTTATTAAAATTTAATCCGTATATTTATGTTTGAAAAGGTGATTTTGAGTATGTTAATTATTTAATTTATTTAACTACTTATCGTATTTAAAGCAAATAATTTTATTTAAGTTTTTTAAAATTTGCAAAAAATAATTCCAAATATTGTGAATTAAGAAAGTTAAAGAAAATTTATGAATATCTAATTAAAGTTTTTAGAGGTATAAAATTTGAAGAAATGATTTTTATATTCTCTAATAAGCAAATAAAATTGATTTAACTTGATGTTTAAGTTTAACAACTTCATAGAAATTTAATAGAAATACTAAACATCTTAAAAAACACTATTATGTCCTTAATTTAAATGACTTATATTAATATTTTTATTATGTAATTAAAAAAGAATCAAAATCAAAACCATCTTCATTATCACACTAGAAGCCATTCTTTAAATAAATCATATTCATCTAAACAACCTACTGCCAATTTACCAATATTACTCAGACAATAAACAACTTTTACAAAAACTAAAATTAATAACGAAAATGAATCTAGTTTTGCAAATTAAAATACAGAAATTTTAGGGGACTTTCTATTACCATCCTTTAAATATACAAAAAAGTAGAATATTATTTTAGCAGATGAACTCACAGAGAAAGTTTCATCGTTACGCAATAATGCTAATTTAAATATTGCTAAATAAATAGCTAGAAAAAGAGTTAAAACATAACATAGTGATTTAGATAATTCTATAATTTCATCTTAAAGATTGATTACCGATCCAGGAATAGTTGTTTAAAAGAAATTTCAAAATAATCAATTTCTAATTGATAGAGTATAGGTTTCTGAAGAAGGAGTCAAATTACCTTACAGACTTTATATGATAAATAAATAAAGAAAAAACTTGATTTCTTAAATTTTAACTAACACAAATATTAATGGTAAACTTCAAGATAATTAAAATAATTCTAAAAATAAAGATTTAACAGAACAATTGGTTGCTTAAATAAAATAATCCTAATTATAGAAATCGAAAAAGGCTTTAACTTCTAAAAGTTATATGAATAATGCATTTTATTCTTTATTGGCCTTAAATAAATATTCATAAGAAGCTGTTAAATTAAAATATAGATAAAATTTGCCAAAAGACTCAAGATTTTATATGCTGTGATTTAACATATTTATATTGAACTAATACTTATGATATCAATAATGATTAAAAATAAAATTTCTCATTCGTAATTTAATCTTACACTACTTTAATTTAATCCTATAATATAATTAAATTAATTTTTTTTCTAAGTTTTGACAACATATTATCATATATAACACTATCTAAAAATTAAATAAGCTTAAATTGCTAACAAAATAAAAAAAAAATACCTTTTGATTTTTTGTCAATAAAATTGATAAATTTCTTTATATAGAAGCAGAACTTGATTATAAATTTATTTTTATTGAAAAATAAAGGATAAAGTTTTTGATTAATAAATTTTGCAGGAGATTATATTAAATCGTCAGTAAAGTTTTTTAATTTACTTATTTTCAATAAATATAAAACTTATATATTTCTGAATAATTTGATAATATAAATGATAATTGATTAATAAATATTCGTATTTTGATATTTATTATTATTTTTCGATTTGAGACATTGATCCTATTAGAGAATAATTGTTAAAATCAAACTAATCCAGAAACTAAGAAAAAAGAAATAAAAATTTTAATTCTTTTTATCAAATATAGTATTTGTGGAGAAAATTTAAATCTGAAATAGAAACAAATAAAGATATTGATGTTTAAAAATATGTTTGTGAATAGTTGAAATCGGATTGAAGAATTATGATAAAATGGCAACCTCAATCTATTATTAATTTAAATAAATATAAAGATTAAAATAATAATAATAAATTAAATTATGAAATATTTACATTTATTTAAACTTATAGTCTTCTTGCATAGTTCATATTTAGTATTAGGAGAAGAGATAGAAATTGAAGATGAGCATGATTAACACCATCATAGATATAGTCCCTCTGATGGAACATTTTGGTTATTCCTTTTATATGCTTTTGGATTATCTCTTTTGGCAGCATTTTGTTCAGGGAATACTCAAGGATTGCTATCAATAGATATGTTGAATTTAGAACTTAAATAAAAAAGTGGTACAGAATAAGAAAAAAAAGTGGTATGAAGTATGTATTATTAAAGGCTTAAATACTATTACCAGTGATATCTCAACACCATTTATTATTGTCAACTTTATTGGTAGGAAATGCTTTTGCATGTGAAACATTGCCAATAATTTTGCATTAATTAGCTCCAGATTGGTTGGCAATCTTAATATCAGCTGGAATAATAGTATTAATTGGTGAGATAATTCCATCTGCATTTACAACAGGACCAGATTAATTAGTAATAGGAATGAAAATGATTCCATATGTAAAAGTATTATAAGCCATCCTATACATTATATGTTATCCATTGAGTTTGTTCTTAGATCATGTTTTAGGGGTGCATCTTCATTAAAGATATAAGATAAAAGATGTAAGGGGATTATTGAATTTACATGCATAAGATTGTGGACATGGAAATTCTGCTTAATTAACAAAGGATTAGATGTAATTGTTAGATTCTATGATGGAAATGAGAAAACAAACTATTATGAAGAATTGTAAAGACATAAAGAAAGTTTTTATGATTAATGCAGATGAACGATATAGTTCAGATTTAAAGAATAAAATAAGAATAAAAGGATTCTCAAAGATACCAGTTTACCAAGGATCTAATAGGGATTAAATAATTGGGACTATATAAACAAAGTCTATTTTAAAATTGACTGCTTAAGATTTTGGAAGACCATTATCATCGTTATTATAAATGTAAGAACCATTAATAGTCCCAAAAGATACAACTATGTTGGAAATGTTAATGTTATTTGAACATGAAAGAAAATCATTAGCTTTTATTTGTGATAAAGGAAAATAAGTGTAAGATTATAATACTATGAATGTAATTGTATTTTATTAAATACTAGATATAAAATTTAATAGTAGAAGAACATACTAATATTATAGCTTTGATAGGATTGACTGATGTATTTGAAGAAATGCTTGATTTTGAGATTGAAGATGAAGATGTTCATGGAACCTTAAGAGATTATCCAAAATAAAGAAGCAAGTATGTAGAATTATAAGTCATAACTGAAGAATAAGAGAAATAAGGTAGAGGTTACGAATTGAAATAGAAACTATTATCATGATATCAAATGACGTTCATTGTATCGATAGTATTATAATTTCTTTAAGATATCTTATACCATCTTATTGCTTCTAACATATAGTGGTTCCTAAGTCAAATTCATTAGAACTGGTTCTGGTAGAGTTCTTTATTTTTGCACTTTTGATGTTATATCCATAGTTGGAGCAGTAGGTAATCTACGTTAGACAGATATTGCTCTTCTTTTTGGTATAGATGTTCTACTTTAAATTCTTGTATGATGTTTTTAAGTTAAAGGTTCTAATGTTAGATTCTAAGTATGTTATGCTTTGACCATTTTATTCTTAGTTGTACTTGGATACCATGGACCAAATGTGCTACCTAGACTTGGAGAGTAATTTGATTGCCAATCGTTCATTATTAAAATAATAATGATCAAATTATCCAAACCTGACAAATGCATCTATAAACATTTAAATTTGTCAAATTTATTATAATGTTTCCGTATTCAACATAAAGATGCTGAACAATCTTCTGCTCTTCTTAATCTTTAAGTTCGAACATTTTAATATTCTAAAAATGCTGAAGTTTTAGCTCATTGTTGTGAACATAATCTTTTTATTGGTATAACTAAATATCTAGTTGAATCTGAATATTAGCATTTCTTATCTAAAAATTCTGGAATGACAAATACTTATATACTTCATTTACAAATACCAATTATTCTCTCACTATTGTGAATGATTAATTGGATAGTGTACTAAATAGGCTTTATTAATTCTTTCAGTATTATCCTCTTTTTAAAGAAACATGTATTTAAAGTAAAATGAAGGTTTTTCATTCAGATTTTAACATTAATTTTCAAAATGACTTTTGGATACTTTTAAATATATAATTGTTGGCATCATTCAATTCTTCATATCCTTAATTTATAATTGGTATTTAGATACTCTTGCTTAGGCAATAACTTTTAGATTTTTACTCTCATCACTATTTTAGAATTTTATGAAATTAGTTATTTATAGTAAACAATCAGTTTAATAATTGATATAAATATGGTTCAATAATTATGTTTAATGATATTTCTCATTAAAATTATTGTAGATCAAATCTTGAAATATAATAATCATAATTTATTAAAATATATTTATCTGATGAATAATTTTGTAAAGAAATTTCATCAATTTATAATTTAGTTATCTTGAAAAATAAAATCCATTTAGTTTCATCGGAGCACTAACATTAAAATTGCATTAATATTCTATTCAAGAAAAGCTTCTTATTTAATGGAAATTTTTGATCCTAATCTAATTAAAATACTATTAATTAATTGAAAAGAAATAATCTCAATGTATTTTTGTAAAGCTCGACATTTTAAGGATTATTTTTAAATATTTTGGTACTGAATTCGGCATTTTAGATTTATCATTTTATAATTTATAAGTTAGAAATCAAATTTTTCAACTTCCAAATTTAAATTGATATTTTCAGAATTAAATTGATTTTTTGGTCAATTATAAGTATTCATTATATCCGATAGTAATTTGTGAATCTACATAATTTATAGTATATTTTAAATAAGACAATAATTTTATCTTCCTAAAAACATCTAAAAAAATGAGACAAAATTTAGACTCAATTTGAAAGTCTATTTCTGATTAAATTCTTAAAATTTTTTGGTAAAGTTTGCTAAAAACAAATTTAAAGAATTATTTTATGAAGCTAAAGTAACCTCATTATCTAAATCAATTAGTTTAGTTAGTAATGGAATTGAATATTCATTAGGTGGATTTATTGATTCAATTCTAAATTAAATGAATATCATTATTATCTATATTAAGTTTCTCCCTGATATGTTAAATAAAATTTTAGACTATAAAGTTGAAAATTATAAAGACAATTACGATACATAATTTGTTAAACTTATTTGTGATTTAGAAAATTTTTCATGTTTTCAGCCTCATTAATAAGCCAGACATCTATCTATATTTTTATAAAGATATGTTGTATTTTACAATAAGTGATATAAAAAATATAACAGATATCTAATTTTTAATTTAGAGTAGCATGAAGTGTCTAAAATATCTTTAATATAAGATTAGGTTATATAGTTTGAATTGATTTTGTTAGAGAATTTATCAAGATCTTTATTATACATGATTAGAAAAGAGATTAATTTGAAGATTATAAATAATCTAAAAGAGTATCAACTCTATTTTTCATTAGTAAGGAAAGTAGGAAGATTTTGGGGAGAAATTCAAAGATTTTAAAATTAATTTTATAGAAGAGAATAAACGTTGAATTTGATTGATACTACTGATATTGAAGAAGTATAGAACTAATATAAATAATATTTAATTGAATATCTTCGTTTAATTTAAATTCATGTAGATTCACAATTTCAATCATGGGTTAATATAAGATTCTTTACCTAATACTGGATAAATGAATAGAAATTCTGAATGGATTAAAAATCATTTACTTTTTAATCTAGACATGTATTTATTATTATGAGTGTATTATAAAAATATTTTATAAAATGAAATCTCTCCAAAAATTACTCAAAAATAACAAGGATTTAGGACATCAATATATTGATTTTATGTAGCTTTTTGAAAAGAAATTAAAATCATGCATTATCAATCATAATTCACGTAAGAATATTCTTGCTCAATATAAATAATAACAGTACATTCATTAACCAATGCCTTTTTTTGAATCAGAAGAACTGATTGTATATGGTTCATTTGAGAATAGTAATATTCATGGATGTTGTTAAGAAGAAAAAGGAGTCTTAAATGTTTTACTTTCAAGTGATACCAATACATAAGGATGTACTTAATGGTTTTACTTTGGAGTTAAGATACATAATTAAGGAAAACTGAAGATACGTATATTAAACAATCGTCGTTAAAATACACTGTTTAAAGATTGTAATCATGTTTATGTATATGATGATGATAAATGGACTGTTGGATAAACCAAAGAGATGTACTATTACAGAACAAATATAAATCATCCATTTTATCATCATGAAGATGCTGGAATAGCCTAACTCTAATAAAACTTCTCTTTGTATACTTTAGAATTTACATATGAATTTAAGCAAACTGAAAAAATAGTATTTTTTGCATTAACTCGGCCATATCCAATAAAAAAGCTTTAAAGATTTATTGATTAATGTCCATTATAAAGAAAATCAGTATGTATAACAACTTTAGGATTACCGATATGGTAATTAAAGACACCAAAATAGAATGGATAATAAATAGTAGTAATATTGGCTAGATAACATCCAAGTGAAACAGCTGGTTCTTTTATATGTTAAGAGATATTACGTATTTTATGTAAAGGACATGCTTGTATGAAAAAATATAGATTTATAATATATCCAATGTTAAATCCAGATGGTGTGTTTCTCGGTAATTCTCGTTGTAATTTCAATGGGATAGATTTGAATAGGTAGTTTATAGAAATGTAAATTTAGAAAATGGGATAATCCAAAATAAAAGACTGAGCCAGAAGTACATTATGTAATAAAATCGATTTAAAAATATACTAACATTGCTTTTATGTTAGATTTGCATGGTCACTCAAAAAAGTTTAATTAATTTCTTTACGGTTGTTTACATGGAAAGAGTGTATCAGAATACATGAAAATAAGATAGTTTGGAAAGATTCTAGCTTAGCATAATGAGATATTCTAATTCAAAGTACCTTAATATTTAATAGAGGGATTGTTCATATGGTGTTAGTCCAGATAGATTTGGTACAGCAAGAGTTGCATTATGGAAGAGATTGAATATAACAAATTCAATGACAATAGAAACAAGTATCTATGGTTAGATGGGTCGAGCTTTTAGTTTAGAAGATTATCATTCACTAGCTTAAAACATTTTACATGCACTAGATGTATTTAATGAATAGATTGATTCCCCTGAACTGAATATCAATAGAGAGATGAGCAAAGCACTCAAATATGATAGTGGTAGTGATTCAGAGGCAGAATAAGATTTAATAATACCAAGACCAAATAGGATTAAAATAACATCTAGAAAAGAATCTTCATGTAAACATCAATCTGTTGGATATGGATGTATTAAACCTAAAATAGATACTCCACAATTGATACATTAACATAGTTAATTTTTTAAGGATTAATCTTTTGTGGAATTACAACCATAGCCTTCGAAACTTCTTAGTATTAATTCAAACAAAGTTCAACTTCAAAAAATAAGGTCTCGAATGAATTCCTTTTAAAGTCAATATATAGAGGAACAACCTAAATTAGGAACCATGATATCAGCTTTGCAAGTTAAATAATTATTTAAATGAAATTAATTCTTGCTATTCTTATGACAATAGTATATTGTGCCAATGACACAATCAAACAAAATGTCGATAAAATTAGATAGGCTATCTAATCAGGGCATAACAAACATGAAGCTTATGATAAATTGGCATATATTGTTGATACTTTTGGTCCTAGAATGTGGGCATCCCCAAGTATGGCATTAGCTGTTGATCACCTTTACAATTAAATTTCTAATTGGAATTCAACAAAAAATAATTTAACAAAAGTTTACAAGGAAGAATTAGATGAGATAAAAACTTGGGTAAGAGGAAGTGAGAAATTAATTTTAAAGAGTCCAAGAAAAAGAGAATAAAAATTAGGAATGATAGGACTTGGTTTAATTGTTCCAGGTAATATAAAAGATGGAGAAGTTGTGGTGGTTAAAAACTGGAAAGAATTGGATGAAAAAGGTAGTTAGGGCAAATTATAAGGTAGATTCAATATACAATTAGTTTAGGAAAGATTGTTTGTTATAATGTTCCATGGACAACTTATGATGACTTGAAGTTTTATAGATAAAAAGGACCTGATAGAGCATCTTAATATGGTGCGATAGCTATATTATTAAGAAGTGTTGCTTCATTCTCAATTTATAGTCCACATACAGGAAATGTGAGATATTCTGGAAACTAAACTGAGATTCCTGCTGCAGCAATAACTGTAGAGGATGCTGAAATGTTTTAGAGAATGTAAGATAGAGGATAAAAGATTATAGTTGATTTAGAATTAAATAATGAATTTAAAAGTTCAACAAGTCATAACATAATTGCTGAGATATAAGGTTCTACATATCCAGATTAAATAATATTGATGGGTGGTCATTTTGATTCTTGGGATACAGGAAGTTAAACAGGAGCTATGGATGATGGTGCTGGAACTCTTGTTACTTTGGAAGCTCTTAAAGTAGTTGCTGATTTAGGAATAAGACCATAAAGAACATTGAGATGGATTGCATGGAGTGGTGAAGAAATGGGACTACCTAATAATGGAGCTCAACATTATTTCAAATATCATGGTCATGAAGATCATGTAGTTGCTCTTGAGAATGATGTTGGATAATTAACAGCTATTGGTTTTGGTTTCACTGGTAAATTATAAACTAGCAGAATGGTTAGATAATTAATTATGAATTATATTCCTGAATTATCAGTTGTTAATGAAAATGATGGGTATTCAAAATTTTAATTACTTTTAGTTCTGGAGTAGATACTAAACCTCTAGGAGATATAGGTGTTCCTTTAATGAGAAATATCTACCATGATCCTAATGATGATATCTATTTCAGATATCATCACTCTGCTGGAGATACAATGAATATTTTAGATCCTGATTAACTGGATTCCAATGTATTCGCTATAAGCTCAATGATGTATATCATTGCTGACAATCCAGAGAGATTACCCAAATGATTTAAACATTAAAATTATTAATTAAAATTCAAATGAAAAGAGACGATCAGATTTATATCTCATCTATTTAATTATGGAATGGAATCGATACTCCTATTCATTAGAGTACTAATCTATTTAGCTAAAAATTTAAGGAGAGTTAAGAATTCAATTCTAATACACTCCAATGTATATGTTCACATCATCCTTAAAAAAAAGTAAACTTATTATTTCTATTCTTAGGCTAAATATATATTACTAAATAATTCAGGTCCCAATCAAAAATTATGTACTAAATGTGCTGTTCAATTTGCTTAATAAGGACATAAAATTGAAAATATTCAAGAAGGTAATTACCATTTTTACTCTTAGATAATGTTAAAAAAAAATAAACTGATTCCTTTATTGAATAATTATTATCAACAAAGAGTGAAATTGATAATGTTCATTCCAATCTATTATCAACAGAAGCCAACCTTAAAAAATTTTATAATGATCAATATACTTAAGTTGTAAAGACTTTTGGAAATATTGAAAAACAATTACAGATGGTAATTACTACAATATATTCTTCAAAGTGCAAATCCCAATTACTTTGTGCCTTATCATAATCTCTCTGGTCTGGAGTTCAGATTACTAATCAATTAAAAGTATAATCCAAATAAATTGAACACCAATTAGCTACATATATTAGTGATATCAAAAATCACTATGATAAAATTGTACAAATGGGTACTCTACCATTCAATTAAATTATGGGAGGTTACAGTAGTAAATTATTCAAATTACAATAATTCCTTAAGGATATTCAAGATAATAAAGTTGCCTATCTTTATTATGAAGGTAAAATAAGTTCTCTTGATTCCTTTTTAAAAGAAATCAGCAAATTAACTGAAAAAGAGTATCAAAATAAAAAAAGAAATCATGAAAGTACCAGATCAAGTTCTGAATAAAAAACCTCTAAAAGTGCTGAAAAAGAAAAAAGACATCAAAGTCAACCTAATAGCAAGGAAGTAAAAAGTTTTGATAATTCAGAAAAAAAGACTGCTCAAACCTTTAAAATCACTGAAGAATCTATTGAAGAATGGATGGAAAATTCTAATTCTAAATAAAGACGCACTGAACCTGCTGAATAATTATAAAGTCCTAATATATTAGCAACTAAATTTTTTAAAAAATAACTTCCTCCAAGTCGAGCTTCAATGAAACAAGAAACTAATTAAGCTATGCTTGATAAATTAATTTCAGAATTTTCTTAAATTAAACAAGAAAGAGCTTTGAAAAAGTAATCTAAAACACCTGAATTAGGTAAATCAGTTAAGGAGGCTTTCCCTAACAAATTATCACCAAAATTTCTTTACAAAAATTATTATAAATGATTTAATTTAAAACTGTGTTTTATTTTTATATTTTGATTATAAAATTTTTAGAGATTATACTTCAGTATTATCATTTTGAGAATAACTTCTGTAAAGATTATAAATCATCTTTATTTACAGCCAACCCTACATGAGATTACTGGTTTCCTACAAATACAAAAGGAAAAAAGCGAACTCTCAAATGTCTTAAAGCTAAACTGTCTACACAAGCATGTCTGAGTGTTGATTCATATATATTTTAAAATTTTAATGCAGTCTTACTACAACTATTCTAATAAATCTTTAAATTATATTTACAATTTCTATTTCTTTGATATTCTCTAATTAAGTATATTTTATATTAAATTGATTTCTTAATTCTTCTAAATTATCAAATTTTTCTAAATTAATTTTTTCCTCTTAAGATTTGTAAACCTTATAATATTTTAAAAATAACTTACATTTAACTAATTATCTATTCTAAACAATCTATATCCAAATATAAATGGATCATTATCATAATTTAAAATAGGATCATATGCAATTTCAGAATCTTGTATTTTTAAATAAATTAAAATATTTAATTTATTTTTATTGATACAATCACTAATTTATTTTTATTCCTTTTTTGTTCTACTAGATTTTAAACTATTTTAAATTTATTCTGAATTATTCATAATATTTCTAACTTCCTTTAATTGAGGCTTTTTTTGAGGATTTGACTAATGTTAATTTTATTATTGATTTTCATTATTTTAATTTTCATCGTTTCTAGAATTGATGAGACTATCAACATTATTTTATTATTAAATTATTTTACTACTTGAATTAAATTAAACTAAAACTGTTTTACTTAGTTTTTCTTGATCTTTGCTTTTGTTACTCTAATTTTCACAAAAACTTAATTACAATTAACTCTAATTTGATTTAATTGGATCTTCACTAGAGTCAAATATCTCTTTTGGGTTATTAATTGGCAAATTAATATTCAAAAGTTATAAAGTAATCTAAGGAACAACCACTCTAGGTGACTGTATAGGAGTTTATGATTATGATCTATGATGTTCAATAGTTCTATTAGTCTTTCTTTATGTATCTATCGAATCACTTCTTATCTTTTAAGGAATATTACTTGCTTAGATTCTTAATTTGATGTCATTAATTTGATATTAAATTTATAATAACAATTCATCTAAATCTTATAATTGAATTTTTCTCTCTACCTTATTTTCTATTTGCAAAAGTGATATTTTGCATTACTACAATTCTAACAAATATTCCCTTTTATCTATTCCATTTAATTATAAAATTAAAATACTAGATTTCTTAAATTTCTATTAAGAATATTCTTAAATTAATTATTGTGCTTTAGTTTTATTCTTGATTAATTGTGAATTAATGACTTCCACTCTTAAAAAAGCTTAATCAATACTATTAGCATATTAAACTTACTAATTTAGGCAGATTTTCTTAAATTCTTGCTTTACATCCGAGAGCATACCATCAAAATATTTTTTTCCGTATTTTTTTTTAATTTCAGATATGCTTTATTCTTTATCTCTCAAGTACATAGTTAAGAGATGTTAAGTTTCAGCTTCTATTTATTTTTCTAATTATTTATCTAATTAAGTAAGTTATGTAGTTAGTTCTTTACTTTATTTTTTATATTTTTCGATTTCTATCATAAATACTGATTTTTTGCTCTACAATTATTTTAAACTTTAATTCTTAGTGCTCGTTTCTTACTATATTTAAAGTTAAATTTTATAAGATATATTGTGCTGGTTAAAGATTTGAGCTAATTAGCAAAAGTTAAAATGCATAGAGTTTAAACATTTTTAAATGAATAAAAATAGATTGACTTTATTATTAGATTTTAACACTGCTGTTATGGACTATTCAAGTAAATTAATATTTTAAAATAATAAGTTTTAGGAGTTTATCTCAATTAAAAGAGTTGTTAAATCTTCATTAATTTGCTGTTTAGCTTTAATTGAATTAGAATTACACACTTCAGTTAATTTAAGGATGTATAATTATAATTTCATAATAAGTCCTAAAGGGATTGAAGTTTAAATAACATCAAAATCAAAAAATTACTTAATTTTATTCCAATTATTATATGCATTTTGGTCAAGTACTTTTACAACTTAATTATCACACATTTTAAAGTTTTCTTTAAATTTATTCAAACTATCATTATAAATTTTATTTTATTCTAGAGTAGTTTACAAAGCTTTTTCAATAAATTCAATCTCTTTTTCCACATTTATTAGATTCTAAATAATAAAAGTAAAATTACTTATTTTGTGATTGATAACGACTGATTCAAAGAATATTGTATTTTTTTCATTTATGCTTATGTTAATATGACATCATGATCAGATTAAGAATATAATGCATCAGTTAATTATTCTGATTCTTTTGAGAGTTCTTATGTTTGAAAATTAGTAGAATGCAAATCCTCGATGATCATTTACAAATGTTCTGATTAAGATGAAGAATTATTCTTTGGGTTAGATTAGAGTTGAATCATAAGAGTATCTATTTCATTTTACAACTCTTATATTCTAAATTCTGTTTTTTTGAATCTGGCTGTACTCATTAAAAATTTAAATAATTAGTTAGTTATTTTATTTACAATGATAAAATTCATTCCATGGCATTAAAAATATCTCCTTTACCACTTCTTCCTTTTCTTTTCTTAAGTTCTTTATTTTTAGCAAATTAAGATTTTTCTTAAGCAGCCTATTAAATTCTTTCATCCATTTCATCAAAATCATTATCCTTAGATTAATTATTATCCATAAACCATTCAGGTGGTAAATCATCTGGATTAACAGTTTCCATATCTAATGATTCAAAATGTTTCTTTTAAAAATCAGTAAGTACTAAAATTATATTTAATTGATTACAATCTTTTCTTTCTTCTTCTGTTAATTGATTATCAATTTCTTCATCTTCATCTTAACCATCTTCATCCTTCATACCTTTTCTATTATCTTTTATTTATTATTCTTTATCTCTCTATTATTCTACTTTATTAAGCATAAATTAATCATATAATAAGTCATCTAGTTATTTTTCTTAAATCAATCTTTTTTCTCTTTAAATTGCTTCATTATTTCCTAATACCTTTAATTTCAAATATTATTCTAACATTTCTGGTTAATATAGATGATCTCCTATATATTATTTAGGCGCATTTTCTCTAACAGCTTTAAGTTCATCCATTGTTCTATAACGTCCTTCATCTGTATCTTTTACAAGATTATCAAACATATCTGGTTCAAAATATTTTGCACTTATACAAGCATGTAATAATCTTAATTGTACATCTGTTTAATATTTTAGATGTCTCCTATATTGTCTAATTATACAATTGTGACATTATGACCTATATTTTCTTTATAAATTTTTATTCTTACCAATTCTTTCTTTTTCTTTAATGCATACGAAATTCAGCATCAAAGAAATCATGCAAATATTGATTATCTATAGAAAGGGATAAAAATCCATAAAAAGCACCAAAAGCTAATCTTTTGGAAACTCACCCTTAAATTTATAAAGACATTTTTCTATCTTTTTAATTACAGCTTCATCATATATACCATCTTTTCCCATATGATATAAGAGTTGCCCTATTGTTTTTGCATAAAATTCATTATCAGGGTTTTCTTTTACTGCTCTAAGTAAGTCTTTGCTTCTAGAGTGATACAGGGTCTCTGAATTGATACTTAGATCATCCATATAATTTTCCTATTAGTATTGTCTTTTATGAGCTTCCAGTCTTTTTTCAAAACAAATTTGCAACCATATATTGGTATTTGGCTAATCTAGATATTTTGCTTAAAAACAACATAAGTAATAAAAATTTATTATTTTATAAATTAAACTAGAAAAAATGTATTTTAAAATTGAAAATATACATATTATTTTTTAGAATCACTCAAATTAATGTTTGTCGATCATCTTGTCTTTCTTTATAATATTGGGCTATAGTAAAATCAAGATTATCTACTTATTCCTCATCTTAATTAACAGTTTATAGTTCATTTTCTTTTTCAGAGACCATCGTTAAATCAATTACCAATAATATAGCTATGTAAGAAACCATCATCAACATATTAATTGGATTAAATAAATGATGATCGAACCTTTCGTAATATAAGTAAAATTGGCTCTTCTAAAATGAATAAACAATAAAAAAAATAATATCAATTAAAAATAAATCAACTCCTAAAAATAATTAATTTTATTATTACTAATTAATTGTTAACGAAAACTAATCATGACTTCATAAGCAAAAATACACGAATAAACTAAAAAACAAATCCAACATATCATCATGATTGTGTGAATATTATTAACTTGATTTTCTAAGTCTTTAATTACAAATGATTAATTATCAAAAGCTATTATCCATCTATCAATACTAATTGGAATTATGACAAATATTGTAATTACAGTATTTCTAACCTTATTTGTATTATTATTTTATCCTTTCAAAAACGAAAGAATTTGTAAGAAATATCTTAAAAATAAAAATTCTCCTATTGCATAACAAGTTTATCCGATTAACCATTCCACAGCTTCAAATTCAGAAAAATAACACAATGGTCTAAGTGGTTAAGCAATTAGAATTATTATTAAGAGCATATGCTATTAATTTTCATTTATGTATTTTCCTAAAGGTAGAAGATTTTCTTCTTCTCCTTCTTTAATCATATTAATTGCCACTGCCAAAATAACAAAACACAAAAAAGTTACAAATGAGTCTTCTAAATATTTTAAATTATTTTTAAAATAAGNCAGGGTCTCTGAATTGATACTTAGATCATCCATATAATTTTCCTATTAGTATTGTCTTTTATGAGCTTCCAGTCTTTTTTCAAAACAAATTTGCAACCATATATTGGTATTTGGCTAATCTAGATATTTTGCTTAAAAACAACATAAGTAATAAAAATTTATTATTTTATAAATTAAACTAGAAAAAATGTATTTTAAAATTGAAAATATACATATTATTTTTTAGAATCACTCAAATTAATGTTTGTCGATCATCTTGTCTTTCTTTATAATATTGGGCTATAGTAAAATCAAGATTATCTACTTATTCCTCATCTTAATTAACAGTTTATAGTTCATTTTCTTTTTCAGAGACCATCGTTAAATCAATTACCAATAATATAGCTATGTAAGAAACCATCATCAACATATTAATTGGATTAAATAAATGATGATCGAACCTTTCGTAATATAAGTAAAATTGGCTCTTCTAAAATGAATAAACAATAAAAAAAATAATATCAATTAAAAATAAATCAACTCCTAAAAATAATTAATTTTATTATTACTAATTAATTGTTAACGAAAACTAATCATGACTTCATAAGCAAAAATACACGAATAAACTAAAAAACAAATCCAACATATCATCATGATTGTGTGAATATTATTAACTTGATTTTCTAAGTCTTTAATTACAAATGATTAATTATCAAAAGCTATTATCCATCTATCAATACTAATTGGAATTATGACAAATATTGTAATTACAGTATTTCTAACCTTATTTGTATTATTATTTTATCCTTTCAAAAACGAAAGAATTTGTAAGAAATATCTTAAAAATAAAAATTCTCCTATTGCATAACAAGTTTATCCGATTAACCATTCCACAGCTTCAAATTCAGAAAAATAACACAATGGTCTAAGTGGTTAAGCAATTAGAATTATTATTAAGAGCATATGCTATTAATTTTCATTTATGTATTTTCCTAAAGGTAGAAGATTTTCTTCTTCTCCTTCTTTAATCATATTAATTGCCACTGCCAAAATAACAAAACACAAAAAAGTTACAAATGAGTCTTCTAAATATTTTAAATTATTTTTAAAATAAGCTTCCAATTCTACGTCTAAACCCTTTATAAAAAGAACATATGCTGAAACTGTTATTAATTCAGGAGTCATTAAATAATTTTCATTTCCATCTGTATCTCCTGATCTAAATTCATAATCTAATGCTTTTAAATGATGTTTGCTAAGTTCCTCAATACCTGCTTGATTTTCATTAATTATAGGAAATGAAGTATTAGTATCAACTGAAAATAATTCATTTATGCTTAATTGTTCTTCTGCAGGAAATTATTAGTAATATATCATAATATCAGGTCTAAATTTTAAATGCGTAGGTGTACGGAAATAAAAAGTGACCATTGTTTCTTAAGATTCCCAAATATATCCACAAAATAATATGCTTTAATTTTGTTTGTCTTGCCTTGTTTCACATTAACGATATAACTTATCTGATTCAACAAATTAGATATTCAATGATTTATCAACAAAATAGAATAGCAATATTGATGCCACATAAATAATTAAAATTTTCATTATTTTATTAACTGTTAGATGAAGAGAACATCATCTTAATAGAGTATAGAAGTAAGGAGAGATTCAAATCATTTAGTTGGACTCATGAGTGAGAATGAGAAACTACATAAATAAAATGAATCCTTAATGAAAGAACTAAGTCTCATTAAAAATGATTTTGAAAGAATGTCTCAAAATGGTTAAAAAACAGTTAAGAATGGTCGTAGAAAAAGTTGTGAAATTACAGGTGAAATAATCACTTAATAATAAATTAAATCTCTCGAAGAAGAACTTTTAAATACATAAATGAGATTTAACACATTGAAGAAAGAATTCTCAATTAAAACTACTTAATATTAAAATTAAATAACTAAATAAGCAAATTTAATTACTTAATTATAAAATGAGAATGATCTGTTGAAGATAAAGTTTGAAAACAAAGAAAATTAATATTTAGATTATAAATAAGGATTTTAAGAGAATTATTTAGAAAAATCAGGTATTAAAATTATAAATGAAAATCAAAAAATTAAATAATTATCTGAAAGTAACATTAAATTAACTAAATTACTTGAAGACAGATTGATTTAATTAGAATAGTTAACTAAAACATTAAATTAAAAGAATCAAGAACATATGAAAGAAATTGAATAATACGAATCCCTATTAGCTCATCATTCCTCATAATCATAAGGAAAATGTTTTGATTCTTTATAAAAGAAAATAGAAATTCTCGAAAAAGATAAAGTTCGATTAACAAATGAATTGTCGAAGACTAGAGATTTAAACTCAAAAGAAAAATAAATATTATTAAAAGAAAAATAAAATATAAATTTAGAAAAAGAGAAATTGCATTCAGATATGTCAGTTATTTAGCAATAATTAACTGATTACTACAATTAATTATAATAATGTGGTTAATAATTAAAATAGAAAGATGAAAGTATAAAATAGTTTTAATAAACTGAGAGCTATTAAGGATATTAGAATTTATAATATGAACACTAACAATAAAAGTAATTGATAACTTAGTTACAAATTCAAATTGGAAATCTTTAATAAACTAATAAAGCTTTGCATGAGGAATTATTATTTTTAAAGACAACAGCTCCCTTAAGTAATAGGACAAATTTGAAGACCTACTTTGGAGTAGATTCTCCATTCAAAAATATAGCAGATGAGCAAAATAAATATAATGTTACTCTAAGTAAAAATTTAATTAATATGTAAATAGAAACAAAAACATAGAGTTCATTAGACTAAAGAGGAAGATCTTAGGAAAAATTTAGAAGGATAGAATGATTGATATTTCTACATATATATAAAAGTCTCAATTATTCAATTTATATAATTTTCTTTGTTCAATAAAGAGGTCCAAAAAATTGAGAGATTCCACAACAAAAAAGGAATTTATACAAGAGAAACAATCATTTGTTTGGTTAAGACATAACCAATAAATGATAAAGAGATAATAATAATTGCTGCTTTTTATTATTTGAAAAATTTTAGATTAAATAAATATAATTTAAATGATCTTATTTACTGAGTTCAACTATGATTAATGTAGCAATTTCTTTATAGGTTCATCGAATTAGAAATCCAATAATGAATACAAGTATCACATAATTAATGAGAGTCAAATCATATGAATAATTGATAATGATCATGCAACCAAAAACCAAGGAATGAAGAAAACAACTATCATAAATTCTATTAATAGAAACATTGAAATAGTGGTTGAAATAGATAGAAAGCATTTCTTAATTTTGAAATAGCTTCTCAGTTTCTTATAATAGATGAGCTTCTTATAAAGTAAAAAAGTTAATAATAGAAATAGTCAATAAAGAAAGTCATATTTTCGATTCAAAGAATCTTAATAGAGATCTTCGATAATGTTTCAAATTTAGGATGAGGCTTAAAAACAACATGAAATTAAGATTTTATTTAATCCTCTTCACAAATTAGTTACGATAGCTAAATTATTATAAAATATAAAATACAAAAAAAAGTCAAAAGAATAGACTATAACTTCAAGGTTCTGCATATTCATGAACAGAAAAGTATGCTTGTACTAATAATGTAAGCTAATTGAGAATGCTCTGATTTTAATGAACAATTTAAAACTTTTTTATTCGTTAACTATCTATATCCTATATTGATAAATATATAAAAACATTTGAAAATAGCAAGCTATATCTAATTAAAAAGGAAAAATGTATATATATAACTCCATGTAGATTTACAACTGTGGAGAAACATATATTGAATAAAAGCTAATATAAATACAAATATTCTTTTGAATTTAATTAACATTTAAATTTATTTCATTTAACATCTCCTACCTTTGACTTCTGTTCTTTATATCTTTTGTATTCGTTAATAATTAATGGAATAAGAAAACAGCCAGCTATAATAGCATTGAGACTGCAATATAAAAAAAGGATAGACTCCAAATATGGTACAATCAATTGATTAATGGCAGCAAAGACTGCTCCATATCCCATGACAACTGAAGTAACTGTTGCAGTAGATTTCTTATTTCCTTTAAATTATAAATCGTATGAATACCTTTTAATTCTTTCATGTTACTTAATTCAATAACAATAGCACCTGAAACATTATTATAAACACCACCAATCATTAATCCTGTCAAAAATACTAAAATATAATAGAGAACATATGGTTAATCTAACTTAGATAAAAAGTTTATGCTGACCATAACTACTGTACCAATCCATAATGATGGTACAATTAGACTTGCTCTTAAATTCCAATGAACTCCTGCATAACTATGATAATAATTTAATAAATACCAAATCAAAATACCTCCTGGAATAGTACCCCATTCAATCATTTAAGTTATCCATGCAACACCTTCTAAGTTTTCTCCTTTTAGATAAGAAGGTAACCAAAATGCAAGAATATAGAAGACAGCTTTAATACAACCAAATGCAAAAGCATATAAAGCAACATTTGGTAATTTCCAAGCTGTAATCATATTTATGCTATTTTCCTTTTTCTTTTTTGGTTTAGGTGGAATCTATGGATTCATATGAGAATCTCTATCAACAGTTAAAAGAGTTTAACTTAAGTCAGTAACAAATGATTATTCAGAGACAGAAACAATTGATGCAGCTCTACTCATATATTCATCATGAGCTTATTTATAAACTAATGATTTAGTATTTGGATTCTTAAATTAAGCTATGTATTCTTTAGCTGAACTAGCTTCAATCATAAAAATGTTTATCACAGACATTATTAAAACTCCAATAGCTGATATATATATAGGTGCCATTACACTCATTCCTAGCTATTCTATTAATAGAGCAGCAAATAAGTCTCCTAAGATATTACCTACATTTGTGCATGCTGCAAAATAACCCATTACTATCACTTTATTTGGTTTACTCTGCCAATTATTCATTATAGCCATCAAACCTGGCCATGCAGGTGCTTATGATATACCATTAAATATTTAAAGTACAAGCAATAACCATCTATTATGTCGTTCTACTGGTAATAATGCTGCTATCATAAATTATATGATTCCTGTTGAAAATGTTCCGCATAACATAAATAATTTTGGACCTATTCTATCACCAATTTAACCAAGGCTATGTAAATTAGTAATCATACAAAAGCATTGATGATCCATATACAAATAGAAATGAAAAGTTTATGTATCCCAAATACTATTTATCAAAATCATCTATTTTTTCATCGTCATGTTCATGATCATCTGATTTTGCCAATAATCCACTTGTGAAACTCCATGTTGATCTACATGAATGTAACATTGCATATTGCATAAAGCAACATATAAAAACTTAAATTCTTTTTGCTTTCAATCCAGGAACACCAGAATCAAACATAAATTTAATTTTAACATTTATGCGTATTTAAGAAGGAGCTATTGAGACATTCTATTATTATCTTTGGCTTTAAAATGATTCTATCAAACAAAATAAAGTTGAGTTTCATCTCCCTGATACTCTCATCTACAGATTAGGTGTCATTTAAGTTTTATTATTCTTATTTTTATATATAGGCATGGTATTTCACATAAAACAATGAAATCGTTGTTAAAAAACTTGAAAATAGAACTTTATCAAATATTTAAGCTGCGTTCCTTAAAGATTGTGAAAATGATGCTTGTGCTTATTTCATCAGTTGCAAGCCTAGAAGAGAATTTTACAATACTTAAGAAACTAGAGGAGAATTTTTATAAGATTAACTTAATATTGATTGCAGAACTTCCATTCTCTACTTAAATCAAGAACAATTTAAATAATTCATTAACAATTCTAATATACATCGTAATGGAATTTTGTAAAAATTTTCTAAACCTGCTTTGGCTAAAGAAAATGTTATCCAAGCTATTTGGAGTTAAAATCTCCTACTCTTAAGCTAAAGAATTAATAATGTAGAATTATCTTCCAAATTTGATGTCTAAGAAAAATGTTCTACTTTTAATAGTTCAGATTCTTACTCTAAAGCTTATCCAGTTAAGTCTAAAGTAATAACAACTTAAATTCAAAGACTTATAAATTATATCACCACAAGAATTTGTGTTGTTACTTATGAAAAATTTAGAGTTAATAGAGCTGTACTATATTGTAAAGTTGATCATCTATAAAGAATTAACATTTTATATTGTACATCTTTAAGATCCAATGATGAAAGTCCCTACCCTATTTAATTTGGATAATTAACTAGACCTGAAAATGTTAAAAATACTATTACTACTAATAAATAAAAACCTATTAAATTGATTATGGATATACAATGTCTATCCTGTTAATAATTTTGTTAATCTGAAGATTTGTATCCCATTAAATACTAAAAATTAATCACCTCAGGAGAACATCATAGAATGGACATCAAATCTTATTCTACAGCAGTTAAAAGAGCTGATCATTAATAAACAGAAGATAATCCTGAAAACTATATTGCTAATACTACTAAATTAATACCAGATATCATAAAAAAGTTGTTTCCATCTATGTCTTATAGTGTATTCATTTCTATTTTTCTTAGGAATTTGCAGAAATCAAATTAAACTCAGCTTTTCTCAATAAAGAATTGCTTGTCTGCTTTAATTGCTATCTAAAATACACTTCTATTAAATCAAAATTAACTTAAACTGGCAGAAAATTATAATTAAAATAAAAAAATAGATCTATTACTGATATGATTAGATAAGCATCTCAAGAAGTATCCCAAAGACATACTGAAAGAGATCATAGTGCTAATAAGGAATTTTAAAAAATGAGTGTATGTTTAACTTAAAGAGGGTCTTTACTAAAAAATATAGATACTATAACTATGAAATCTACTCTGAAATCATCTCAAACTTCATCGATTATGAAAAATAATATCACTTTAAGAAGTACTGCAAGAAAATCTTCAGTTTGAATAAAATAGTTTTATATTTTCTTTATATTCAAAAATGATTAATGAATAATTTTTCTATTTTTAGGCATTGAAAAAAAATAAATAATATTTATTATTAATCTCTTTATTAATTAAATTTATTATACATTTAATTCAAATTCTAAAATGATTGGAAATTATTTTTTATTCCCTATAATATTATAATTTATATTTATTTATAAACTTTCAACCAGAACTTCATGAAATTAGAGCAATTAATATATTTTTTCTCTAAAATCAATTCATTCTATTGATTCTGAATTCATCTAATTTTAATGCCATTTTAGCTTAATATGTGTAAGCTAGATTCTAGTTTTAGCTTAATATAGGTAAGGTAGATTCTAGAAGATTAAAATTAAATCAATCTCTTCTAAAATATGCATAAAACTATATCATATATTTTTGAAACATATCTATCAAAATATAAATGTAAATACCAATCAATTAATTAATAGTTTTTATTTTCAATTTCTATTTTATGAATGTAGATTTGAAAAGTTAGAAAAATTATTCAAAATATCATTTTTGATTTAATCAATTTTAATTTTTTAACTCTAAATCTATCCTTGTTAATAATTTCATTTAGTAAATATAATAATTAGTAATAATTGATTTTAAGTTATGATTGAGCAACATTTTCCATCCAAACATTAATACCTGTAGTTTAACCAAAAGAAGTTACTCTAAATAGTTAAATTAAAATTACCTATGAAGTATACCTTTAGGTATGTAGAGCATTTTATTTTGTTATAGAATAACAAATTTTAGATAGCATATTGCATCCTTTTTTCAATTGATTTTATCGTTCACTATATAATTATTCAAATTTAGACCAATCTTTGCATTTATTTCTCGAATAAACAATTTTAATATAGCAAAAGATAAATTTGTTTATTTTTTTAACTAAATTCTAATTAGATTTATGCCAAATATAATGTTAGAAGTTCTTTGTAATTTTAAATTCTTTATATTTAATTTTCTGTTAAAATATGTTATTGACAGTGAATGACCTAGAAGTAAAAGCTAAAATATCTATTAGTTTATCCTTTAATAATTCTGAAATGCTGTGATGAGTAAATAACGAACAAAGATTGTAAACTAAGAATTTATGCAGTAATTTTGATCTCTTCCCTTTGATTTAAGATAAATCTTTAGTAAATGGAACAAATTTCCATTTTAAAAAATTTTTCATAATTTTTCTTGACCTTTAATTTTTAGTGAGCATATTAATATACAAAAAAATAATCAAAGCAGAATTCTATTTTATTCTAACCATTATTATAATTTTCCAATTTCTAAAGGCTTAACAAAGTATCCAACCATACCAGCTTTCAAACATTCTTCTTCTTCTTAACCTCCAGAATATCCACTATGTCCCAATATATATCCATTATAACCCATATTGATAATTCTTTTGCAAGTTTCAATTCCATTTAAATTTGGTAAATCTATATCAAGAATCACAATTTTGTAATTTTTACAAGCACAAGTAGGTCCATGTTAAAATTACTCAATTTTCTTAATACATTCAAACCCACTAAATGCTAAGTTTACTCGATAACCTTATGATTCAAGTTACTACTTTAGCATTTATAAAATGAAAGGTTGATCATCGACTATTAGAATTTCAGGACATTAACATCTAGAATATTAACTTAATTCTAATCCACTCATTCTAAAGCTATCACATTATTTTATTTAATTTAACGGAGCCTAAAAATATTCTCTTTATTAACGAACAACTGATTCTTACTAATACTTTTATTTTTCTTCATTAAATGAATGATCATAAACCTAAAACGAAAACTTTGATCCTTTGCCTTCTCCATCTGATACTGCTGATAATCCTTTTTAATCATATGATAACTTTCTAGCTAAAACATTGCTTATCATTAATCCCAATCCTATTCCTTATGGATTAGAATTAGTTGGATCATCTAACTTACCAAATTCAGTAAATAATTTATTTTAATTTGCAGCAGTTATTCCTAAACCTGTATCAGAAACTGTCAATTCTACTGATTTGTTTACAGTTTTACCAGAAATAGTTATTATTCCATTGTAAGTAAATTTTACAGAATTGCCTAATAAATTTATTAAAATTTATCTTATTTTATAAGGATCTGAACATATTTTTTCTGGTATTCCTTTTAAATTTAACACTAAATCATTATTCTTTGCATATGCTTAAACAACCATTATATTGTATGTCTCTGTTATTAAGTGATGAAGATTTAATTATTGTATATCTAATTTAAATTTTCCTACATTTAATACTGAAACATCCAATAAATCTTGAATTAAATTAGTAAAACAATCTAATTAACTTAACATAGGCAATAAATACTTTTAAACCATTTCTTCACTACACATAGGTTAAATTTATTAAACCATCAATTTTATTGATTAAAGTGGAGTTCTAAATTCATGTACTACTGTACTTAAGAATTTAGATTTATCTGCTATCACTCTTTAAAGAAATGTTACAAGATTCATTGAAGTCATATCTCTAACAATTAATAAAACAAATTCAGACTATTTGTTTTCAAACTTTTTAAAACTTACTTAGAAAAGGGATTTCTCATTTTAAGGAAATTAACAAAGCATTTTAATAACCCCATGTTTTTCATTTCTATTCTCTATTAAATGATCAAGTAATTTCTTTACAGTTTCAAATTATTAAAATGAATAAGATGATTTTAGTTCAGATTGATCATCATATCTAGATTCATCAAAAGTACTTTTTTTAAAATATGTTTTATTATCAAATTCTTATTCATTTAAAACTATTTATTGTTCTTAAAACAATGAATTTATTTATTCCAATTCATTTATTTATTATTATACATTTTTCATCTATAATAGGTTATAAAAAGCTGCTTTCTTATTCATTCCTCCCATCATCTTTTTCAAATGTTTGTTAATAAAAATAACTTACTTTTTCATATTTACCATTATTATACCATCTGGAAACATATTGAATATTTTTTAGTATTAATCCATACATCCAAAATCATTTATTTAAAGTTCATTTGATGGTTCAGATTAATATTCATGTCCACTAACTTTTCTTGAATAATTTGGTGAAGTTTAATTTTTTATTAATTCAGGAGAAGGAAGTTTAACCGTGGATACACAACCAAGACTATCCTTTTCTTTTTTATTTTAAATGTAATATTTCATGCAAATATTTAACACCATAAAAAGTGATAACAAAGTACCTGTTATTGTATTTTCATTAGTCTCTCCCCACATTACAAAGTAAAACATACATATTAAAGCATTTATCAATTTTAAATAAATTGATTATTTTTTCAATAAATATTGCATATATGAACCAGCCAGAAAACTCTGGACTAAACATTGTTTCCTTTAAAAAATTATTAATAGTAAACTAATTTTTATGCACACTTTCACACTTATCTAAATTTTTTCGTTCTAAATTTATTTAATTTTTAATATAAAATGAACAGCCAACATCAAGAACTGAAAGCTAAGTAGTATAGTATTGATTAATCTTGAATCATTAAGTTGATAAAATGTTAGCACTACACAAGTCACTAAATGAGATACGAGTAAACTTCCAAAAATATATAACATAAATAATAATTAATATAAACAATAATAAATACTATCATCAAGCTGAATTAAATTAATTTATGTTTGCGAGTAAATTAGAATAAAATTGTGAAACAAAATATTCATTTTGTGTAAAATGAATTCTTATGAAAAAAATCTAAATGTTTGATTAACATTCAATATCATTCGCATATCTCAAATCTTTAATAAAGTCAAAAAATTCAATAGATTAACAAAAGATCTAAAGATTAAACTTCTAAAATTTTCAAATATTTTTAATTAAATTATTTCTTTTTTTTTAATTATTACAACATTTATTTAAACATAGTTATCCTTTTAATATTATTTTTTACAAACACTTTTTTTAAAAAATTAAATTTCATGATAAATTTGATAGAAAAATATTATTTCAACAAATTAAAAAAGAAATCGTTAGCCATTGTGATGTATTGCAAATCAGTAAATTAGATGCTGTCTAATAATTTAATAAAAATTAGATAAGACATTAATTTTCTAAAAAAATATTCACCTTTTGTTCTTAAAATTTTCAACTTTTGTTGAGTATTTCTTTAAAAAAAAGCATATTCTCAAAAAATCTTTCTTTTTTAATTTTTTGATCAAGAAAATCTTAAAAATTAAACCATTTCTTAAAAAATATATGTATTTTATCATCATAAATTTAGAAGAAGCTTTGAACAAAACACTTATTTATGGAAATCTATATAAAAGTTGAAAAAAAGAAAAAAAAAATATTGAAATGAGAAATAAAAATAATTAAAAATATAAATTATCATTATCAGAAGAATTGAGAAACTTAAATTTGAACTCCAAGATATGTTTTTATGTTCCGATACTAGATTTCACAAAAAATATGCATATTTATTAAAATTAGTATTTTAAATTATTTATTATATTATAAATCAAGAAAGTTAATCTTTGAGATTCAGAATTTTTTTTATTAAGATAATAAAAAATAAAGACAATGCATTTGATAAATGCGCAAATTATGTTTTTTTTCTAATAAATTAAATACTGATATTTATTAAAAATTTGATTAATTTTTTCAAGAAATATCTAATCGGCTAAAACTTTAAATCACTGTTTCTTTTTCTTTATTTTTGATATTTAGAATTAAAATAAAATAAAATGCTTTATGTTTTGTTAATGCTAATGAAAATTAGTAAAAGTTAACCAATTACAGATTTTATTGAAGGGACATCAGTTTCAAATGTAGAATGGCAAAAGCAAGATTCTAGTCAATTTAATTAAAAATTTTCCTGCAACAATGGATAATTGATAGGACCCTTTATCGGAACGATTGACAAAAACATTAAAAAAGTATTTAATAACCTTTAACCTCATTATTCTTTATAAATAACATTAGACCTTTTATTCATGGAATATTGGTCAGGATCATCAAATTATATAAATATAATGATAGATTAATAAACAATATATTCTGATTCATCTATAAGTACATCTAATTTTAATACTCCTAACAATTATTGTAAGACAAATGCATTTTTGTAAATATTATAATAATTTTAGAATATTTTTGTATAATTAATAATTGATTACATTAAGATAGAAGATTAATCATGAAAATCTTAATCCAACATTAGAAATCAGATCAGGTTTTTAGTGTACTTTACTGTAATTATTGTAGGTATGTGAGAAATTATTAGTTAAAAATGTTGTTATAATTCCTTAGTTATGTCATTTTACTTGCCTAACATGCAATGGTCCATTAGAAGATAATTGCTTGACTTGTCCTAATGGTATAATATAAGATGGTAAATGTAATTGTCAAAATGGATATTCATCGTATAATTATGAATGTGTACAATCTTGTCCTTAATATTATACTAGTAAGAATTAAAAATGCTTATTAAATTGTTCTTTAAATTGTTAAGATTGTATACAATCTAAATGTAATACTTGTGAAGATGGTTTTATACTTTATTAAGGTTCTTGTGTTATTAAATGTCCAAAAAATAGTTCTTTTTAAAATAATATTTGTGTTGATTTTTCAGAATAATCAACTTGGGGGTCTGAATATATTGGAAAATATTTTGATAGTTTAGATATTGATCTTACTAGCTAAATTAATTAATTTACTTTTACTTTCAATCCTACATTATCTAAATAAACAGGATAAATATTTTCAACATACAATAATTTATATTTATTGGGAGGATTTGGTGTTTGGAGTCATGGATATTATACTATTAATTATAATGGACTTCCTGCACATAATTAATTAAGAATATATTTGACAGCTTGGTTCATTGATAATTGGACTAATGAATAATTTATAATTAAATTGGATAACTAAATAATTTATCAAGTATCTTATTAATCATCAAAGGCAATTAATAATCTATTTTATTATGATTCAAATGATTATATTGAAGAAATTTAATTGTCTATGATACATACATCAAATTCAGCTTAATTAACTTTTTAAACAACTTTATCTATTTCTGCATATGAAGCCAGTTTAGCTTTAAGTAATATATTTATTTTGATTGACTATTGTGATTATCATTGTGAAATTTGTTCATCTAATTAATGCATTACATGTATAAATCCTTATTAGCTAATCCATAATAAATGCGTTTTATGTGATTCGACTAATTTTAGAAATAATGATTGTAGTTGTTAAATTGGATTTTATGATGATAATATAAACTTTTTATGTTAAAAATGCAAATAAGAATGTGAAACATGCATTAACTCTAATAGTTGTACCTAATGTAAATTAGGAACTAATTTAATTCTTTTGCCAAATTGCATTAATTGTATTACTGGCTTCTATTATAATAATGGAACATGTTCTAAATGTAATTAAAGTTGCTAAACTTGTTTTGGGAATGATAAATCATCTTGCTTATCTTGTTTAGATAACTAAATTCTAAATAGCAATCATGAATGCCAAAATTGTTAAGACAATTAATTTATTTATAATAATACTTGCTAAGATTGCTAGTATAATTGTGAAACATGTAATTAAGCATCAATATGCATAACATGTGCATAAGATAGAATATATGCACCTTTATGTATATGCGAACAAGGTAAGCAATTTAATAATTGTAGGATATTATGAAAGTAATAATAAGACATGTTAACTATGCAACATTTAATGTTCTACTTGTGAATTTTAAGGAGATAATTGTTTAGTTTGTTCAGGAAATAGATAAAATCCACCTACATGTCGATGTTAGGAAGATTCTGAATAAAATAATATTTCTATTTGGTGTACAGGTATGAAATATATTAATTAGATTGTTCTGTTGCTAATTTACATGTGAAATTAAGTACAAACATAAAAAAATTAATTATAAAATTTGGAAAAAAAATTAGAAAGATTAATTCTGATTGTTCATTGATTTTTCATGAATCTACACTAAAATATTTAGGAACTAAACCAATATGTTTTGCTTAATAATTATCAATAGATGTTTTTTTAGGTTAAAATGCAACCATTTATTTTGGTTAACAAATCATATTTAAGGTTGGTGTTATCTAATTTTAGGAATGTCAAAATAGTGTATCTTAATTTTTTAATAATACTTTAGAAAGTGATATAGATATATAAGCACCATTAATAATATTTACTAAAAATTAAGTTTTTTTATCAGCTTGTATTAATAATCCAGATTCAATCTATTAAATTTAATCTTATAATTTTGGTAGTAGTCCAATAACTTTTGTTGATTGGAAATTGGTTCGAGCAACGTAAAAAGATCCTAAAATAATTAACCTACTTAATAATCTGAAGAATCAATTCAAAAATCAAAATTAAAGTGTCAATTTTGTATTCTAAAATGATATATTAGAAATGCAGAATGAAATTTTATTAGAATTAAAATATTTAAATTTTTTAGGAGTTTAAGGAAATAGTTTGATAAAAATAAAACAATTAACTAATAAATTATTTTTGAATGTATAATTATAAAGAACATATTATTTTGCTTCTTAATTAATTGAAATTAGCATCTAAGTCAATCATTGTTCAGAAACATTTAATAATGATTTAAGATTAAATATTACAACTTAGATTGGCACTATTAAAAAGTAAGCTGAAATAACTTTTTAATAATATTATATATATTAAATAGAACCATATTTATTGAATGCTGATCTTTATTAGTTAAAAATTGGAGTTGATGTTTAAGAAAACATTAATATTGAAGATAACTATTAGATTTTAATTGTAAATGAAGAGCCATTTATATAAATATCGGCTGAATCTAACTTTTTAAGCTTTTCATAAAAATTAGTAATACATGGATAAGTAATGAATATAGCTTAGCAAAATCCAGTACTTAAATGGGATTGTTTTGATATGACTAAAAATTCTGAATGCACAGCATTAAATGAAACTAAATTAGTATTTCATGATTCTTCACATTTAACACTCTAACCTTATACATTAACTCCTTTTTCTGTTTATGTATTTTCAGCAAGCTATAAGGATTTATAATAGTAAGTGAAAATTACAATTGTTGAAACAGATGTTCCTAAAATTGAGTTTAAGTCTTATCCAGAAGTCTCAGATGGATATATTAATTATTATGATTAACTTTTATTTAAGTTCAAGTATCTTGAAATTATTTATAACCCTGATCAATTACTATATACAGGAATATTTTCAAATTCTGATTTATTAATCAAACATTTTAAATTCAATTATTTAGAGTTGTAAATAAGCCTTTAGAATTATTTTACTGTTGAATAATTGACAAAACATATGACATTAAAGATTAACATTCATAATCCTGATTACTTTTTACCATCTCAATTAACAATACCATTACTAATTAACATTCCACCATTGTAATGCATAATAAATATTGATGGAGTTGATTCATCTAAAACAACTTATTTTTAAATTAAAATCATAAATTGTAAAGATGATAATTTACCTTTGTAATATAGATTGGTGCTCTATTTAAATTCTTCAGATCTAAATTTCGATTATTCTATAAATACAATTTAAAAAGGAATCATTTTAATTGATTATCAATATAATAATTTATTTAAAACTAAATTAACAGGTAATGGTAATATTAAATTAATGATTCAAGTTAAAGATACACTTAATGGAATTAGCAATTACACAAGTTCATTTTACTTTGCATATGAACAAGGAACTTAAGGATTGTTACTTATTAATCCAACATCTATAAGTGAAACTTTAATTTATGCTACAAGTTTATAATATGAAAAGAATTTTAATTCTTCAGAAATTAAAAAAGTTCTTTAATAATAAAATACTTATTTTTCAAATTGTTAATGTATTACATAGAAATAACTGCTTACTTTAAAAACACTTTCTATTAATTATATTGACTGGGAATTTAGTAATATTAATAAAGAATTATATTTATCAAAAGAGAGATTAAATAAAATTAATTCATTAATGGTTAATTAACATTTAATTGAGTATGATAAATTTGAACATACTGTATAAGAGTTTTAAAAAGTGACTTTATTAGAAGAAACTATAGAGATAACAAAATATATCAATGAATTATTTAAAGTAAATAGATTTTTAAAATAGTAAAAAAGAATTTTAATAAGCGAATTGGATTCTGAAAGTAAAAATACAAATAACTAAATTATTATGGATTCTGTAAATTTAATTACTGATATTTAATTGTAAAATTAAATTATTAATGGAAATTTATAAACAATAATAACAAATTCGTTTAATATTTCAACCTAAAAAACAACTTAAAAAATATTAGAGAATTTAATTAGAAGTTCTTTAAATGAGTCATAAGTTATTGGATAGGAAGAATAATAAAATAATTTAAATTTTGCATCAGAAACATATTCATATAAAATGATTAATTACAACTAAAATCCTTATAAATATGATACTTATTTTATGAATACTTACAATGAGGAAAAAGATTATCCTATGTACAAACCTGAAATAATTTAATTGTCTAACTCCACTTTAATTTAAAATATCAGTTCATCTTCAGGTATCCGATATAAATTTGAAAATTAAGAGGAAAATCTTTTTTTTGAATGTGTCACTAAAGTTGAAGATAGTTGGAGTTTAAATGCTTGCAAAAATGTTAAGGAAGGTAAGAACACTATTTGTTAATGTCATCTTATCTCTTCGATTACAATTATTGAGGCTACCCATAGTATACTTGTTGAAGCGTTTGATTTTTTTTCACTAAAAACGATTTATGAAATTTTACAATGCCAATATTATTCTATAATCTTTACATATATAGTGACAATTTACACAATTATTTTTTTGTTGTTCATCTTCATCGGATAGAAAATGGATTAAAATAAGAAAGAAGATAATTTATTTAATTCAAGTAAAGTAGTACCATCAGATTGGGATTTGGTTATTGAAAAAGTTAATGGAGGAGAAATAGAATCTGAAAGAAAGTTACCAACAATTGATAAAATAATTATAAAAAAGGAAAGTCTAAAAAAATCTATTTTTAGTTCTAATGATAGCCAAATATCATAAGAAGATAAATAAGGTAAACGATTTAATTTTGAATTTTATAACAAAATGTTTAATAGCAGAAAAAATATTGGGACAAATAACCCATGTTCTTAAAGAGCAATTGATTAAACTGAAGTTGAAGTATCACCAAAATCAAAAATGTCAAATAGTCCAAATATAAATATAGTTTCATCAGAAATACCTTCTGCATTTAGAAAGTAATAAATGATTGAGGAAGAATCTTTGTATAAAAAATATTCAACTTAAAAAATTACTTTATGTAGGGCGCTTATATAATATATTGAAGTAATAAATTTTTTAAAAAGCTTAGATTAATCACAAAGCTCTGAGTTTATATTATTTATATGATAAGGATTGTTCTAGGGTTTACAGAACAATTATGTTATATGTTTCATTATTAGGAGAAATTAGTATTTTGACATTTTTTGGAAAAGTACTGTTTTTATATAATTTAGATCATAAACTTAAATACAATAATTGCACTTTCAATTTTGTAAGCATTGTTTGGAATAATTTATAGATAGTTACTTTCAATACTACTAAAGTCATAAAAAGTGTGTTTCAATTACTTAGGGTTTAATTTAGCAATATTAAGTGTTTTACTTTTTTTATTTATTATATTTGGTAGTGTAGCAAAATATCAATCAGTTTTAGAAGCTACTTTATGGGGAGTTGCTTATATAAGTAGTTTTATATTAGATTATTTCCTGTATACTAACATTTAAATATTGCTGTTTTTTGCAATAATTGTAAAATTTGGAAATTCAGAAACAGCTAAAGTATTAGTAAATAATTTTATTTTATAGAAATATTTAAAATTGTGTTTAAATGATAAAGTTTTTACCTAAACTTTTGGAAATGAATGATTCAAGAAATTTGAAAATAATAATTTAAGTAAATATTATCTCATAAATCAAGATATTTTATTTTATAAATATTATAATTTTAAATGATTTTAATGTAATAATATTTTAATGCTCAGATTCATTATCCCCAAGACGCTAATTATCTCTTAACATTATCATAATTCTTAAGGGTTTAATCTATCTTTGGTTCAGCTCTTAAGAAATCTTCTTTTGCTCTAGATTTATAAATAAAAATATACTTTTTATCATTAGATTATATGGCTGCTAATTAATCCTTACTAAGTGAAATCAATTTTTTCTATCTAAAAAAAATATAATATATTTTTACTCAGCTGGTGATAGATTTTAAATTTTGCTGACATGTTCTCTGATAGTTTTAAGAATCATATCAATTAAAGGATCATTTTCATATGTCATTTTTCCTTAAGCTAATCCTTTGAGAGCAGATTTAAACAAGGCTTTTTGTATTTCTGGAAGATTGCTCTTAAGATTAGTTTCAAGTGATTTTTGAGCAGCTTCAATAATATCTGATAAAAGTCTATTTTGGTTAATCTAAAATTAAAATAATAATTATACTTATTCTGCTTATTAGACTTATTTAAGGATACTATGAGATCTTTCTGTAACATGTCTTTAGAGATTCAATTATTCATTTAAGAGGAACTTAAGAATAAAAATAAAATATTATACTGTATTAATTAATTCTGCTTTAACATCTCTAAATTCTTTATGTAATTATCCATATTCAATTTATCCTTTAGCTGCTTCTAAAAGAGTACGAATTTTGAGTTGCATATTTTCATGATAATATTAATCAAGTTAGAAACATTCATTTCCAGCTACTCTTCTATAAAATCTGGCAAGTAATGGTTTCATGAATGATTTACGACCTTCTAAGTAAAAGTACATAATTTGCATCCAGAAAAGGAATGGTAAGAATGATGATTTAGCAATCCAATGTAGATTAGTTGTACCTGCAGCAAATCCAATAACAATCAAACCACCATAAGTAAGGAGAAGATATTTTCTAGCTACAAGGAAATTTTCATAATGTGGAGATACTTATTCTGGTCCGATAAAGTTGTAAAACAATTCAGATGATTTGATCTAATTTATTAATTATCACTTACACCACTAAAAGTAACTGGATTATGTGGATTGTTGTATGGATGTTCAAATACTTTACCTTATGGTGCAACATTTGGAGCTTTATTATCTTTTTCAATGGCTTCACTATTAAATAATTAAAATACATAGCTTACAGCTTTTAATTGAACTATGTGACATATTCAGCATATTTGCTTTAGAATTTTAAGAAATTCTTTCCTGCAATATCTTTATGTGAGGCTGATGCTGTAGCAAAACCAAAAAATCCAATTCGACCTGAAGATTTTACCAAAAATTACATTTATTTAAATATATTAATGAACAATGACATCTGTATGTTTGGACTGACAAAATCAGGAAAAACTTCAATGATAAGAGTGATATTCTAAAAGCTTGAAATATTTAGAACGATTTAATTAGATCCAACAAATAGAATGGAATCAGTTCCTGTTAATTTAGGATCTCATATTCATTTTAAGATTTATGAATTTTCTGGTCATTATGATTTAAATGATTCATAACCTCCTGAAATAGCAGCTATGGAAACTTGTAGTTTAATGATCTATGTAATTGATTCATAGGTAAATAAAGATGTTCTATACACATTCTATAGGCTGAACCATTTAATGAGGCTGTCTAATATTTAAGATAAGCTATACAAACTGTTAAATAAAGATCTCCTCATTGCGAATGTCATTGTTTTATTCATAAGGTGGATCCAGACATTGAAGATAATAAGAAGAATGGTAATACAATTAATAATTACTTTAAAAGAATTGTTGTAATAAATTTAAAAAGACATCTCAGATGAATTATCTAAAAATAGTATGAATTATATTAAGGTTGACTTTCATGTGACTTCAATCTTTGATCATTCATATTTGGAACATTTTAGTAAAGTAATTTAAAGAATATTGCCATATTCTTAATCTATATAAACATTATTAGATTCATTTAATCTATCATGTAAAATTGAAAAGTCCTTTTTATTTGAAATTTATTCCAAATTATACTTGGCTAGTGATTCCTAACATTTTCATAGTACTAATTTCTAACTTTGTTCTGAAATGATTGATGTATTCATCGATGTTACATGCATATATGGAAAATTAGATGATGCAGGTCAAAGCTAAATTTAATTATCAGATGGATCAATTTTAATCTATCAAACAGTTAATGAGTAATTTAATATTATTAATATTCATTAGAGGTATATCATTGATAAGTATATTGAAATCTGAGAACTTAGAAAGACCATTTTTATTAGAATACAACATTAATTAATTCAGACAGGGTTTAGCATAATTATTTAAAATTAAATGAAACAATAATAATAAAAATTAGTAGTTAAATTTCAAATCAATGTACAAAAACCAAAAATACTTTTGGGATGCTCTAAAAGTACGAGATAATCGTGATCCTGCATATAGTGTTAATCTTCCTTCTCATTCTCCTAAAGTACCATTTAAGAGACCTTTTTAACCTGAAAATATAAATAGATCTATGGAGAATAACAAATCTCGTTACTCTGAAAAACATCTTGAATTGAGTCCTACTCAAAAATTTAAAGCAGTTGCTGCTCAACCTGCTTATTTTAGTTAAGAGGGTCTATTATTAACAAGAAATAGTAAATTGCCTAATTATGAACCCACACGCTGTTCAAGCAATGAAAATGGCATAATTAGAGCTTATGCTGCAAATACTAACTAAGGGATAGTTAGAGATTATAATGAAGATAGAGTATCCATAATATTGAATATCGTTAAACCCTAAAATAGGCAAAATGAAACTTGGCCTAGATGTTCCTTTTTTGGTGTTTATGATGGTCATGGAGGTTCAGCATGTGCAGATTTCTTAAGAGATAATTTACATTAATTCGTAATAAAAGAATTAGATTTTCCTTGGAATCCATATGAAGCATTAAGAAAAGGTTTTGCAGCAGCAGAATAACATTTTTAAGAATATGCACTTTCTCAATTCAATAAAGGAATCCCTGAAAGAAGTGGTTCTTGTGCAATAGTTGCATTATTGGTTGGAGATGTTTGTTATGTAGCAAATGTTGGGGATAGTAGAGCAGTTTTATGTGGAGGAAATAATAGATCGGCATTGCCATTATCTAGAGATCATAAACCTTGTGATGAATTAGAAAAATTAAGAATATAAAAAGCAGGTGGAAAAATATATCAGTAATTATAATATTAAAAAATTAAGAACTTAATAACTACAAGATGAACAATAGGTTTTTGTTGGACCTTTAAGAGTATTACCTGGAAGATTATCTGTTAGTAGAACTTTTGGAGATATTGAAGCTAAATTAGAAAGATTTGGAGGAAAATCAAATGTTGTTGTAGCTGAACCAGAACTAAGAAGTTTTAAAATTCAAGAAGATCATTAATTTATTGTTTTAGCAAGTAATATTAAATAAATATTTTAGGTGATGGTATATTCGATAAAATGTCATCGAATGAAGTTGTTGATATCATGACTAAAGAGCTAGATTCTAATCCTAATATACATTAAGGTTGCAGTATTGGAGTTGAATAAGTTCTAAAAGAAAGTATTAATAGGAGAACTTTAGATAATATAACTGTTGTAGTTGTAGCTTTTTAAGGGGAATAAATGAAAAGATTAAAGAATGAATTAAACAAAAGAAATTAAATTAAAAAGGCAGTATAGGCTGTATTAGGTAATTAGGAAGATCAAGAAAATACTCCTGGATTAATTAATACCTATAAACGATATATTTGATTTAATTAATTTTATTTTGTTATATGGGTAATAATATGACAGTGAATTGGAGTGAATAATTAAAACACTCATTCGAGTTATATGAAAATAATTCAAAACATAATGTTCTTTGAAATATTGATATTTATTAAAATCTACCTGACAATAAAGTGAAAATCTTTAGTAAAAATGATTATTAATATGGGAGGTTTAGCTTTAGAGAAATGCTTAAGTACATGTAGTAGAGATCAAGATTTATACAAAATTTATTATGATTACCCAGGAATCTGTACTTTAGAATAGATTATAAGTGAGAAGTATGGAATCTATATATATAAAATGGATCCAAAATGTTAACTGAATTAGCCATATGGAATATAATATTCTTAGTAGTTGAATGTGCAGAATATTTGTAATCTCACTTTTAAACTATTGGTAATATCAATCCTAGAACTATTTATGTGTTAAATGATGGTATAAAACTATTTGTAAATTAAATATTATGGTAGGAAGTAAATCATATATTTAATATTGAATCATCCTACGAATTAGCACTCAAAAAGTCAGTTGTCATTCTATATTCTGAGCAAATTGAGTAACTCTAAAGAAATATTTAAGTTGTTAGACTATATACTAAATTTTATACTTCTGATCAACTGGACAAGAATTAAATATTTTAGAATCTTTAATATACTAAATCATAATATTCTGAATTACTCTTTGGTTTAATATAAAAAATGTTTCTTGAGAATCTATAAGAAAGATAATCATGGATTGATATTAAAGTAAACATTAAAATTTTAAATTAGGAATTTATTGATTCATTTAAGATCTTAGAAGAAAAAGATTAACCTTTTTATTCAAATCTTAAATTATGTCCTTAAATTACAAAAAAAGTCAATAGACTTTTAATAGAATCTGTTTAACAAAATACTTAAATAACATAAACTAAATAGTTATTTCTCCAAATACAACTTAAAGTTGTTAATAATTAACAATTATTCCAACATCAACAATAACTTAAACCTATATTCCATCCAATATAAATTTCAGAAATTAACCAATTTAATAAATTTAATAGAGCTAAGATTTTAATTTGTAATCTAAAGCTACATCAAATTTTATAAATAATGACCCAAATATGAATTTAAAAAACCATCTTTAATTTAAAATTAAAAATCATAATAAACATTTCCACCACCATAATCTATGGCTCCTAATTCAACTTTTGCTAATAAATTTTATAATCCATAATCAGCCAGACCAAAATAAAATTGATATTTTTTATATAAATTCATTTATATAATAAAATGATAAAATTTTCAGGTGATAACCATTATTCACAATACTTTTTTAAAATAGCTTTTAATTATGTTACTTAATTAATATATAGAACTCTTCCAATATCAATTATTCTTTTTGCCATTTTACCCAAAGTCTTTCTCTGTTCTGAACTGATTTCATCTTCTGTTTTAATTTTCTTTTGTAAATTAATTGGTCCACTGACATACCAACTACTAGTCTAAAATAATAAATCAATTAATTATTCTGGTACATTAATTAAATTCAAAAAAGCCAAATTCTAAAATTAACATATAATTTATACTTTATATGTATTCTTATCACATAAATGATGACAACAAGTAGCTATAGTCATACCTACAGGAAATCTTTCCTATGTTAATAATGAATTTAGAGTTAAATCTGATGCTCCTCCACACATATGTTTACAAACTCCAACATATTTTATTTCTTTATCATATCCTTAATCTTTTAATTATTATTCTAAAATTTTTAAATTAAAATCTCTAATATCCATTTTACATCTTATGAAATATTTATTATCTCTATGAAATCTATCATATTTTAATTTTCTTGGTTCTCTTTCAATTAAAACATGAATTGCCATCGAATTATCTTTTTCTTTCAATTTTTCTGCTATCTAATGTGAAAATCTTCCTTTTCCTGCTCCATATTCAATATAAGCCATTTCTTTATTTATTAAATTATATTGATCCATGATTTCTGTCAATAACTCTACTTACTAGAGATCTTTTTCTTTATCTGAGATTTTTTGTTAAGCTTCTTCAATATTTTCATCTAATATATAAGAATAGCAATTATCAGACTATTCACCTATTTTTCCTAAATATTCTTAATATATTTCTATTGCTTTTTTATATGCTTTAGGAATTAAATCAATTAATTCATTAAGTTAATCTTTAGATATTGCTTACAATTTCACTTTTATTTATTGTACATCTTCTTCTAAATTAATTTTCTCTTTGAAAAAAGGATTTAATTTTAATTCCTCTTCTAATTTTTTCTTATTGCAAATTTTTAAATGTTTCTCCATCTTAATCTTTTTGACTTTATGAGAAGGATCTAATGGACATTCCACCCAATCTATTTCTTATTAACCATGGAATACACAATATTAACCACCTGTTTTATACACTTCCATATTACAGGGTCGATTCTTTTTCACATTATAAAATTGACACCTCTCAATTTATTACATTAAAATTATGAATTCAACTACCAATTCATTCTATGAATTAAACAAGAGATTTACTTAAAGCTCTTTACGTAGAATTCGAAAGCCAGAACATGACTATGTACCAGAAGTTAAACATTACTATCGAACAACTAATCCTAAATTATTAACGGTTGAATATTTGCATAACGAATCACTTGAATAATTACATGTGAATAGTTTAGTTAGATCTCACAACAAACATACATACTCTTATAGCAGACATATAAAAATGGTTAGACCTTAATTGATATTATAATTTTAATAATTATGACAGATGTCTTTCCTGAAAGATTAAGAGACAAATTAAATATCCTATAAGACAATCTCAAACGTGCTATAAGTACTCACCAAAATAGTGATAAGAAACTTCCAACTAGATCATATTCCAATTTTCAAACTAGAAATATTGGGATTCGAATTTGGGACTTAGATGATAAACGAAATAGTAATTCACTAATGATTAGTTTAAAACCTCTTTATAAATAAGATCCAACCTACTTTTTTGATAAAGTAAAGCCTAAATAAAGAATTCGTTTAGATTTTAATTTCAAACCAACTTAATAGATTATGCCACTTTCATCTGATCCATCTTCTATTCCATCAAATTTGAAAATATCAAAGAGATTAAGTTTTTCAGATTGTTTGGTATTGAGTTCTCCTTAAAAAAAAGCCAATCATTTATTCATTAAACTTAATTTCTAAATTATCAATAAATCAAGTCCTATTAAAAATGATGAACCAAATCAAACTAATTGTTAGTTAACCAACCTGTAAATAGGTTTTAATTTAGAATAAACATTTTTTAATTCATCCTTATTAAATTCAATAAGTAAACCTGTAAAAAATATAAACGAAAATTCAACATGCTCTCTAAAAGAAATACTTTAAAAAAAGTAAGTTCAAAAATATCATAATATGGAAAAAGACACAAACAATCCAAACTCTTAATTANTTGACTTTATGAGAAGGATCTAATGGACATTCCACCCAATCTATTTCTTATTAACCATGGAATACACAATATTAACCACCTGTTTTATACACTTCCATATTACAGGGTCGATTCTTTTTCACATTATAAAATTGACACCTCTCAATTTATTACATTAAAATTATGAATTCAACTACCAATTCATTCTATGAATTAAACAAGAGATTTACTTAAAGCTCTTTACGTAGAATTCGAAAGCCAGAACATGACTATGTACCAGAAGTTAAACATTACTATCGAACAACTAATCCTAAATTATTAACGGTTGAATATTTGCATAACGAATCACTTGAATAATTACATGTGAATAGTTTAGTTAGATCTCACAACAAACATACATACTCTTATAGCAGACATATAAAAATGGTTAGACCTTAATTGATATTATAATTTTAATAATTATGACAGATGTCTTTCCTGAAAGATTAAGAGACAAATTAAATATCCTATAAGACAATCTCAAACGTGCTATAAGTACTCACCAAAATAGTGATAAGAAACTTCCAACTAGATCATATTCCAATTTTCAAACTAGAAATATTGGGATTCGAATTTGGGACTTAGATGATAAACGAAATAGTAATTCACTAATGATTAGTTTAAAACCTCTTTATAAATAAGATCCAACCTACTTTTTTGATAAAGTAAAGCCTAAATAAAGAATTCGTTTAGATTTTAATTTCAAACCAACTTAATAGATTATGCCACTTTCATCTGATCCATCTTCTATTCCATCAAATTTGAAAATATCAAAGAGATTAAGTTTTTCAGATTGTTTGGTATTGAGTTCTCCTTAAAAAAAAGCCAATCATTTATTCATTAAACTTAATTTCTAAATTATCAATAAATCAAGTCCTATTAAAAATGATGAACCAAATCAAACTAATTGTTAGTTAACCAACCTGTAAATAGGTTTTAATTTAGAATAAACATTTTTTAATTCATCCTTATTAAATTCAATAAGTAAACCTGTAAAAAATATAAACGAAAATTCAACATGCTCTCTAAAAGAAATACTTTAAAAAAAGTAAGTTCAAAAATATCATAATATGGAAAAAGACACAAACAATCCAAACTCTTAATTAAAATTTAAGGAGTTTTCTATTTTAAATGATAAAACTCATTCAATCTCAATTTTTATATCAACCAATGTCAATATTTTTTAATTTTAATCAATCAACTAAGATCAAATAGATTGTATTTCAAAAGAAATTAAATTCAATTATACTAATTTAAAAAAGGAAGAAACAATCTAAAATTAAGCAATTTAAAGATTGCCAAAGTTTGATATTGATTCTACTAGATATAATCATTCACTAAAAATTTTATAAAGATAATCTACTATAGATAGAAACTCAAGATTAGATATTATAGTATCAACAATCAAAAAAGAGCAATAATAATAAAATCATAATCAAGTAGCAGAAGCTTTAATCATAATTAAACCTTAATAATTAGCTCGAGATATTGGTTAAAGAAAACCTAATATATTAAATTTGTTCGTGAATACATTAGATTAATTAAAAAATCCTAAATTATCAGAATTAAACTTACCAGTCAAGCAAATTAAAAATTTGAAAATACTTAAAGAGGATTAAGTATCAAAATAAAATACTATTGATAAAATATTTAACTAAGATTCTTTATTAAATTAAGAAAATATTTAAAAGAAAAATAATTAGATAATCAACAGTTTAAGATCAATACATTTATCCTAACTTTTATAGGATTAGTCTAGCAATTAAAATTTTATTAGTTTGGTTTTAATTCCAATAGTTAATTAAGATGTTTTTGAAAATAGAAAAATCTAACCTAAACTATGTTTCTAATATGAGTAAAATTTATAAAAAAACAGAAAAAAGATTGAGGAAATAAAACAATTAATATCGACTTCTAAAAAACAAAATCCTTTGTTATAATTAAGTAATGGTAAATAGTAATCGATAAAAGAATAAAAATTACAAATAGATACATAAAAGCCTATAAGAAATGTTTCAGTAAGTTCAAATGATAGAAGATAATCATCAGTTGGATATAACACACCAATAAGAAGTCCAAATTTTATTTAATAAAAAGGAACAATGTAAATGTCAAAAAATGAAAAATCTCCTTTATATAGATTTAAAAAGATAAAATATTTGGGAAGAGGAAATATTAGTGATGTTTATTCAGTAACGTAAAATATTATGTATTTCTAAATATAGAGACACAATAACTGGGATGATGACAGCTTTGAAAATAATTTAAAAATCTGTAATCACAAGCAAAGGTATTTAAGGATTAATTAAAACTGAAATTTGTATTTAAAGTTATATTCATCATCCAAATATATTAAAATGTTATGGAGTAATAAATGATGATAAATAAGTATTTATTAATAAAATGTTAGATTGCTTTGGTTTTAGAATTGGGGGACATAACTTTGTTGAACTATAGAAAGGAGAAAACATTAAATGAAAAATAAATTATTGATATTATTTATCAAGTTTTAAGAGGAGTAAGTTATTTACATTAATTTGGAATCATACATAGAGACATAAAACCAGAAAACATACTATTATAAGGAGAAGTTGTTAAATTAGCTGATTTAGGAATATGTATAAAAGCTACAAATTCTTAACAATATTGTGGAACACCAGGTTATATGGCACCTGAAATAACAATGAATAAAAGATATGATAATAAAGTAGATTGTTATAGTGTTGGTGTATTAATACATGAATTATTATTTGGAAAGCTTCCAAAGGTGGGTTAATAAATAAATGGTGATACTTAATTAATAAAATTAATGAATAGACTATTGGATGTAAATGTAGCTTTGAGAATTAGTTGTAAATAAGCCTTAGAATATGAGATGTTTTAAAGTTGTGAAAAAAAGATGGCAAAATATTCAGAAATGATAAAAAACACTATTTTTTGGGATTATTGAAATAATAAATATTCAACTCTTTAAATAAACAACTATGCAAGTAATGTCATCTCTAGCTAAACTATGCCTTTTCCAAGCATTAATAGATTCAGCCATAAGTCTATCTGCAGCTAAATCAATATTTTCTTTTTCAATATAAGGAGTAACTACATTCATTACATCTTCATTTGAAAGATATTCCCATACTCCATCAGATGCAATAACTATGCATTAATCATATTATGTTAAAGTGAATTCAAATATTTCTGGATCTGCTGTAACTCCAGCCTATGCACCTACTTTATCACCTAAACTTCTTGTCATTGCTAATCCTGGTGCATCTATATAAGATAACCAAACTCTTTCAGGACCAATAGAATTTCCATAATAATCTTTTATTAATTAATATATAGATACCTTTCTAACTCTCAACTCGTCCTCCTGCTTAAAGAATTCTTTATTTTTCATCTTCAACATTTGGTTTATGATCTCTTGTTATTTATATTGCTTTCCAATTCCCCTCTTAATTTCTACAAATTATAGCTCGAGAATCTCCAACATTCGCTGTCCAAAGTTAATCTTTTTTAATTAAAACAGTAACAGTTGTAGATCCTGACAAAGATGTATCTGTTTCAGAATCCCATATCTCTTTATTTGTTGATTCAAATGCTTTTTAAATAACCTTATATTTATTGTCCTCTTTATTTATTAAGGATTCGAGATGCTTTGGTAATGCTTACCTAATAAATTGAGAAACTAAATGACCATTAGAACCATGACCATCACATACACCAAACATATTATAACCTAAACTTACTTATTTTGAAGAAATTTACTTCTCTAAACAATTTGGTAAAACGATAGCCGAATCTTAATTAGTTTTTGATGTCTTATTTGCTTAACATCCAGCTTTTGTTTTAAAAGCATATTATCCTCCATTCCATGTTCTTGCCATCAACCTTTTTTTATTTAATGACAATTATCTATCTGGACTTTGCTATCTTCTTTCAGGAGTCACACTATTGTAATGAGTAATAGCATCTTCTAATCTTTTTTTTAATTACTTTTCATATTTACTTCAATTATTTTGGCACTTCACTTTTTGCTTCCAATTTTGGTAATCTATTATGAGGCTTTGTTCCATTTGATAGATTCAGCAATTCTAAATTAATTAAATCAAATACTTTGATCACTTTATAAATCTGCTTTTTTGAAATTAGGTAAACTAGGAAGAGATACTTTTTAATTTATTTTTGGTTCAAACTCATCATTTTTATAACGACGTTACACGTTTCCTTTCAGAGTTCTAATAATTTAAACATTTTTACTTATGAATTTCTAATTAGTTCTCAATCGTAGTATGTTTTGGAGGTTTGAAATCTAAAATAAAAATTTAATTGATTAATATAAAGGTATTATTGGTGAATCAAATGTTATCATTAGTACCTGATAAATCTGGAACTTTTTTATTACTGTTGCTCATCTAAATTTATTAAAATTAATAAACTAAATATTATTATACAATAATTTTCGTTATTTAACAGAATCATAAATCTTCCATCCGTGTATATAATAGGATTTAAAACATATTCATATAATCTTAATTTAAATTAATCTCTTAAAATTTAATACTCATTCTAATCATTCTAAATTATTTATACTTATTATTACAATCAATTTGATAAATTTAATAAATTATCAAAGATATATGACGTTAATTTTATTAATTTATATCAAAATGATAAAGCTTTCAAAAAATTTTTATTATCTTTATACATAAAATCAAAAATTTTGCTTTCTTTATTAAATTAATCAAACTTCGCTTCTTGCTAATTAAAATACAAACACCCAAAACAAATATAAATTTGACTTAAAACTACAAATACAATAATTTATGCAGTAATATTATTTATAATGTCATCAATAGAGAAGTTATTTGAATTGATTACTCGTTACATTAATCCAAAGAATTGATTTTTTAATTTTAGCACAAGATCAGTAATTTATATGAATATGAGTATTAAATAAATTATTATTTAACCCTTTCAGGGAATAGCACACAAAAAATAAAATAATCAATACTCATTGTTATACTTCCTCATCTTATTATATTAATTTTCAATTATTACATAATTTGCTCAATAGTCTTTTCAATCTACTCTTTATCATGATCATTGTTCAAATTTTTCACTAAATTACAAAATTCCTCCAAATCCTTTAACATCAAATATTCTTATGTATTTTTTTTAAACAAAAAATTTATAATTAAGTAAATTATGAAGAAATCTTGAAAAGTAAAGTTAACTATATTATATTCATTATTCTACACAAGAGTTCGATGATTTTTAAAGGGAAACTATTATTTTTAAATATAACCTAGAATAAAGTAGAGTTAATAAAAAGGATAATTTATAAGAAAGAAAAAATACATTAATTAAAAGAAAGATTAAATAATTAAATGTTTATATAATAAATTTCACTTCTTAAAAGAAAAGAAATTGATTCTATAAATAAATAATAACTAAGTTTAGTTAAAAAGCAAAACGCATGTAAAATAGCTTTGTTATTCTTCATATTTTAACTAATTCAATAGACCCTTTTTTGTAAGATATTATTATTAATTATTTAAAATATTAAAAATGAACCCATTTAAGGTTTCAAATTTATGTTGTGGAAACCAAAAAAATTTGAAATTTTTCAAGATAGTTATAGAGAATCATGAAAATGAAAGATAATACATAGAGGTAGATCCTTTAGAAAAGATAAGAGAAATTAAATAAAAAGTATTTGACAATAAAGTTGACCCTGAAAAATCACAATTATATTTTTAGATGAAGAAACTTGAAAATGATTGGACAGTTAAATAAAGTGGTTTGAAAGATTAATGTAAACTATATTTAATATTTGGCGAAAACATAAGAGCTNTAATATTATTTATAATGTCATCAATAGAGAAGTTATTTGAATTGATTACTCGTTACATTAATCCAAAGAATTGATTTTTTAATTTTAGCACAAGATCAGTAATTTATATGAATATGAGTATTAAATAAATTATTATTTAACCCTTTCAGGGAATAGCACACAAAAAATAAAATAATCAATACTCATTGTTATACTTCCTCATCTTATTATATTAATTTTCAATTATTACATAATTTGCTCAATAGTCTTTTCAATCTACTCTTTATCATGATCATTGTTCAAATTTTTCACTAAATTACAAAATTCCTCCAAATCCTTTAACATCAAATATTCTTATGTATTTTTTTTAAACAAAAAATTTATAATTAAGTAAATTATGAAGAAATCTTGAAAAGTAAAGTTAACTATATTATATTCATTATTCTACACAAGAGTTCGATGATTTTTAAAGGGAAACTATTATTTTTAAATATAACCTAGAATAAAGTAGAGTTAATAAAAAGGATAATTTATAAGAAAGAAAAAATACATTAATTAAAAGAAAGATTAAATAATTAAATGTTTATATAATAAATTTCACTTCTTAAAAGAAAAGAAATTGATTCTATAAATAAATAATAACTAAGTTTAGTTAAAAAGCAAAACGCATGTAAAATAGCTTTGTTATTCTTCATATTTTAACTAATTCAATAGACCCTTTTTTGTAAGATATTATTATTAATTATTTAAAATATTAAAAATGAACCCATTTAAGGTTTCAAATTTATGTTGTGGAAACCAAAAAAATTTGAAATTTTTCAAGATAGTTATAGAGAATCATGAAAATGAAAGATAATACATAGAGGTAGATCCTTTAGAAAAGATAAGAGAAATTAAATAAAAAGTATTTGACAATAAAGTTGACCCTGAAAAATCACAATTATATTTTTAGATGAAGAAACTTGAAAATGATTGGACAGTTAAATAAAGTGGTTTGAAAGATTAATGTAAACTATATTTAATATTTGGCGAAAACATAAGAGCTTGACTAATATATGATTATTATTTAAATTACAATATTGAAGAAAAATATTTTTCAATCAAGAAAATTTAGGTGTGTTTTATTATATTTTTAAATGAATAAATATAATACAAAAAAACTCATTTTAATTCTTAGATTCATGATGGTTCTTCATCATAAAGTTATTTAATTCTTTATTATTATAATTACCATTTGAGCTACAAATTTTCACAAATTAGTTCAAAATACGACTTTCGATTGAACTCTATTATATATTTTTAAAATTACATGTCTATTATTAATCACATACCCAAATAACTAATGGAGATTATTTGCAATTAAAGTAAGTATTAAAATCAAGAGTATTGGAGTCATTTTCATATAGAAAAATAGCATCAAGTTCAACATTTTTTATCGTTCTTTTTCCTGTTATGCTATTTTTCATTTCTATTTTTCCTTTAATTAAAGATACTGTTTTTCCTTTATCTGTTATATTGTCATTAAACTTTTTAAAAGACAATTCGATTGGAAACAAAAATGATTCTCCTATTTCTAAATTAGGAATTGTAATTTAATATTAATGTTAATGTTACAATTCAATCCATCCTTCACTATGTATTTCATTGATCAATATATTTTCAAAAGGAATATTTTATAGATTTGTTGAGATAGTTATAGTTACATCATCCCATAAATTGAATGGAAAATTAGCAAATGCTTCTTCCAAACATTAAAAGACTTATTATTCATCAGTTATTATATAATGTTTTCCAAATCTTAGATTAGTTATAGCTTATAATCTTTTATTAGCATTTGAATTACTGAATCCAAATGAATCAATAGTAAAAACATCATAATTATATTCTAATTACTTTCTAATTTTTGTTAGAGCAATTTCATCTTAACCATCTGAGAAAATGAAAATTCTTGCCCAATTGTTTTTATTTTTTCTTTAATTTATAACATCAAAAGCAACTTCAGTTCCTTTCCATAACTAAGTTGTTCCAATACATTACAAATCATTAATAACAAATGCAAAATATTCTTAAGTTTCTGATGTTACTTTTTACAAACCTGTTAGAAGTTTCCCTTCATTATTGAAACTAATCAAGCATAATCTATCTTAATCTCTAAGATTATTATGTATTGAATGCAAGATTTATTTTACATACTCAATTTTTTATCCTTACATACTATTGCTAATGTCAATTAAACAAAACTTATATTGATGAATATATTACTAAATCTACACCAATTTAATCTAATTCTTCTAGAGTTTTTGTTCTTAATTATAAAACAATAGGAATAGTTTGTTAAGTCAAATTTAAAATGTTAGACCCTGGGTTAACTGAAAACATGTCAAATTATATATCATCGTCAAGAGGCTATTTATTTATGGAACTTCTGCTTGGAATGCTTTACTAGGTTCTTTGACTGAATCTATTTTTAGATTCGCTCTAACTATTTTTTAGATCATTATCCTAAGGTTAGGTTTTAACTTTTTGATTAAGATTTTGCATAGTGTTCGATTTTTGGATAGGTTTTTTCTTTTTTTGTTGGAATGAAAAAGAAGATGACCCTCCATCAGTTTCAAGGAGTCCATAACTTCTCCACTTTGAAATATTGTGATCTTAACTCACAGCACTCCTACAATTTATTTTATATTTACTCTGTTGAAGGAATTTACATATATAAATTTATATTTATATTGTTAATAATGATCATGGTTTGCATTTCTTTGAATATTATACCTTCTAAACCCACATCATTTATTTTTTATTTTAAAATTATGATTATTCTTCTTACTACAATTAAATTCCAGATGCATCAAATTTTGCATTTATTCCTTATTAATTGTAATTGTTAGAAATAATTTAATACATTTATTTACTTCCAAATTTATTGAAATATTCTTTTTTAGCTGCCTATTTAACTTATTCAAGATCAGACACAATATTTTTACATTTTTCTGATAATTATTGATTTTCTTACACTTTAGAAATAAGTGAATCAATTAAATCTATAGCTTAAGAATTTTATCTATTTTAACATTTCTGTAATGCAGATTTGATCACTTCTGCTGATTCAACTCTAAAAACTTATTCTGTAACAAAACTTAAAAATAAGTATAATTGTTTACTAATTTTATTCTTCAATAATAGTTTAATTTTCATCAATAAATTTCAAATATAATTCAGCTTATTTTTAAATAGTTTCTTGAGTTTAAGAACTCGTAATTTATACTTCAGCTTAAAATAATAGTACATCTTCTTAAGGTAACTTAATTAATATATTATATAAAAAATACATTATTATTAATATATGGTATACTAAGTTTAAAAACGAAATCTCTTCTTTATCCTTCTGCTAGATAAGGTATTTTAAGTTTAATAGTTTAGTTATTTGATTTATCTTATCCATAAAATTTAGAGATGGTTATAGCATCATATGGAGTTTAAGTTTTATTTTATAAAGTTATATTAATATTTGTTGCAACCATAGAAGTGAGAGCACCAAGTGCATCAACAAAAAACTCATCAAGTAAAGATATGTTATTAACAAAATAGAAACTACCTTTTCCCAAATTAGAAATTTTAGTCATCAATTTAGCATCATGATCACTACCAAAACCAAAAGAATGTATAGTAAGTGTTTATGAATAATAGGCTAATTATTTTTGAATTTAAGGAATTGCAGCTTCATCTTAACCATCTGATAACACAAAAATAGCTGTCACGTTATTCACATTTTTTCTATATTTAATTTATTTTAAAGCCATTTAAGTACCTAAACTAATTACTGTTCCACCATTAGCTTAAATCTTAGAAATGATTTCCGAATAATATGTTTTATTCTCATCAGTCACTCTTCTTAAATTAGTCAATCTTTAACACGTATCATCAAATTATATTAAACATAATCTATCTTTTGGTCCTAAAAAATTTAGTAAAATGTTTAATGTTTATTTAACCATATCTATTTTCTCTCCACTCATACTCCCACTTCTATCTATTACACAAAGCTTTATTTTTAAATATATATATATTTACTAAATCTACTCCAACTTTTGAATGTTATTGTTAATCCATATTAAATTGGTTCTAGGCATCTCCCTCAATCTGTTAAGGCACTTATTAATGTTAAACTTCTTTTGCTTTTATACCTACCAAACATGAAAGTTCCTTTCTTTCGTTAAACTTTACAGTCTTAAATTCAGAAGCTAAGTAAAATTCAACATTTTCATTAAGATTATATACTTAGCCTTCTTAAACTTGTTGTTATTATTAAATCTAATCTATATCAAAACTTTCATCATCATCAAATTGTATTTGTTTAGCATATTTATCATCAATAATTTCTTATTCAATATAATCATCATTCTATTGTTATTTTATTGCTTATTATTATTATTATTATTATTGTTATTGTTATTATTGTTATTATTTCTTTTTATTGATTATTTTTTTTGTATCGTATTTTCCATTCTTTATACGAACACCAAAATAATCAAAATCTTCCTTATCTTGTTCATTACTTTAAATCACAGTTTCAAAGACCTGAATCAATTGATTTGGAACATATATTTCATTTAAATTCTCTTATTGTAGCATAATATTTATATAATTTTATTATGATTTTATTATTGAATATAACTTCTATCAAAAGACATTACAAGCTTCACAACCTCCTGTTTTTGTTTGTATAATCTCTGTTGGTGCTTGCTATTACCTAAAATATTATAATTAAGTTATTATTACAAATCAATCTATTGTTCTGGTAAATTTTATTTAACTTCAATAACCTGTTGTTATTCTTAAATTATTTATTATTGTTCTTCTTCAACAACAACCTATTTAATTTCTTATTGTTAATTCTCTTAAATATCAATATTTTCATGTTATATTGTTTCCACAATTTATGGAACATATTACTAAAAATAGATTTAAAAATAAAACTTGATTATAACTTTTAGAGAAATCTAAATTGCTAAAGCTAGATTCTATTTATTCTGTAAATTTATCATTTAAAATTTAAGCTTATTGATAACTATGAATTTTTTTGGTCATAGCATCATGCATAAATTAATAACCCTTATGTATTGTATCTAAAAAGGTTATTCTATCCTATAAAATTTTTGCTTTATCCTAATTCTTGTTAGTTTCTGATTAAATTTTTTACTTTTCAAGAGCATGCTAAAAATAATATAAAAAAATATACTGTCTGTAATAACTTCTCATTATCATGAATCTCTTTGGATTACTTCTCTACATCAATCATTAATTCTACAATCTTAAAGATGATCTTAATTTAAGCTTAGATTGCTGGTGTTAAAATATTAGAAGATATTATCTAATCCTTCTGTTTTATTAAATTTTAAGTTCTTTCAAATTCATCTTTTTTCATATCTACAGCTTTCACTTTTCCTAATCTTTCTTTGAAGTCTTAAGATCCTTCAGGCTTCTCGAATACTTATTCCTTAAAAGATATTAAATATAAATCAACTTTGAAATTGTTCCAATAATAACTTGAGGCTGGTTCTTTATAAATAACAACTAACGTCCATATCCATAACTCATTAACAGGACTTTCTTTGTCTTTATTCTTTATATTTAATTACTCTATCATTATATAATACAATTACTTAAGTCATTAATATTCAATGAATTAGCATCATCCTATCTCATTTTATTCAAACCTACAATTTTCTTTTTAGCCTCTTAAATATTATTTTGAAGTTCTTTTTCATCATGCTTAGGTACTATAGCTTATAACCTTTGTATCTCATCTTGAGATATTTTTAGGTCTGCTTCAATCTAACAGATATATATATCATAATTACTGATTTTTTTTATTCTCTGTTCACTTATAAATGTTATTATAGTCGATTACTTTCAATTGTTAACGTTTCTATAATATTTTAAAGTGTGATTTTCTAAATTCTCTTTCAATATATTACCTCTTTTCCAAAGTATTCTTTATCTTAATGTAAGGAATCTCTGACAAATTTCTCAATTAAATTCAAACGATTTGATGTGTACTTTACTGCTGCTGCCTAATCACTATGTCCAGGGTTAACTTCCTTAAGCTACTAAATTTAGAGATTCTGATTTCATATAAAGACTTTTTACTTTTAGATTATCAAGTTTGCTCATAAATTATAAATATTTATCATTTAATTTAGCCTTAAAATAAAGATGTCATTTCTTTATTCAAAATTATTATCCTTCCATTCTTCACATTAATTACATTACATTATTTCTTTTATATAACCATATGTGATTTCTTATTCTTTTAATTATGATTTTTATATTTAGAAATTTAGATGTCTTTTCTAATTTTTTTCATTCATTCATTCAATACTGGTTCTATTTTTACTCCTTTTTATTTATATATTACTTGCTTTTCAGATTATTCTTCATCTATACATCAAATCATTTTTTTCTTAAGAGATTTTTAAATCTCATAATAAAAAGTTTATCATTTTAATTCCAATATCAATATGATACCTTTACTGACATCTAGTTCTTGTTTTATGAAGATTCATATTAGTAAAAAATATGTATATTGTTGATTTTTAGAATTTCATCTGATTTTTGCAAAGATTATTACACAAATGATAAAGCAAAATAATTTATGTTAAATATTTACCAAATCTGTTTTTGAAAGAGAATACACAATTATCTAAACTTAGAAGATTAATTTATTTTTTTTAATTTTAAATTATTATCGATACCTTGAAGAAATATCTATGTGTTTTTATTTATCAATTAGTTCTATAATAATCACTGGATTGTTTTATCAAGAAGTTTAATAAATTATATTATCGATTTCTTTACTAATGAAATTTTATTAAAATAATTTATACTTATTTACAAAAAGTGATCATAAAAAAACATTTGATTTAAAATATCAGAAAGATTCATTATTCATTTAGCAAAATGCTAAAAGTTCATTAAAGAAAGATATAAAAATAAATATAATAACTATTATTTCTATCAATATCATTTTGTTATATTTAACAGAGATATTTTATTTTTTCCCATTTATCCTGTTAACAGTCTTCTCCTCTTGATCAAATGTACTGCTAATTACACCTATTCTATAAATCACTACATATAATATTTTTACCTGATTTCAAATAATACCATATTAATAAATTTAATATTGGTACTGGAACAATTTGATTATTTTAGTTTATATTAATTTCACAGCAATTTAACAATGATTAAATAGAATTCCAAGCTTAAGGTAAATTATTATTATGCAAATTTAATGCAGCATAATTAAAATAATTGATTGCTTTAGGACTATAATTTAAAAAGCATGTCGTTTAAATACCAATGACATTCCTGCATTAAAATAACAAATTGCTATTGATAAATCTACTTAAAAAATTAGCTACTCCATTGGTATTCAAAAAGATATTAGCTTCTTTAATTTTAGAAGTAGAAATTTAAGCTTCTAATATATATTGTATTATTGTGTATTTATTAGTATCTGATAAGTTATACTCTAATGCTTCTTTACCTTATTATAAGGCTAGGTTACAATCTCCTCTACACAGTAATGCATATGTTAAAAATACAATTGAAGATTCAAATATTTATGATCCTGCTATTTATAATTAATCTTAATCTAAGTGTATAATTTCTTCCCTTTTCTCCTTTTTAGATAAAATAATAGCATTACGGAAAGATCTTTAATAGATTTTATTTATTATACTTTATAGCATTATTTAACAATTCTTTGTAAGCTTTTGGTTATACAAATTTATTTTCTTCATTTTTTTAATCAATTTTATAGAATTAATCTTAATATTCTTCATCAGCATCACTATAAATTTCTCTGCTTTAAAGTATAATTTTTTTCGCTTCCTCTTAGTTATTTATTTGAGAATGCTCTTCTAATATTTCATAAATCTCATTCTTATCAGGCATAGATTCATGATATAATTATATATAACAAACACCTCTATTATACCAAAATTTAGCACTTTAATTACAAGCTTCTTGTAATTAATTATAAATATTAAGAGCTTTTTAATATTTTTAATCCATAAATAATGCGTCAGCTAAATTCTAATAAATAGCAAACTATCTTTATTTTACATTTGCCAAAATTATACTTTCATAAAGATTACTCTATTATAATACTGATTTAGTTTATGCAATTGCTTTATGGAAATATATTGCAGCTAAAGCATACTTACCAATTTTAGCATGTACACAACCTAAATTATTATAAATTTAAGCCAAATATAAGTATTATTTACTTTATATAAAATCTAAATTTTATTAATTTTGAATTTCTGAATATGGATTAATCATTTTAATACATTTTACAACGTTATCATTAAGATTGAGTTGTTTTTGGGCTTTCAACAATTTGAAAATCATTTGTGAATGTAATTTTAAGTAAGGTTGAATTTCAATTGAAAATTATGGTACTTAAAGTTATTACATACCTAATTGTTAATCTAATTAAAATATATAATTTTTGTAAGATTATTCTAAATTAGACATTTATTTTTTCCAATCCTTAGAATTTGAAAGCATATAAAATCTAAATTTAATTACATTTAATATGAATAAAAACTCTTCTTTGCTAAATGTATTAGGATGTGAATCTGGATAAGGTAAATCAGATCCTAATAATAATGATGTATAAGTCGATTATGATTATTACTATTATTGATCATCTGTTTAATTTGCCTTATTAATCTTCTACTATAATGATTTTAAGATATCTTCTTATGATAGTTTCTTATACAATTCACTTGCATATACAAACTCTTATAATTAAAATGATGTTTCAACTAAAAGCAAATGTACCTTGATATTTAAGTATATATCTAGATTATAGTTATCTTTTAATTATTTCAATAGGTTATGAGCTTATCTCACTTTTCCACTCAAAAATAACATTATTGCTTTATTAAATTATAAAATGCTATCATCTTCTTGTTTTTTTTCTAGTAAAATTAAATTCACAATAATATTTACTTTTCTATGTTGATGGCTTTTTAATTTCATCAATAATTTCATCAAGTTTCATAATGCAAGTATTTGCATCCTTATTTATATTGTACTCACAAAGTATGATATTTTCATTAATTTACACCATTGATTAATTTTGATCAGATTACTCCTTTAATTGCTTAAATTTCTGTAATTCCCTACACTTAAATAGTAGATTACTCCATTGATTCTTTATAATGACCCTGTCCAAAATGTTTAAAGGAATTTTATAAGATTGTAAATGACTACGCCATAAATTATAAACAAAATATTTCCTTTTATCAAATAAATTCTTAGTTCTAATAATTGTCTATCTCTTTTTATACTTAAATTCATTTTCAAATAGTCAATCTAACTTATAATCATCTTCTTAATCTATCATTTAAGGAAATGTGAACTACTATATTCAATAATTTCTATTATCCTCAATCTTTAATTTATTTTGTATATTATTAAGGAAATAATATACAAATAGATTACATAAAAATAGAAAACAAATAATAAACTATTAGTAATTCTTTCATAATCGAAGAATAATGGAAATATTCATATTTATTTTTATTATATTATGAATTCATCTTCATGATATATCACATCATTTGTTAAGGTTATTCAAATTATCCTTTAACCACTCTAGGTACTTCTAATTTAACTTCAATAACTCTTTTAATCAACATATCAACAACAGCTAACTTATTTGCTTCATAATCAGCATAAATCTTATCTATTTCAGCTTTTGTTCTTCTCTCTAATTCTTCTTCTTCTTTTGTTGATCCAAAACGCTATTTATTGATATTTTTTAATTTACTCTTAATATTTCTTAGTTGTATCTAGTTTCTTCTTCTCTACGAAATACTGCAATTTCTTAATCTGCTGCAACCTTAGCTTCTTTTATTTTCTTTTCTCTCTCTTTTTAAGCATTCTTAATTATAGCATTTGCCTCTTCTTCTGCCTTAAGTAATTCATCAACAGCCCAATTTTCTCTTCCAGACTCAGCCATATATATATAATATAATTTATTTATTAAATGATTTAATGAACCATCATATTCTTACATTGTATTATCTTTTATTTTAACTATATTTATACCCCTTTCATAACATTACTAAATCTTTTTAGTAATTATTTATTATAAATCTACTGTGTAAAAAATAAATCTCATCTATAATAGATTTGATTCAATTCTAACAAATTATAATCAACAAGATCTCCTTTACAAATCTCATTAAATTTTTATTTTAAGTATGAAAATTTTAGGCTTATTCACTATCTTTTAAAATTATTTTCTTGAATTATCAGTTTCTTTTTGAAAAATTTCTTTAAGTAGTTTATATTATAAAATAATCAGATAATTTATAAAACAAAGTCTTCAGTTTTTTTAGATTTCGAATTTAATTTTTTTAATTTTTTGTAATATTATTTTTATTCCTAAGATTTCTAAATTATTTCATTATATATAATTTATAGTTTTAAAATTTTTTTTATTTTTCTTTGGCTCCCATAATTAGGAGAAAAATAAATTCCTTCTAATTATTCATCACTTCAAATTGAATGCTAAAAATTGATTTTATTAATTAAAAGTACAATTATTCTTGCCCTCTATGTTAATTGAAAGACTCTTTAAAAATTTTTGTTTCTACCATAAAATTACCATTTATGATGAAAAATGAATTTATCTTTTTATTGTTTATAAATGATCTTTAATTTTCGACAGCAAAATATCTAAATTTATTTTAAAGAATATATGCCTTACGGCCCCTTTATTTTAAGATCGGTTATATATCAATAAATTTAACCAAGAATGTAAAAAATTTACAATAAATCTTTAATAATAAATGAATTATTTGTGAAAGATTTATTAAAATTCAGAATTGAAAAATGTTATCTTTTTTACTAATTCATGTAATAAATAAATTTATAATTTAGAATAGGATAAAAATATTATATTATTGGTTAAACTCCAAAAATCAAGATGTGTTCTAAAGGTATAGTAAAATAAATATGATGAATTTGAAGTAAAGTAGTTTATTATTGAATATAATTATTTGTTTGTTCAGAAAAAATTTATATAATGAAACAATTGCTCCCAAGTCATAAAGCTTAATCTCTTATTAGAATAACATAGACTGGATGTTCTAAGTAATCGCCGGTAAAGGGAAGGTCGAATTAGAGAAATTAAAGTTTACCTGGATTTCCAACCTAATAAATTGAGAAGGAAGATGATGAAGAAGTAAATAGTATGTTAATTTAGACAAAAGAAATAAATAAATTAGTACAAGATTAAGAACTATGTTCATTAGAATAAATATAAGATAAAGGAAGATCATATTTAATTGATAATCAGCATTAAGTATTTGATAATCATTTACAATTGATTAAACCTAATCTTCCAAATGCTAGTGAGTAGGGTTTAAGAAGATATTATCTGAAGTCAGAACGATATAAGGAAATGTAGCAATTTTATCATGTTGATAAAAATATATATGGAAGGATGAGTGAAAAGATATAAACAGAAAGACTGATGCCAAGAACGTTAAAATTATTAGCAGAGTCTCCTGATAAATTAGTAGCAAATAATATATTTGGAAGTGATAAATATGTATAATTATTTGCTGAAGGTATCAGCAGCTCTCATTTTAATAATTTAAAGAGATTATAATTAAGAAATAATAAGCTAAACAATAATCGAACTTGCCTCTTAACATAGAGACTTCCCAATTCTATCATAGAATTAGATTTTAGCAATAATAAAATTGGTACATCAGGAGTTTAGAGCATTTGTAATTATATATCTTCTAGAAATTATAATATTCAGCATTTAAATTTGGAGGATAATAATCTTAAAGATCTTGCAGTCTTATCTATACTTAAAACTTTGAATGATAGCAAATCTATTAGAGTTTTGAAGCTTTCTAAGAATTAGATAACTGATTTACCAATGGAAACATTTGGATAATTACTTAAGAAGGTATTGAATCAGTCATATAACAGAACAATTCTTTATAAGAAGTGTATTTGCATTTCAATCTGATTAAAAATCCTGGAGGGTTGACAATCATGAAGGGTTTGATAAAGAATTAATTTTTGAAGGTTTTAGATCTTTCATTTAATAAATTAGGACAAAATTAAGAATTTGTATAAGCATTATCTGAGTAATTATTATTATTATAATATATTGTAGTGTTATAATTAAACCTCATCCAGAATTAACTCATTTAGATTTATCATTTAATAGATTTAATGATGATGATGCTATGGTAATACATAAAGCCCTTATATATAATTAATAATTATTTGGGTTTCATTTTTCTGGTAATCCTCATAATTATTATGTGAATCCCAGATCATTTTTAGTGAAGGAAGTAATGTATGATGAAAATAAATCAGATCCTAAACTTTTTAAAAGAATTAATAGCGTAAATTGCATAAACACTAAAACTAAAGAAAACTGTTGGATTTGTGAAGGCTGGGTAGAAATTGGATTTCATTACTCTGGAATTGAATATCAACATCCAATATTTTTACATCTTGATTTCGAACAATATAGACCAATTTTAATGAATTAATAAACTAATAGCTATTATCTTTAAAGAATGTGTCCACCTAATAAAAAAATTCACTATTTTTTTAGCAATCCTATTTATGATGTAAGATTTGTAGCTAAAGATCAAAAGACTTTAACTCTTGATATTAATGAAGAAATAAGAAAAAAAGGAATAGATTTATAATATGCTGATGGTTCATCAGTTTTAGTGTAATTATCTATTGTTAATTATATTCATTCAGAATAGAGTCGAAATATTATTGATTCTTCTAGACATTACATGGCTAATATTACATGTAGACCCAGAGAATCAGAATCAATCATTGATATTGATTTCAATAAAGCTAAAAAAAGAGTTTGGTCTTATGAAAATTCAATTTTTAAAGATTTTTAACCAGATACTGAAGGACATCTTTTAGATTGTTTTGAATTTGACTTTGAATGTGGAAAATTGATTAAACATTTGTAAAACTAATAGGAAATAGAATAATTGAAAAATAAAATGAAAAAGATATACAAATACATTATTGGTTGTTATCATTATTTTTGTGCTAAAACTCTAAATTATGATATACCATGTATCAATTTATAAAGTTTTTTGGATTTTATTTCTTAAACAAGTATTCTTGAGAAATCATTAATGAATTCTTTAGATCTATAATTAACATTTCTATCAAGTTATGTAGTGGTGAAATAAAACAATTATATTCATATATAGGAAAAATGTTTAGTGAGATTTTAATTCGTTGAAATAATAGTAAGATTGGCTAAAGAATAATATATTAGAACAGGATTAGCCAATAATATGGCAGAAGCTTTAGAATTGTTATTTGAATAAGATGAAGTATTGCAATTTATGTAAAGATTTGGGATTTCTTAAGATTGGAGAGATACTCGTTATTGGACTGAATTAATGGATTATACAATTAGAATTAAGTTGCCTATTCTTAATATACTATATGAGAATGCTTGTAAATAAACAATGAAACATGGAAATAAATTTGTAACATTGGCAGATTTTAAGTTATTTGTAGATCAATTTGAACTACAAAAATACATATCTGAAAAAGAATTATATTTGATATTTCTTTAAAGTATGTAAACCTAAAGAGATGAATTAAGAGAATCTAAATTTTTAAAGATGGAATTATTAGAATTCGTAGAAGCTATAACAAGATTAGCAGAAAGAATTTCACCAGTTACTCCAATGTATGCTAAGAAACATAGTAATTTAATAAATGATGTTTCAAGAAGAACTTTTCCTTTATTTGTAAAGTTTGAAGGAATAATCATTGTTATGTATTAGAAATTGAAATCTATTTTTGTTGAAATACCAAACGTAGAAAAAGAAATAATCTATAAAACAGTCATAAAAACAGAGAAAGCAAGAAAATTAGGAATTTATGGTATAAAATTAGTATAATCATTAAATAGAGGAAGACAATAGTTCTGATGAAGAGAAAATCAAATCCATAAAAAACTTAAATCTTCTTCCAGATGAAGGATTACTACCTCCACCATAATAATCTGCTGGATGGAATAAACTTAGATAATGGGCTTCTAAATAAAAGAGAATTTCTATGGAATCTGCCAACATCTTAGAATAATTAGAAAGATATTAGGTTAAAGAGGACGAGATGTTTTAAAAATAAGGAGATGCTATTTCTGGATACGATCGATATAAGATTACTTAAGAAAAAAAGAAAAGAGAAGAATATAAAAAAACAATCCTATACTAAGATCCTTAATTCAAATTCGAACAGGAATTGTCTAATTGAAAATATACTTTTTATTAAAATATTTTATGATTAGAAGATAAAATTACTTACCCAAAATCCTATAAATTATTCAAGAAAAAAAGAAAGCTCTCATTCAATAATAGCAATCTCTCTAAATTCCAGAATAAAACCTTAACTAATATTCAAAAATGTCTTACATGAACATTAAGAATGAATTTAATACGCTAAAATATTTTACATGAATTTATAAAAAATATCAATTACTAGAAATCTCAATAAGCATGGTGACCATAAATGGATTTTAATTAAAATAAGGAAAATTTATTAAATAAAAATTTATAGCGAATAAAATTAGATACAAAGAGTAGTAATTTAAACTATATTAGAAATCTTAAAATATTTTTATGTTCAAATAAAAGATTACTCAATAAAAGTCTGGTCTTATTAATAATTAATTAAAGAACTTCTCTATTACAAAGAGCAAGATCAATCACTACTAAATCTAGTTTTCATCTTAAAAGTATAGATCAAGCAAAAAATTAAAGTATGACCTTTTTTAAAAAAAAATGAAGGACCAACTGTTAAAACTAGATAAGTTAATGAAATTAAAGGTCAGGCTAAATTATTCAGTATTGTATGTCATTTCTAAGATTTTAATTATTTCTATCTTAAATTGTTGTTGATTTTCCAAATTTACATATTAAAATTATAACAAATTACAGATTCATAAAAAAATAGCATTTATATCTCTATTCTATTCTATATTCATAATATTATATTATTTAAAATTTTATAAGTACTAATCCAAAAAACTAATATAATTTTTTATTAATAATTTTGATTTTCATTTAAAACATAATTATTGATTTTATAAATTTTTTAAATTAATATGTACAAAAATTCTGGTATTGTTTTAGAAAAGGAACTAACATTAAAATGTTTATAATATAAAGGAAATCTCGATAATAAATCATTTTCCTTTGCCTTTTCCACCAACATTTGAACTTGATCCTCCTTTCATAGAATATGATTAAGCCTTAGAGAAATAGCTTCCAGATTGAATATTTCCTTATTTAGATTAATAATTAGAAGCAATGCTATTTTCTTTAACACCATTTGAAGAGAATCCTAAAAAGTTTAACATTAAAAAAATTAATATATATTTCTTTTCTTTGTAGGTTGATTTAAAAATAATTAAAAATGCGCAATACCGAAAAATTCTGTTCTTAAAATGATGTTAGAAGACAATCAGTATAGAAATATAAAATTATAAAAAATAAGTTAAAGTTTATTGATATAAAATATATAAAAAGAAAATAATTAAGTAATTAAGCAATTGTAATTAATATTTAAAAAGAGAAGTGGAAAAATAAAGGTGATAAACAATATAATATATTAAAAATATTTGAATAGAATGTAATTTTAATGATATAGCGTCTCAGTCGTTTTCCCAAAATTAATCATCTCCTAAGCTTCCTACAAGTTGTAAGAAGGAGAATTTAGGTACTTCCATACATGGTAAATCTTTTTCAATTCTGATTGATAATCCTTTAAGGTTTTCTTCATTATAAACTTTAAGAACTTTTCCATCAGGAACTTTGAAACTTTTAACCTAGAATATATAATATGATTACTGGTTTATTCCATCCATCTTTAGGGAATGACATTTTTCTATCACAAACAGTGAATGAATCTCCTTGATAGTTGCATGATTCCCATACTTAAGCACAATCAGGATCAGAAACACCAGCATCAGGTTTAGGAACATAAACAAACCATTAAATAGATCCTTCCATTAATTATGAATTCTACCCTAGATTATGATAATAATATATAAGAATTACATGTTCCAATTTCAACTGAGATTTAATCTTTAACAAGTAAATAATTTTTAGTTAAAAATCTGCAGAAAGCACCATAGTTATAATATAAACCATTGATTCCATATAATGAATATCTAGGTGTTTTAAGGAAATCTTTATCAGTAATTTTGTCATCATATTTTTAAACTCTTTCTGATTCAGGATTGATAATATTTAATGGATCTTTAGCTCCTGTAGTTTTATGATTAATAGTTCCAACTAATAAGGTATCTTTTTCACCTATAATCATATTAACTCTAATGAATTCTAAAGTTCCTCTTACTCCAACAGTAATTTTAATTTATGTGGATGTTTTAGTAGTACCTACGTTTTCAGCAGTAATTTTAGGCCATGCTTCAACCATTTTGAGACCTAAAATGAATAGAGCAATATTCGGTGGAGTTTTAAGTGACCAATTTTCTGGGAATGTTACTTCTAATCTTTATATTCTAGTGGCACCCTCTTTATTTGATTTAACAGTAGGTAAATTATTAGTTTGCAATTCATATGTATAGATATTGCTATCTAAAATAGCAGCCCAAGAAACATCAAAACCAAAGATTGTAGCAGGTGTCAATGCAACATATGTAATAGTAAAACCAACTGTATTAACAGATGTCAATTAAATATCGAAACCTTATGGTAAACCATCTCCAAAATCATATTTAATTGGTGCTAATATTACTGTAGGTGTTGATTTGAATGGCTTATTGAATTTGACTAATGTTTAGAAACTTCTTCCCACTCTAATCAATGTATATAAGGATGAATTACTCAACACTTTATTATAAAGCATGATAGGGAGTTTATGCCCAATGTAAACTCTAATCAATACCTGAGTCATATTAGGGTTTAATGAATCCTAATACAGTCATGGTGCAAATTGTTAGGACTAAGTATTTCATCATTAATCCGTTTTTAAATTTATTTAATTATATTACTTTTTATAAAACAATTAAATATATTCACAAATTTATCAATTTTCATCAAATTAACTTATTCTTCTTCATCAATTCATCATAGAAATTAAGACATTATTCAAATTATTCTTCTGTTATCAATTAATCTTTCCAATAATTAAAAAGTTATTTCATCTTTATTGGTACAGATTATCCATTCTCTCTAATATAATATTTACCTGGTGTTATTGTAATTAATTAATTAACACCTTCATTAATTATAATTTCAAATCTAATTATATATATTTTATTACATTTTTAGATTATTCACTATATAACATTAATCTTGAAGTAAAACTCCACAATCTTATACTTTTATATTGACCCATTAATCACAACCAAACTCCTTACATTTATTCATTATTGTATTCACTACTTAATAAGCCTTCTTATCTTAACAAAAACATCCACTCACTACATAACCATTTAAATCTTTATCATATGAAATCCCTATCAAAATCTTACCTTATTTTCTACTATTCAAAATACTACAGATCACTTTCATTATCTATTCTAAATATTATCAAAATAATAGAACCTGTATTATTTATTAAGAGATCAACCTTATATGATTTAAATTCTAATTTATCTCCCTCCTACAATTTACATTCCTTACCCAATAAATAAATAGTCTTATTCCCTTAAACTATATATTCATTTATGTAATCATATGGTACTTAAACTGAAAGTGTAGCACTAATATGAAATGTTGGTTTAATACAACAATTCATCTCTTAATGTCTAAAATTTTAAAATAGCACTTTAATATTTAAATGTCATTTACCTTAATCACTTAACAACTTTAAAATCACATATTTTTAAGTTCTTCGAAACATACTTATTTTAGCTGCCTTTCCAAAATATTCTTAACCCCAAGATTTGTAATCGAACCTTTAATTGGTATGAACAAAAACATATAATATTTATGAGGAGTATTCATTATTTAATGGCTGAGGTTTTAAGTTTTCTGGAGCTAAAATTAGATTTGAGAAGTATTATATCAAAAATTCAGATTCATCTGAATCGGTACTCATTAAATTTAATAATATAAAATGGATTTAACACAATCACAAGAATAAGACAAAATAATACAATACTATTTAAACTAATAAATTAAAAAAGTTGCTGATGAAAAATCATAACTCACTCAACAATAAGAACATGAAAGAAACAAAATTAAATTATAAGTCTGGGAATTTCTAAATCATTAATAATCCATTTAGTAATAATCTCGTCTTAATACAACACCTTTAAGTCTTATATCTAATAATTCTGCTTAATCCGATCGTTTCGATATACAAATTGATAAATCTAAAATTAAATAATAGAGTTAGAAATTTGAATAATCCATGCAATTCTAAAAGGATTAACCAAATTATCAAATTAATTATCACTCCTTTGTTGATTCTAAAGACTAATAATATAAGTAATTAGATTTCCTTATTGCCTAATATGAAGAAAAAACTAAAAATTTACCTAGAAATTATTTCAAAAGACAATAACCTGAACATGCTTCTAATCAACTCTAATAGGATCAGGATGATAATGATGAATAGTATAATTAAGATTTTGAATAGGATCAAGAGATCTAAGAGCTCATTGAAGAAGAATTACAAGAATCCTAAATGTAAATCCAATAATAATCTTTATAAGTTAATTAATAAGATAACTAGACTGCTTATAACAATTTAATCAAATTAAGAATTGAAAGATTAGATAATAGTGTTGCTAAACCAGATAATTCCAAACTCAATGATTTAAGTAAAATATCTGAATCATTAAGTGATTTGAAAGTAAATCCTAATGAAACTAATAAAATACTTGAAATTAGTAGATAAGTTGATGCTTCCAAATAAAATACTTTTAAATTTGATCAAACTCTCATTTAAACAAAATCTAATGATGAACTATTGTTCGAATAATCCTAATAATCTATGTCATCTAAATTATTAGAATTATCTTAATAATAATCTAAATTTTATGAAAAATAAAGAATTGATTATCCTTAAATTCCTTCCCTTGATTAAGAATTCTCATATAAAATTTAAGACCAATCTCAAATTTCAAGGTCTTTTTATCCTAATAAATAACTTGATCATGCTTCTAAATTTGATTAATCAAAATATTAGTAATCTAACTTTGATTAAACTAAACAATAGTCATAAATAAATTAATTTGATTAAATTTAAAAAAGTAATTTAACTAGCGATATTTAATTTAAACTTAATTAATAAGAACAATTATATCGATTACCAGAATAATCAAAAAATTTTGAAATTCAAGAGAAATCTAATCTATCAAATTAAATATAGTCTAAATTATTAGAATAATAACAAAATTATTAATAATCTCATTAACCTTCTAAATTTAGTGAACCAACAAAAAGAAATTAATCATTTGAATTTGATAAATAATAATATTATCCAAATTACACATGTGCAAATTCTAATGTAACAAAATAGAACAAACTTTCATCTGCTCTTGAAGATGATAACAAAAATCAACAATTTTAGTTGAATTAATAAAATAACAATTATCTAGAAGATGAAGAAGAAGCATTCTCAGAACAAGAAGAAGAAGATAATAAATAATTTTATTAATTTAGTATTAAATTTGAAGAATAAGATGATAAAGAAAAATAAAAAAAATTTGAAGCTTTAAAGAAAAAGAAATTATAAGAAATGGAAGAATTAAAATAACTTCGGTAATTAAGAAATAAAGAATAATAATAACAAAATAGTTAACATAATAAGCGTGATCAATCTCCTCTTATGCCTAGTGCATCTTTAAAAAGATTATAATAACAACAACAACAATAATAATAATAATAATAATAATAATAATAATAATAATAATAATAATAATAATAATAATAATAATAATAATAATAATAATAATAATAACAATAATAACAATAGTAATATTTATTTCAATAATAGTAAAATTCTTAAAATCAATTTTATTAGCAACAATAATTTTAGTAAAAAAATATACTTTAAGATAATTAGCCTTATGTAATTTAAACTTCATAGCCTTAATCAAAACGTAATGCTTCGGCTAATAGAAAATCTCCTATGGCCAGATAAAAAGAAACTGCTCATTTTGGTTAAGATATAGATAGATCTATTTCTGTGGAGAAAAACAAAAAAAATAATAAAACAATCCTAAAAAATGCTATAACATATGTTTGTTTAGCTGGAGAACCTAACAAAAGAGAAAGGGAAGCTATCTTATAAAAATTAGATGGAGTTGAAGCAGAGCATTTTATCTTATTATTTAAAACATATGGTCGATCGGTAAGAAATAAAAAATATTAAGGACTTTCGAGGTTTGTATGGCTATGCTGTAGACTCATAACCTTATTTAATATTTGGATAAGGAAAATGCCCTTAAGTTTTAACTTCTGAGATGGTGAAAACATTTTTCAAATATGATTCTGGAGCTAAATAATTTAAAGCAATAGATGGAAATAAGTAATTTACTATAATGGTTGATGCTGTTTAATTAAGAAAATGAATTGAATTATTTAATTTATGGCTAATATTTTATAAGTTTACGAATAATGTATCAGCAATCCAGAGATCCTAAGACATGGAGATTAATATCTATCAGAATATCTAAAGAATACACCTAATTTTATACTTGAGTCATTAAAATTAATATTTGATGTTAATCAACAACAAAGAAAATATATAGCTATTTTATTCAAGAATGTAATCTTATTAAATTGGTAAAATCTATAATAACAAACTAAATAAGACATTTTAAAGGTATTAATAGAAGGTCTTTAACAAGAACTTTAAATTCCAGTTTAAGAGATCATTGTAAATTTTAATATTTATATAGACTATAATAATCACAGAAGTAATGAGAAGAGATTCTGAATATCAATAATTAATACCATAATTTTTACAATTATACACTAATAATCCTCACATAATAAATACATTAATACATATTTATTAATAATTAGATGGATAAAATTTGATATCATATTGTGAAATAATTCTATAGAATCTGATATTGTAATAATCACCAACTCCTAAAATATACCATTTAGTATATTTAGTTATTAAAATGTTTTCTCATTGTGAACAAACTGATGTTGAGTAATTAAAATAATGCTTTGATTCAACATTTATTCAATGGATGGAAAGATTCTCATAAGTTCTATAGTAGTAAAATTAATTGGAATCTTAGATTTATATTATGAAAGCATTAAATTTGATATTTAAAGAAATGAAAACATATTCTAAACAAATCAGAAAAGTAATTTTACCTTAGATGACAGCATTTTTAGTAAGATTAACAAACTCTATGTAATGCTTAGAAGGTATTTTATTTAATTATAATAATAGAAATTAACTTTTTAGATGAGTGTTATGAATAAGAACCAAACTAAGAGGTACTTTTATTTTACACTTTATAAATGTTAATGGAATTAAATAATTAATAGCTTTGCAACAGTACTATTTATAGTAGTTTACTATAAATATTAAGTATGCCAATAAAAAATATTAATATGGATCATTTTATAGTAGAAGATGATCCAACAGTTGTTGAAGCTGTTTTAATGTTTTTTGAATAATAATTATCAAATAAAAAAACACATCAAAATGCTAAATAATTATTATTATAATATTTATAATAAAAAGTGGAGATGGTTGGTTAATATGTGATTATAGCATAATTTTCATCAGATTTATTTGATCCAAATTAATATTTTGTAATAATTGATTAATTATTGAAACTTTAAAATACTAATCAAAATTAAGTATTTCAACTTTAAAAATTAATAGCTTTAACTAATTTGTATTTGTTAACTAAAGGATAAGTTGAAATATTTACATAATTGTTTTAATTACATGTTCAATAATTCAAATCTTAGCTTGGTTTAGTAAATTTATTCAATATTGGAAAATTATGTGCTCATGCTAGCAAGAACTCAACAATTGATGATTAAAGTTTTAAATGTTTGGTAGATTAATCTAATATTTAATTTCCATCAATAGATTAAGATACTGCACATATTTTATTTGATAGTGTCTTATAGATGTTAAAGTTATGCAAAACCTTATAATTTCCAATCTTATAAAATATTTATCATTATTGGACTATTTATCCTCATGATTCATTATTGGGTTAGATATTCTATGAATTATTGGAAATTCTTGTCACCTTAGATCCAATTTCAGTTTAATAAACTTTTTCTTCCACAAATGGATTGATTTGGTTAAAAGTTAATACAATCATAGCAAAACATTAACCATAGTTATTACTTAATTTTATACCTTAAATAGCGCAATAATTATTAGTTTTTAATGAATTTACACCTTAAGGAATAATGCTTTTGAAAACTCTATTACAATATAATACAATAGATTAGTAAACTTTAAATACTATCATTTAAATTTTAGATATTTAATTAAATACCTAAAAAGAACCAGAATTAGAAGTTCTAACAGAGCATGTTCATGATTTATTGTTTGTTGTATGGAATAAGCATATGAATAGATAAATATCAATTCAACTACTTAGTAAAATTTTTTCAAAAATAATGCATACTGAAATACCCTCCACAATTAATGGATTAACAACTATTCTTTGTGCTATATATTTATAGCATTAGAATCAATTCTTATAATGGCTTCAATCTAATTCTGAAAGTACTTAATAATTATTTAGCAAATGGCTTAGATTTTCATCTATATTACAATAAAAATCTTTACTATCATTATAAATAAATGCTATTTATTAATTTACCTAATTACCATATTTTGATTAATTGTTTTATGTTGATCCATTTATTGACAAGGTTATTCCATTAAAAGCTAAAATGATGGAGTTTCTAATCTCTAACCAATAATAATCTGTAACAAATTTAATTAAACTTAGAAAACTATAGCTCTTGATGAAGAGGATGAATTTTAGGATATAGATTCTATTGAGACAGAATTCGAAAATGATATCACTGAATGTCATAATCTCCTTAAACCTATTTCCATTTCATTTGAACATATACAACATTTATCAAAATATTTATCTAAGGAACAATAACAACTTTTAAGGAAATAATGAATATTAATGTATAATAGTATCAATATATATTGATTTTTAAAAACATTAAAATCATATAAAATTTTTTAATATTTAAATTCAAATGCAAAAATTATTATGAATTAATTTTAATTAATAAAATAAATTATAAAAAAAAATAAATCTTTAAATAAGTCAGCAAAATGAAAGAAAAAAATTACTCATTACGAGTTAAAAAGATTAGAAAACTATCCCCAAAAAAGAATTAATAATAAGAAGATTTAAGTTCTCCAATAATAACAAATGAAGACCTATTATCTAAGCATCAAAGCCAATGTTCAAGTTTACTGTCAAGTCCTGAATCCTCCAAATTTATTCCAGGAAGTATGTTGGAATTCTTACTTAATATTGAATGATTACATTTACCTCTCTCTAATTGATTTTTTTGTATTCTTTATATATAAAACTTATATAATACGTATTATAAAAATGATAATCAAATATCAAGATTTGAGTATATAGCAAATGACATAGTCTCACTTATTTTCAATGTGATGAATTATAAAATGAAGTCATTTAATTTTTTTTATTCCAAATTTAAATCCTTTCTTTCAATTTATGTTTATATTAAATATATATATATGATGTGTAAATTTGTTTTTATATTGAATTAATCAAATAAAAAGCATTCGATGTAAAAACGAATTTGATTGTTATAAATTAGGTAGGATCAGAAGTCTTTCTCTAGCTTGATAAAGAAATAATAATTATAAATAACTCTATATAATCAATAATTTTGGAAGAATGGAGAGTAGTTAGAATTCTCTAAATGAAGCAAGAATTCCAACATACTACCAGGTTCTTCTCGTGCAGAGTCAGGACTTGAGTTTTCACTTTAACTATAGCTTGGATATTTTTACAATAGAATCTCATTCGTTATTAATGGGGAGCTTAACTAATCATCGATATTTTGAAATTTTTTGGGTGATTATTTTTTTATTTTCCTTCTGATCATCATATTATACTTATCTTTCATCTTCTTGAGGGTTGATTTTTATTTATTTTTTGAGGTTTCCTTATTTGTTTAATAGTTATTATTAATAATCAAATTTTTACAAAATCCAATACCTTTTATATTCAGTTCAATAGTTATTTAATAATATTTTATTTTTAAATTAAATAGCGTATGAAAATTGTTTAATTACTTTAAATCCAATTAAGATCATAATAATCATATTATTTCAACAAAAAAAATATCTATCTTTTGTTCGGAGTTTTTCTATATCTTTTTTTGTTTCATTTTAATCAAATCCATCATTCAATATTTAAGAACATTTAGTCTGATAAAAAAAAATAGAATTGGCTATCAAAACTTTTTTATGCCAAAACCAAAAAAAGAAAATAATTCTTAAATAAATGTAATCATATATGTAAATTTTTTTACTTGATAATAAAGTAGAAAAAGAAAAAAATTTTCAGATAATTGATTTTGTTATAATTATAATTATTATTTATTAATTTATAATTTATATTTAAACATCCTGATCAATTTAAAAAAAGCAAAATAACAATAAATAGATTTATTTATTAGACACTAATTTCTTAAGCATTATATTAGTACTAAATATTTCCTAACACTTAAAAAATTTTTTATTTTAACATGAAATTGAGATATTAAAAATTAAGAAATTATTCATGCATGAAGGAAAAAAAATGTAATACATAAAGGATATATGATTTACAAATTTAGGCTTTGAATCAATATTTTTAAATATGTTACAAAACAAATCTTTTTATTGAATTTTTGTTTAAAAAAATTAAAAATGATGATTGGATATTTTTAACAGAAAAAAGGATTAGTCTTAGGAATGGCTTCATTAATATTTTTGAATTGTCATTCTAAATAATAATGAGAATAGATAAAAGCATATTGATTCTTTATGATTCAAATAGATTTCAAGAAATTTTAAATAAAATTTATGAAATAAATATATTTAAGAAATCTATTATAGAATTAATTCTTCTTTTATATTTCGAGTTATTTAATTGTCTTGATTAATAAATACGAAAGGGTTTATAAAAAAAGAATTGTTTCATATAAATTTATTAAATCTTTGAAATATCTTGGTTTTTTTTTTATAAATGAATAATCTTGGTATGTATTATAAATAATATTTAAGTTCTATTCTAAATCAAATATCAGTTTAGATTATTCAAATAAAATACTAAATAATTCGTGAATCTTATCAGATTTAGTTTAAAAATTTGGATTGAAAAATCTGTTTAATCCAACATTATTAGAAAAAATAGATTTATATTTTGAGACTTTTGAATGATTTTAAGTTTAAAAATTATTAGGATTATTCTAGAATAGTAAAGAGTAAATAAATCATTAAATTGAATAAAATAAGGCAGGAAAATGAAAAAAGCATACAAATTGAAAAAGAAGAATTTAGAGGTTTGTTGCCCATATAATCCTAATCATTTGATGCCTTTCAGTCAACTGTGGTTTCATTTATCATCTGGATGTGAAGATAAATAAAAATTTGGTAAATAATCCTTCTTAATTTAGGTCATCTTTATAAGATATGCCCTTATAACTCTTTACACATTTTACAAAAGGAGCATTACGAAGACCACATAAAGAACTGCTAAAAGAAAATAGATGTTGATGATGATCTATTAAAATAGATGAGTAATGTTGCTTCGATTTAATTTGATGAGGAAAATTAATATCAGGATAAATTTATATCTGGGAATTTAAATAATAAATATAAGAAATATTAATGAATAAGATGCAATTGTATTATTTATATCGTTAAAACATAAAAAAAATGAATATTTAATCATTTAAGAAATCTAAAACAAGCCATTTTATATAAAAATCCAATTATTCACTTCATAAAATTAGCATAAATCAATCTAAAAATTGGTCCACTCACTTATTAATTAAATATTCATATGAGTTGGAATGCAGAAAACCTTGAAGAAGGTGAAGTTAAACCAGTTGATTCCACTCCAGTTTGGGGTGGAGAATAGAATGCTGGAGGATGGTAAGTAGATGAAGTGAAAAAAACTCAAGCTGATAAATGGGGCCAAGATGAGAAAAAAGAAAACAAAGAAAGTAATGGTTAGAATGAGACATCAGGAACATCAGGAGGTTGGGGAAACCAATAATAGTAGCAATAATCATCTTGGGGAGAAAGTAAAGCTGAAAATAATGATAATGCATGGGGATCAGGAACTACGGGATTTGGAAGTACAACTACAGGAGATAATGCAGGATCATCATGGGGAGGTGGTTCATCATAATGGGGAGGTGGAGGAAATTCAGATAATAATTTTTAATCAGATCGACCAAGAGGTCGAGGAAGAGGAGATAGAGGTGATAGAGGAGATAGAGGAGGCGGTTTTAGAGGTAGAGGAGATAGAGGAGATAGAGGAGATGGTTTTAGAGGAAGAGGAGATAGAGATGGATTTAGAGGAAGAGGAGACCGTGGTGATAGAGGAGGATTTAGAGGAAGAGGAGATAGAGGTGGAGATAGAGGAGATAGAAGAGGTGGATTTAGAGGAGGTAGAGATAATGGTGGAAGTTGGGGAGGAAACTCAAACAATAATAATAATGGAGGTGGTAATAGTTGGGGAGGTAGTGGAGAAGGTAATTCTTGGGGAAATTCAGAAAATAAGGATACCTCTGGAGGTGGCTGGGGTAGTTCTTCAACTAATGAATAACCAGCTTCATCAGGAGGATGGGGAAGTACTACAACGGAACAACCACAACAATCTGGAGGATGGGGAAATTCGACTGAATAACCAGCTCAATAATCAACTGAAGGTTGGGGCAGTAAAACGGAATAATAACCATAATAACAACCATAATAAGGAGGTTGGGGATCTAACACTGAATAAGCTCCTTAATAATCTGGTAGTGGAGGTTGGGGATAAACAACTGAATAACCAGCTCAATAATCTAACGGATAAGGCTCATCAAATGCTGAACAGCCAGCATAGACATCAGGAGGGTGGGGATCTTCAACCACAGAATAGCCTTAATAATAAGGAGGTTGGGGATCTACAACAACATAAGAATAGCCTTAATAATAAGGAGGTTGGGGTTCTACAACTACACAAGAATAACCTTCATCAGGCGGTTGGGGTTCAACAACATAAGCAACATCCGATTAACCTTAATCAGGAGGATGGGGATCAACTACTGAATAGACTACAACTTCAGGTGGATGGGGTAGCTAACCAGCCTAGTCAAGCGGAGGCTGGGGTGGTTCATCAGATCAGTAAAATGGTAATTCTTGGGGTGGAGGATCTGAAGATGGATAAAGAGGAAGAGGAAGAGGCAGAGGAGATCGTGGAGATAGAGGAGGTTTTAGAGGCAGAGGAGATGGATTTAGAGGTAGAGGAGATAGAGGTGGAGGAGAAGGATTTAGAGGTAGAGGTGATGGATTCAGAGGAAGAGGAGATAGAGATGGATTTAGAGGAAGAGGAGACCGTGGTGATAGAGGAGGATTTAGAGGTAGAGGTGATCGAGGTGGAGATAGAGGAGATAGAAGAGGTGGATTTAGAGGAGGTAGAGACAATGACACATCTGGAAATAGTGGAGGATGGGGAGGAGCATCAAATGATTAAAGCGGTGGAGGATGGGGATCTTCTACAACAGAATAACCTGCTTCTAGTGGTGGTTGGGGATCTACAGCTACTGAATAACCTTAATCTAGTGGTGGTTGGGGATCTACTGTAACAGAATAACCATAATCTAGTGGAGGTTGGGGATCTACTGTTACTGAATAACCGACTTAAAATGGAGGATGGGGATCTACAACAACTGAATAACCTGCTTAAAGTGGAGGATGGGGATCTACAAAAACAGAATAACCAGCTCAGAATGGAGGATGGGGTTCCACAGCAACAGCTACAGAATAACCATAACCAGCTCAAAATGGAGGATGGGGATCTTCTACAACAACTGAATAACCTGCTTAAAGTGGAGGTTGGGGATCTACAGCTACTGAATAACCAGCTTAAAGTGGTGGTTGGGGATCTACAGTTACTGAATAACCAGCTTAAAATGGTGGTTGGGGATCTACAGTTACTGAATAACCAGCTTAAAATGGTGGTTGGGGTAGTAGCAGTAATAATGATTAATAATAATCTAATGGTTGGGGAAGTTCTGATTAAACTAAATAAAATGATGGATGGGGTTCTAATAACCAACAATCAAATGGTGAACGAGGAAGAGGTCGAGGTAGAGGAAGAGGTAGAGGATTTGATAGAGGCGGAGATAGAGGTGGAGATAGAGGATTCGATAGAGGATTCGATAGAGGAGGAGATAGAGGATTCGATAGAAATAATAATAATAATAATAATAATAATAATAATAATGATAATGAGAATGGAGGAGATTTACCAACAGCAAAAAGAGTCAAACCTAATCCTGTAGTAATTACAATATCAGATGATGAAAATGGCAAACCCTCTCCTCATTTCAGCGAAGATGAATAAGAAAAGGCAAATATTATTAATGAAGCTTTAAAACAAACTGTTGATACCAAAACAGTTTCTTTATAGCTGCCTGCATTAGATGCTAAATTTTCCCCTCTTTTTAATCCTGAGCCTGACCCAGATAGCTTAAAGACTGACAATTTATGTCATCTTAAGGGAGGACTTTACCCACATGAATAACTGAAAAAAGTTAAATTTGTTTACACAGGAGGAATAAAAGTAGATTCAGATAGGCAACCAGTTGTTAATTTAGTTACTTTTGATAACGACTTAGAATTTATTGAATCTTGTCCTAAAGTAGATTTATCAGAAAAATAAGGAATTGAAACTGTATTTTTGAGTCCATTGATTAATGAATATCGAATTTTAAAAAATGAATTGGTCTAATTGAGATAAGAAGAGAGAAGAACACAAATTAGGAGATAATATATGGGGATAGTTGAAGGGATTGATAAAGAGAATCAAGACTTAATTTTTTAGGTTGGATTAGCTTTACTTAAAGAATAGAAAGCAATCAGATTAAAATATGGATTTCTGTTTGCAGAATTAACACTCTTCCATATTAAATAGATATTTGGAAATATGGATTAAGTGGAGCATTAATCATTATAAGCTAGAGAAAAAGAACTCAGACCATCTAATTTAGTTTTTATAGTTTCCATAACTCAGAAATGGTTGAATGATGTGCCAAAACTAAAATGCAGAAGAAGAAAAGAGTTGTTATGATATATAATATTAATATTATAATTACAAATTTGAATTAAATGGTCTGTGTCGATATTCTTAAATAATACAATCCTTAACAATAAGGAAAGGTTTATATGAAGTAGGATAGGTACCTTAAGAAACGAGTATTATAATTGGACGGAAATATGAATACAGTTGCTTAATTAACGATCCCTGTCAATTTAAGATTAAATTATGTAATAAATAACATTTATAGTAGCTTCACTTTTAGATTTAAGTTCCCTCTACAGGTGTGTTTGTTATATCCATAAACTATTAAAATAAAGGGTTGAATTATAAAGTTTCAATCAGTAATGTAATTTGAATTATTTATAATGAAGTTGTTTAAATAAGTTTCTTATCCTCATGAAAATTAAATCAATTAGCCTTGTGAAGGATTACCAAATTGGGGCACAATTGTTGTGGATTTGAAAAGCTTCTATGCTTTTACAGAGATTACATAATTAAATATTAGTGGGAATATTGCTGTTAAAAATATTTATAATACAAATGAAGAATAATTACTACCAACAGATTGTCAATTAAGTAGTGTTCATCGTATTTTAATTAAACATGTAAAACCTAAATTAGCGCCATTAAAAGGTATTTTAAAACCCAAAGGCAAAAAGTAAGAATAAGCACCTTTGGAAGAAATACCTTTACCACAAGAAAGAGTATCTCCTATGAAATAAGATATAAGAGAACCAATAATTGAGGAATAAGAAATTTAAAACAAAAGCAAACCTTAATCATTAATGAAATTAAAACATATACATGGATACACACCTAAACATTAAGCAAATTTAATATTTTTAGATGATAATTATTTTGCTTTTCCATGTGATAAAACAATAGTTATAATGTCAGAAAAAGAATAGAAATTTTGTTCAGGAACAAGTGAAATATAATCAATAACAAAAAATAAAAATGAATTAATAGCTGCTTGTGATTCTGAAATTTTAACTTTTGATTATACAACTTGTTAAAAGCTTAGTCACTATAAATTAGAAGGATATAAAGCAAAATTTATTTAGAATTAAGATGATATGTTGATTGTTTTAGCAAATGATGAAAAGCATTAAATTTTATTATTGATAAGAAATGAATCGATAGTTATAAAATAAGCATCTCCATTTCATATATAAACATTTAAGATTCAAGATAAGGATAATTTTATATCAGTAGGTAAGGAGAATCTCAGATATTGGCATATAAAGGATACATGTCTTTAAGGTCATTCTCCATATTTGGGATAGTATGCAAGAGAAACTGATTTTACAGATGTATTGATACAAGATAAAAGAGTCTTAGGTTGTTGTAAAAGAGGTCGAGTTTTTTAATTTATAGAAAAGGAATTAACTGGAGTATGGTAGATCTCTGAATCAGGAATTACTTCAATGAATAAATTTACATCTCATGTAGTAACAACTCATAAAGATGGTATTAAACTTTGGAAGTAAGACTTTAGCGAACTTGTGAGAGATATCAAATGCGAAGTGGAAGTGATTGGTTGTGATAGTAGATAAAAATTATTATGTGCATTTAGAGATAAATCAATAGGTATTGTTGATGACAAAACTATTAAATATTTAGTACATTCTCATCAATAAAACATTTTGGATCTTATTGTGGTCTAAGATAAAATAGTTTCATCAGCTATGGATCATGAAATTAAAATTTGGAATAAAAATCTATCTCTCGAATATTAATTCAGGTGTCTTGATGGTCTAGCATCATCCTTATGTGCTTTATCAACAAAACCTTAATTTATAGCTGGCTTTGATAACGGCTATATTAGAGTTTTTGAATTATCAACCTATACTGTTATCTTAGAAATTGATACTAAACATCCTATTTTGGCTATGAGTGGAAATTAAAATGATACATTATTTCTAATAACTCATGAAAATGAGACTCTTATCCTAAATAATAAATTACTCATTATCAAACAACATCAACATTAAATTAAATACAATTAAAATCACTAACTTATTGCTTTTAATGGATTTTTTAATGAATTTTATTATATTGCAAGTAGTTTCCATATTAAATTATATTCATGTGATCATCTAACAGAAAAATATCACTTGAATATTCCAATCAGTTCTATAGATTGTAATGATGAGCATCTTCATATTGTAAGTAATGGTAACATCAAAAGATTTGATAAATAATTAAACTTTCTATAAGAGTTGATATCAAATAGTACCTATATTAAAAGTTGTAATAATTATATTTTTAACGCTAACAACAAAGATTAGTTGATTATATATGATTACATGTTTACAAGTGATGAAGCTGGTAATCCTATTAAATAAATTTATCAATAAAAAATCAAAAAATTGGTTATTTCATCATAAATTATAAGTTTTGTTGATGATTTTATATTTATTTGGGATACAAATGGATTACATTAAACAATGTTAACTCATCCAATCGATAAACCATACATAAACTAATTAATTGATGTTATACAGGAATCAATGAGTCCTCACAAACAAAAATTAGAAAAAGAAAAAAACATATAATAAGGAAAAGAAAATAAAAAAAATAAATAGCAAAAATAACAACAAATTTAATAATAATAATAATAACAATAATAATAATAGACTTAATAATAAATTAGCCCAAAATCATCTCCTAAAGCTGCCATTCCTAATTAGCATTTAAATATTTAAAATTAAAATAAATAATTAATAATAGATGAATAGTAATTGCCAAAATTAAAAATTAAAAAAGTTATAGGGTATAGATTTAGTGATACATATATTTAATAATTTCCATGGAACAAAGAAGAATAATTTTATGTTTTACCATCAGAATAATTTATTGCAATAAATTACTATACCAAATAAAAATAATAGCTAATTTTAACTTCATAAATCTAAGCCATACATTACAGCATAAAAGGGATAATCGTATTGCTTAAACAATAAGTTTTAGTTTTTGATTTGAAAATGGATTTGATCAAATAATTTGATTATGCAGGCTAATTAGTCTGTTCTACAGTTTCTCCTTGTGGGAACTATCTACTTATGATAAATGAGAGTAGGATTTAGATATATATATTGAGTAGTGGAAGGATTTTGACTTAGACTATCATACAATATGGAAATGGTAATATTTATACAGATTGGTGTAGTGATTAAGATTTAATGTTTGTGACTTTAAGTGGAATATAAAATTAACTCTGGAGAGTAAACTAAAAAGCCTTATTAGAATATTGCGATTTGGACATATAACCAACTTACTATTAGAGCAGTGGATATTATAAATAGTCTTTGGTAGTTTCACAAGGACAAAAAATTCACCATATCGATATTAAATAAGCTCGTACTCTTTTAACAGTTGAAAATGCTGCTTCTCAGGATATTACGCAAGTAGTATGTACCAAAGAGTATATTTTGTTATTCACAAACTCCCCAAATATATATATATATACTTATCAATTTAACGATAAGCATATAATATCTTTAGATAGTATTCCATTAGGATATTCAAATATATTTTAACAGGATATAATAGTTGCGACAAGATCCTAGGTTTGGTTTGTAGATATTCAATCAAGAACTACCGTAAAAATTGAGCCAAACATACCATAAGAACATAAAATATTATGCACAAATTAGGATATTCTAGGTACATCAGAAGGTGCCATGATGATTAACAATGATGAAATTTTAGTACCAAAAAGATAATGTTTGCACATTTCATATTATAAGAATTGTATAATAGCTGGATACTCAGATGGTTATTGCAGATTGTTTAAAGATTTCTAATTGATTGGTTAAATCTAAGTAGGAAAGTGCGTGACTTCTTTAATAGCAAATTCTAAAAGTTACTTTGTAGTTGGTAACGAATTAGGCTAGTTATTTTATTGCACTGGTTTGAATGAGATTAAAATGCATGAAATAGTTAAAGAAAGAGGAGACTTTGCTATCGTCTCTACTGATATAAAAGACAAATAAATTGCATATAGTACTGGAAATTAAAAAGTTTAAATAATGCATTACAAAGAAAAAGAAGAATTTATTATTAAGAAAGCTACTAATATGATTGATGATACTCCTGAGTATTATTTAATGGATAGTTATCGATTTAGATCAATTGAATAATGCTATATACAATTTAGTAAAACTAACCAAGAATAAATTATAATGATGTGCTCCTAAATTGTGATTCGAAATTACATTGAACATTTAAATATCATCACAATAGAATGTAATGGAATTTCGTTTATGCAATTTAATTAATATTTAATTGTTGGTAGAAAAGATGGGACAGTAAGTATGTATGATAATGAAATTGAATTAGATAAAGTTCACTTATCCTCTTTTCCTATTCATATGATGCAGCATGACAAAATTGCATATGGAAACATGGTTTGTGAATTAATATAATGATCTATATTTATATACTTCAATGATTAATTAATTCAACGTCGTTCTACATTAAGACTTTATCGAACTCTTATTAAATATCTTATCCTGGGAGAGTTGAGGCACTTTTCCATAATGATGCATGTACAATCACAATTAAACATCCAAGGCCAACATATGTTAATATGTGAGGGCCTGAAATAGCCAAAATTAGTAAAATATTAACTAAATTAATTGTTATTCATGTTACATAGAAGTAAAAGTATCATTTTTTTGTCTTGAGTGTTGACAAATCCCAAATCAGGTAAATAATCTAAAATGGAGCTTTATTTCATAATATATGCCCATCTTTATTTTAATAACAAAATAATACCCTAAATAACTAAGAAAGAGTGTTAGCAAAACTGCAAAGTTTGTGAGTCTTAAATATAGATTTATTTTACCCTCCTATTGCAATTGCCACAACAACCAATTAAGTATATCTAACACCATAAAGAGAAAAGTTCTCTTGTATTCTTAATGGAAGAGTTTCACTTTTAGGTAAATTATAGGCAGATAAATCTAATATTCCTGGTTGTGATTGCATTAATTAAAAATCAATTTTATTTATTTTATAAATATTACAATAAGCCATGCTTCCATGTTCCAATTATATGTGTTTGGATTGTTACTTTACGCAAAGATTGTTGAGCAACTTCAACAGGTGTGCAGATGAATAACTTTTTTTTGAAATTAAGATATTATTTATTCTATTCCAAAAGACTCGTTGCAATTGGTCCTGGAGTCACTAATCTAACATCAATTTTTGGAGATAATTCAATTGCTAAAGATCTAGCCAAATTTCCAATATAAGCCTTAGTTGAAGATTAGATAGCAAATCCACTATGAGGACGCTCTCCAGTTTCTGAACCCACAAATACAATTAATGACTTTTTGTTTCTTCTTTTCATTTTTTGAACAATAAATTAACTTAAATAAGTGCAGGCATTGATATTAACATTTATTAGGGTGCTAGTTTTCTATTCTTATTCAAATGGATGCATTTCAAAAGTTCCAACATTGTTAATCAAAATCGCAATATCGTCTACATTACTAATACTTTCATTCAATTTCCTGTATTCCCCTTCATCACTTGTATCAAAATTAAATTGAATTATTTTCACCTAAACATTAAATTCTCTCTCTATCTACAATTTAGTCTAGTTCAAGTTTTCTAATGTTCGGCCTATAATAATTATATTATATCCCATCTTTGCTAATTCCTTTGCATAAGCTTTTCCAAGGCCATTTCCTCCCCCTGTCACTATTGCCCAACCATTTCCATATTATCTTTGTAAATTGGAGTTCCATAACAAATGAATAGCCACTGATGAGACTTTTGGCAATATTATCTGCATAAACCTATATGTTCCATCTTATTAATTTAGGTAAATTTACAGAGCCAAACTAATTTCTAAGGTATTCCTGATTAAAATATTCTTAGTGATTTAACTTTGTCTAAGTATTGTAAAATCCCTTACATTAATATTAATAATAATGAAAACAAACAATGAATTTAGGTCCATTTATGATATAGTCAAAAGATTTAATTTTTCTAATAAGCAAGCATAAGCGTTAAAACAAGAAGTTCTGCAACAATTAGAATAAAAATTTAGAAAACCCATCGAATTCAGAATCAAGTCTTAATCTCTGCATGCTATTCACTCAATTCATACAGGTTCTGTTTCAACATAAAGACATAGATAACTTTCCTTCAAAATAACAAGATAAAAACCACAAATGCTTTTTAGAAATCAATCATTAGTATCTTTACTTAAAAAAACAAATAATTAGTGAAAACTTATAATTTAATCTTTATTTTTAACGATTCTAATTAAATAAACAACAATCCCTTTAGTAATAAGATTAAACTTTTACTGGTATGTAACTGTCAATCTATAAGAACTTAATTTTATTATAATATTTGTTTTATTTTTTAAGAATTTAATTTTTATCTATACTATTTATTTTTTAAATAATTTGGATTTAATCTTTATACATTTTGTTTCATAAATCTTCATAAACAATAAATAACTAATGGATTTTTTTTAATAATTTTATTGTATTAAAACTTATCAACATAAGTTAGCTAGCTCTATTATTTTTATTTTTGTTTCTAAAATAGAAAGTAATTTTTGTTACCCAAAAATTCTAAATTCAAATAGCATTTAATATTCTTATAAAATTAAATTAGCATTTATAAGATAAAATTAATCTTTAAGTATTAAAAATCACAAAAACTAATTTATTATGCTTATCTAAATTGAAATAGAAAAATTAATTAAATCAACATCGCTAAATTTAATTTAGATTCAAAATATTAAATTTTCATTGGAAAAAATAGATTTTTTAGCTTTTTAGATGAACTAAGGTATGATTTTCTTTTCAGGATGGTGCAAATGACTTTATTATGATGATGCAAAAAGCAAAATTAAAATAATAACAATTTATCTTTTAATGCAAATATTGGTTATAATCTGATCAAATTGTAAAATACACAACGATTTAAAAATCATAAATAGAACCAAACATATACGTATAACTTAATATTTTTCCTATATTTAGTTGTAGGTTATGTTGAATCAGGATCCTTTTAGTTAATAAATCACAAAAATTGTACTTAAGCTAAACACTTATGAAAAAAAAAATGATGACAATAATGGAAAAATTAGATATACATTTAAAAAGTAGATAAAATAAAAATAATTAAAAAATTCTTTTCACAGCTTAAATCATTAAATTTTTTCGTACTACCTTCGTCGGAAGAAATCCATCAATATTATATGACAAATAAAAGTATTTTCTGTAGGATTTATGATATTTATAATAAATTCGGCTAGTCTTTTTTAAGTTATCTGGGTTGCTGATTAATGTGAACAAATACTTAAGCCCTAAATTTTAAGTTCTACCTATTTTTCAAAGTTTGAACTATGATGTCATTTAATTTAATTTTTTTAAACCTCATCAAGTAACAATCGATCAATTTGTACAAAATGTACTTCTACCTTTAATAATTTATGATAATTTAAGAAATTAATTTAATTACTATATAAAAAAAATTTAAATTATGATTATAACAAATAAATTTAATTTAGATATTAGACTTTGAATTACAAAAACAAACCATAAAAGTTGAATTTAAAATATTTGAATATTTAATTTATGAAAAAGAGCTAATAATATCGAAAGATAGAAGTTCATTTTTAGTCTAAAGTTCCAGATATATTATATACAAAATTGATTTAATTATATAAATGAGTAATTTCATTTCCAATTTAAGATCAATAGATTTTTTTGGAGCTCCTTTAGTCTAACATATAGATAGAGACTAATCAATTTATAAAAGCATTTTTGGTGGAATTATGACATTGTTGATTTGCTCAGCTAGTCTTTCATATGCTATCTGGGTTATTTATTCATGGTAAACGAATTAATATAGCCCTAAAATTTCAAGTTCAGCCTATGTTTCCAATTTAGAACTTTTAGATTTGAACTATGATGTTATAAAATTTTATTTTTGGAGATAAGATGAAGAAATGATTGATCCATTTGAGCATAAAATTCTTCTTCCTTTATTAACTTATGCTGAAAATTATACCTTAAGAGACAAATAGGTATTGGAAATATCCAATTAAACAACACCTTTTGGAAGCAGATACATTATTCCAAAAATGAAAATAGGATAAACGAATTTCAATGGAATTTTGATGACTACGTCTGAAATGTACATTTAAATAGTTAAATGTTCACCTGAGCTTTTAAAGGAAGGAGAACAATGCGCATCTGAAGAAATTGCTAATTAATTTTATAGTCAACAACTAAATACAATCGTTGCTGAATTATAATACAAATAACTTGATTCAAAAGATGGATCAATAACATCAAGTGTTTAGGAATTGCTTATCTAATTAGAAGAATCTAATTGCTATACTTTAAATACTTATATATAAAGTAGTTTTTATGAAGTTAAAAATTCATTGTTATTTGGATCTCCAGAATATTTTGAATTTGTAAATGGAGCTTTAATTTAACCATAAACAAATTCAGTATAATATTGTAAATAAGCATATGGAGACGAAACTTATGCTCTTCTCTACATAGGAATTAAAGGAAATTAAGTAAAAACTATTTTTGAATATCCAAATGCAGGTGATTTATTAGCTAACATTGGTTCAATTATCTCAGTTTTATTTTTGTTTAGACATGTTATACTATTTTTAAACTCCTATTATTTAAATGAAAAAATAGTTCATGATGTCATTTCCTTTTATTATCCTTAATTTTCTTAGCTAAAGATTTACAAAAATTGGAAAAGAGATATCACTAAAGTTTATCTTTAAAATTAAGAACTCGATTTAAAAAAATTCATAGCATTTTATCAAAATATTAAATAAAAGATAGAACAAAAGCTTACATTTGTTAATTTGCTTTATGAGATTTCAAGAGTTTATATTTTAATTCGTGCTAACAAATTAAAATGTGAAATAAAAAAATCTCATCTTATAGGATTAAGACTTGAACATTTGGAATTAAATAATTTTCCCTTAGAACCATCTCCTAGATCTTGCTGTAGTTCTAGAGAAATTGAGGAGCAAACGCTGAATGATGAAGATATTACGATTCTTTCTTTATACGAACGTTAAATTTAGGCCAAAAATCCTTTTCCTGATGAAGAAGCTGATTTAATCAATTTCTATGATATAAATAAAATAAAATAGTGAGTCTAATTATTTTTATAAGAAATATTAACATACAAAATTTATATAGATTATGTGAAATGCTTTTACTCTTAACCTTATTTACATATTGAATGAATTTTTATATACAATTTGAAGTTTATAACAACTTCTATCTCTAAAAAAGTATAAGTAGGCTGGTTTATTTAAAAACCATTTAAACAATAAAATATTTCAAAGCTTTATAAAGTTTTTGACTTAAATTATTGCATTTACTTTCAAAACTCTTTAAAGAGCAATTATAGAAAATGATATTTATTAAGTACAATACAGAAATAAAAAATATTCAGTAAATAGAGAGTAAAAGCCAGAAATATATTTAATTGTAAAATAAAAGAGTTAAAGGCTAAAGTATTATAAAAATAATATTTGAATAATTATTGTAGTTAAACTTCTTTATGACATTTAACTAATTAGCATAATGATTTATAGAACAGCGATGAAAAAATAAGTTGATGGTATGACAAAAATCTTTAAAATTATAAAAGAGGTTAATCAAAAATTTGTTAATTGAATATATTTGGAAGCTATAAAATTATTCAATTAAGCCTTCATCTAGAAAATTCTGCAATTAACATAATCCAATTTTTAAGTCAAGAAAACAAGTAGCTATTTTCGATAAGTTAAAATTTCAAACAATATGAATAAAAATAACAGATATTTCTAAATTAAGGAGATGTTGTTTCAACTTAAAAATAACAATCCCTATCTTATAAAGTTTAAAAGCTTAAATGAGCAAAAATATAAATTTTTTTTGAAGAATTATGATTTGAAAATGGTTGATCAAATTTTCTAATCTTAAGGATATTTTGTCTCTTATAATTTTCTAAAATATTCATCCTAGAAGCATTTAATAAGAAAAAACTTAAGATGACTTTTTGGGTAGATTGGTAGCAAAATTTAATAAAGGACGAAATATGATAATCCCAAAANATTTAAATGAAAAAATAGTTCATGATGTCATTTCCTTTTATTATCCTTAATTTTCTTAGCTAAAGATTTACAAAAATTGGAAAAGAGATATCACTAAAGTTTATCTTTAAAATTAAGAACTCGATTTAAAAAAATTCATAGCATTTTATCAAAATATTAAATAAAAGATAGAACAAAAGCTTACATTTGTTAATTTGCTTTATGAGATTTCAAGAGTTTATATTTTAATTCGTGCTAACAAATTAAAATGTGAAATAAAAAAATCTCATCTTATAGGATTAAGACTTGAACATTTGGAATTAAATAATTTTCCCTTAGAACCATCTCCTAGATCTTGCTGTAGTTCTAGAGAAATTGAGGAGCAAACGCTGAATGATGAAGATATTACGATTCTTTCTTTATACGAACGTTAAATTTAGGCCAAAAATCCTTTTCCTGATGAAGAAGCTGATTTAATCAATTTCTATGATATAAATAAAATAAAATAGTGAGTCTAATTATTTTTATAAGAAATATTAACATACAAAATTTATATAGATTATGTGAAATGCTTTTACTCTTAACCTTATTTACATATTGAATGAATTTTTATATACAATTTGAAGTTTATAACAACTTCTATCTCTAAAAAAGTATAAGTAGGCTGGTTTATTTAAAAACCATTTAAACAATAAAATATTTCAAAGCTTTATAAAGTTTTTGACTTAAATTATTGCATTTACTTTCAAAACTCTTTAAAGAGCAATTATAGAAAATGATATTTATTAAGTACAATACAGAAATAAAAAATATTCAGTAAATAGAGAGTAAAAGCCAGAAATATATTTAATTGTAAAATAAAAGAGTTAAAGGCTAAAGTATTATAAAAATAATATTTGAATAATTATTGTAGTTAAACTTCTTTATGACATTTAACTAATTAGCATAATGATTTATAGAACAGCGATGAAAAAATAAGTTGATGGTATGACAAAAATCTTTAAAATTATAAAAGAGGTTAATCAAAAATTTGTTAATTGAATATATTTGGAAGCTATAAAATTATTCAATTAAGCCTTCATCTAGAAAATTCTGCAATTAACATAATCCAATTTTTAAGTCAAGAAAACAAGTAGCTATTTTCGATAAGTTAAAATTTCAAACAATATGAATAAAAATAACAGATATTTCTAAATTAAGGAGATGTTGTTTCAACTTAAAAATAACAATCCCTATCTTATAAAGTTTAAAAGCTTAAATGAGCAAAAATATAAATTTTTTTTGAAGAATTATGATTTGAAAATGGTTGATCAAATTTTCTAATCTTAAGGATATTTTGTCTCTTATAATTTTCTAAAATATTCATCCTAGAAGCATTTAATAAGAAAAAACTTAAGATGACTTTTTGGGTAGATTGGTAGCAAAATTTAATAAAGGACGAAATATGATAATCCCAAAAAAATTGGATCAAGAAACAAATATGTTATCAAATCTTCGATACACTATTTGAACATTTCAGGATTGCTAATTATTTCTATTAGTTAAATGAGGTAGCAGCAACTGTTGCTATCAAATCAAATAGGCTAAGATCCTTGATAAAAGTGTCAAATGGTGAAAATAAATTAATCAATTGAAATTACAATATTAATAAAGTTTAATGAAAATGATTCATTTTAATTAATATTTGATAAATAAATTTATAATATATTTAGTTTATTTCGATAAATTCATTAAATATAAATATGAGTAATAATTTCATTTCCAATTTAAGATCAATAGATTTTTTTGGAGCTCCTTTAGTCTAACATATAGATAGAGACTAATCAATTTATAAAAGCATTTTTGGTGGAATTATGACATTGTTGATTTGCTCAGCTAGTCTTTCATATGCTATCTGGGTTATTTATTAATGGTAAACGAATTAATATAGCCCTAAAATTTCAAGTTCAGCCTTTGTTTCAAACTTTGAACTTTTAGATTTGAACTATGATGTTATAAAATTTTATTATTGGAGATCAGATGAAGGAATGATTGATCCATTTGAACAAAAAGTTCTTCTTCCTTTNAAAAATCCTTTTCCTGATGAAGAAGCTGATTTAATCAATTTCTATGATATAAATAAAATAAAATAGTGAGTCTAATTATTTTTATAAGAAATATTAACATACAAAATTTATATAGATTATGTAAAATGCTTTTACTCTTAACCTTATTTACATATTGAATGAATTTTTATATACAATTTGAAGTTTATAACAACTTCTATCTCTAAAAAAGTATAAGTAGGCTGGTTTATTTAAAAACCATTTAAACAATAAAATATTTCAAAGCTTTATAAAGTTTTTGACTTAAATTATTGCATTTACTTTCAAAACTCTTTAAAGAGCAATTATAGAAAATGATATTTATTAAGTACAATACAGAAATAAAAAATATTCAGTAAATAGAGAGTAAAAGCCAGAAATATATTTAATTGTAAAATAAAAGAGTTAAAGGCTAAAGTATTATAAAAATAATATTTGAATAATTATTGTAGTTAAACTTCTTTATGACATTTAACTAATTAGCATAATGATTTATAGAACAGCGATGAAAAAATAAGTTGATGGTATGACAAAAATCTTTAAAATTATAAAAGAGGTTAATCAAAAATTTGTTAATTGAATATATTTGGAAGCTATAAAATTATTCAATTAAGCCTTCATCTAGAAAATTCTGCAATTAACATAATCCAATTTTTAAGTCAAGAAAACAAGTAGCTATTTTCGATAAGTTAAAATTTCAAACAATATGAATAAAAATAACAGATATTTCTAAATTAAGGAGATGTTGTTTCAACTTAAAAATAACAATCCCTATCTTATAAAGTTTAAAAGCTTAAATGAGCAAAAATATAAATTTTTTTTGAAGAATTATGATTTGAAAATGGTTGATCAAATTTTCTAATCTTAAGGATATTTTGTCTCTTATAATTTTCTAAAATATTCATCCTAGAAGCATTTAATAAGAAAAAACTTAAGATGACTTTTTGGGTAGATTGGTAGCAAAATTTAATAAAGGACGAAATATGATAATCCCAAAAAAATTGGATCAAGAAACAAATATGTTATCAAATCTTCGATACACTATTTGAACATTTCAGGATTGCTAATTATTTCTATTAGTTAAATGAGGTAGCAGCAACTGTTGCTATCAAATCAAATAGGCTAAGATCCTTGATAAAAGTGTCAAATGGTGAAAATAAATTAATCAATTGAAATTACAATATTAATAAAGTTTAATGAAAATGATTCATTTTAATTAATATTTGATAAATAAATTTATAATATATTTAGTTTATTTCGATAAATTCATTAAATATAAATATGAGTAATAATTTCATTTCCAATTTAAGATCAATAGATTTTTTTGGAGCTCCTTTAGTCTAACATATAGATAGAGACTAATCAATTTATAAAAGCATTTTTGGTGGAATTATGACATTGTTGATTTGCTCAGCTAGTCTTTCATATGCTATCTGGGTTATTTATTAATGGTAAACGAATTAATATAGCCCTAAAATTTCAAGTTCAGCCTTTGTTTCAAACTTTGAACTTTTAGATTTGAACTATGATGTTATAAAATTTTATTATTGGAGATCAGATGAAGGAATGATTGATCCATTTGAACAAAAAGTTCTTCTTCCTTTATTAACTTATGCTGAAAATTATACCTTAAGAGACAAATAGGTATTGGAAATATCCAATTAAACAACACCTTTTGGAAGCAGATACATTATTCCAAAAATGAAAATAGGATAAACAAATTTCAATGGAATTTTGATGACTACGACTGAAATGTACATTTAAATAGTTAAATGTTCACCTGAGCTTTTAAAGGAAGGAGAACAATGTGCATCTGAAGAAATTACTAATTAATTTTATAGTCAACAATTAAATACAATCGTTGCTGAATTATAATACAAATAACTTGATTCAAAAGATGGATCAATAACATCAAGTGTCTAGGAATTGCTTATCTAATTAGAAGAATCTAATTGCTATACTTTAAATACTTATATATAAAGTAATTTTTATGAAGTCAAAAATTCATTGTTATTTGGATCTCCAGAATATTTTGAATTTGTAAATGGAGCTTTAATTTAACCATAAACAAATTCAGTATAATATTGTAAATAAGCATTTGGAGATGAGACTTATGCTCTTCTCTATGTAGGAATTAAAGGAAATTAAGTAAAAACTATTTTTGAATATCCAAATGCTGGTGATTTATTAGCTAATGTTGGTTCAATTATCTCAGTTTTGTTTTTGTTTAGACATGTTATACTATTTTTAAACTCCTATTTTTTAAATGAAAAAATAATTCATGATGTCATTTCCTTTTATTATCCTTAATTTTCTTAGATAAAGATTTACAAAAATTGGAAAAGAGATATTACTAAAGTAGTCTTACATAATTAATAACTTGAATTAAAGAAATACCTAGAATTTTATTAAAATATTAAATAAACTATTAAACATAAACTTACTTTTATTAATATATTTTATGAAATTTCAAGACTTTATATTTTAATTAGAGCTAATAAATTCTAAGATGAGATTAAAAAATGTCATTCTGTAGGATTGAAGTTAGAATATCTCAAATTATCGACTATAGTTATTGATCCATTTTCCTCCTCCTCGAGGGAAATAGACGAACAAATACTAAATGATGAAGATATTGGTATTCTTTCTTTGTAAGAACGATAAAATTAGTCTAATTTTAAGATTCCTGTTAAGGAAGCTGACTCGATGAATTTTTATGATATAAACAAAATAAAATAGTGATAATAATATATAAATTAAATTTTGATATTAGACTTTTATAATTAACAAAACCTTATAAATTGAATCAAAAATAATAAAATGTTGAAATTATAACATGAGCAAATGATATAAAAAGATGAAGTTGATTTTTGAGTCAAAAATTCCAGATATATTTTATACAAAATTGATTTAATTATATTAATGAGTAATTTCATCTCTTATTTAAGATCAATAGATTTTTTTGGAGCTCCTTTAGTCTAACATATAGATAGAGACTAATCAATTTATAAAAGCATTTTTGGTGGAATTATGACATTGTTGATTTGCTCAGCTAGTCTTTCATATGCTATCTGGGTTATTTATTAATGGTAAACGAATTAATATAGCCCTAAAATTTCAAGTTCTGTCTATGTTTCAAACTTTGAACTTTTAGATTTGAACTATGATGTTATAAAATTTTATTATTGGAGATCAGATGAAGGAATGATTGATCCATTTGAACAAAAAGTTCTTCTTCCTTTGATAACTTATACTGAAAATTATAGCTTTAGTGATAAAATAGTATTGGAAATATCCAATTAAACAACACCTTTTGGAAGCAGATACATTATTCCAAAAATGAAATTAGGATAAACAAATTTCAATGGAATTTTGATGACTACGTCTGAAATGTACATTTAAATAGTTAAATGTTCACCTGAGCTTTTAAAGGAAGGAGAACAATGTGCATCTGAAGAAATTACTAATTAATTTTATAGTCAACAATTAAATACAATCGTTGCTGAATTATAATACAAATAACTTGATTCAAAAGATGGATCAATAACATCAAGTGTCTAGGAATTGCTTATCTAATTAGAAGAATCTAATTGCTATACTTTAAATACTTATATATAAAGTAATTTTTATGAAATCAAAAATTCATTTCTATTTGGATCTCCAGAATATTTTGAATTTGTAAATGGAGCTTTAATTTAACCATAAACAAATTCAGTATAATATTGTAAATAAGCATATGGAGACGAAACTTATGCTCTTCTCTACATAGGAATTAAAGGAAATTAAGTAAAAACTATTTTTGAATATCCAAATGGAGGTGATTTATTAGCTAACATTGGTTCAATAGTGTCAATCTTATTCATGGTTAGGCATGTTATCGTTTTTTTGAATTCTTATCATTTAAATGAAAAAATAGTTCATGATGTCATTTCCTTTTATTATCCTTAATTTTCTTAGCTAAAGATTTACAAAAATTGGAAAAGAGATATCACTAAAGTTTATCTTTAAAATTAAGAACTCGATTTAAAAAAATTCATAGCATTTTATCAAAATATTAAATAAAAGATAGAACAAAAGCTTACATTTGTTAATTTGCTTTATGAGATTTCAAGAGTTTATATTTTAATTCGTGCTAACAAATTAAAATGTGAAATAAAAAAATCTCATCTTATAGGATTAAGACTTGAACATTTGGAATTAAATAATTTTCCCTTAGAACCATCTCCTAGATCTTGCTGTAGTTCTAGAGAAATTGAGGAGCAAACGCTGAATGATGAAGATATTACGATTCTTTCTTTATACGAACGTTAAATTTAGGCCAAAAATCCTTTTCCTGATGAAGAAGCTGATTTAATCAATTTCTATGATATAAATAAAATAAAATAGTGAGTCTAATTATTTTTATAAGAAATATTAACATACAAAATTTATATAGATTATGTGAAATGCTTTTACTCTTAACCTTATTTACATATTGAATGAATTTTTATATACAATTTGAAGTTTATAACAACTTCTATCTCTAAAAAAGTATAAGTAGGCTGGTTTATTTAAAAACCATTTAAACAATAAAATATTTCAAAGCTTTATAAAGTTTTTGACTTAAATTATTGCATTTACTTTCAAAACTCTTTAAAGAGCAATTATAGAAAATGATATTTATTAAGTACAATACAGAAATAAAAAATATTCAGTAAATAGAGAGTAAAAGCCAGAAATATATTTAATTGTAAAATAAAAGAGTTAAAGGCTAAAGTATTATAAAAATAATATTTGAATAATTATTGTAGTTAAACTTCTTTATGACATTTAACTAATTAGCATAATGATTTATAGAACAGCGATGAAAAAATAAGTTGATGGTATGACAAAAATCTTTAAAATTATAAAAGAGGTTAATCAAAAATTTGTTAATTGAATATATTTGGAAGCTATAAAATTATTCAATTAAGCCTTCATCTAGAAAATTCTGCAATTAACATAATCCAATTTTTAAGTCAAGAAAACAAGTAGCTATTTTCGATAAGTTAAAATTTCAAACAATATGAATAAAAATAACAGATATTTCTAAATTAAGGAGATGTTGTTTCAACTTAAAAATAACAATCCCTATCTTATAAAGTTTAAAAGCTTAAATGAGCAAAAATATAAATTTTTTTTGAAGAATTATGATTTGAAAATGGTTGATCAAATTTTCTAATCTTAAGGATATTTTGTCTCTTATAATTTTCTAAAATATTCATCCTAGAAGCATTTAATAAGAAAAAACTTAAGATGACTTTTTGGGTAGATTGGTAGCAAAATTTAATAAAGGACGAAATATGATAATCCCAAAAAAATTGGATCAAGAAACAAATATGTTATCAAATCTTCGATACACTATTTGAACATTTCAGGATTGCTAATTATTTCTATTAGTTAAATGAGGTAGCAGCAACTGTTGCTATCAAATCAAATAGGCTAAGATCCTTGATAAAAGTGTCAAATGGTGAAAATAAATTAATCAATTGAAATTACAATATTAATAAAGNGAAATGCTTTTACTCTTAACCTTATTTACATATTGAATGAATTTTTATATACAATTTGAAGTTTATAACAACTTCTATCTCTAAAAAAGTATAAGTAGGCTGGTTTATTTAAAAACCATTTAAACAATAAAATATTTCAAAGCTTTATAAACTTTTTGACTTAAAAGAGTTAAGGCTAAAGTATTATAAAAATAATATTTGAATAATTATTGTATTATTAATAAAATTTGAAGATTTCAAATTTAACAATTCTGTTATCATAAAAATTTTTATACTGTATTAAATTTTAAGTGCAAAATTATTTAGATATTAATTTAAGTAGATTAACTTTGTCTACTGATTTGAAATAAAATGTACGAAATTTATACTGATTTGAATTAATTAAGTTTATTTATAAATAATTCACAGTATTTACTACTTAATAAGTAATACAAGATAATTTGCAAATAGAATAATGAATTTTATATTTTTAGCTTATTTTTCATTCTATAATGATAATATTTTTTTCACTTCGAAATCATTTTATTATAATTAGTTACAAATATTATTTATTTAAGCTTCCTTTTTTTGTTAAAAAACCTACTTGTGTCAATTTTATTTTTGAATTAAAAGGTAAAGTAAAAGAACAAAAAGTAATTTTTATTTTATATTTAACAAAATGAGAGAGGGCAATTCACTGGATTTGATTCGCTCACTTTCCTTAATTATCATTATTCAATTTAAGAATTTAAAATAGTCAAATACATTAAAATAAATTAGATACATTTGTATTATAATTTATATATATGATAGATAAATGGTAATAAATTTTTAAATGTTTCGTTTAAAGAAATACCTCTTAAATTATATTCATTTATAGAAGTTGATCTGGATAAACTTTAAGATAAGTTAAATGATTAGATATTTTTGGTTTATTGCTAAAAATTTATAAATTATAATTATGAGTAATTTTATTTCCTTATTAAGATCAATAGATTTTTTTGGAGCTCCCTTAGTCTAACATATTGATAGAGAATAATCAATTTATAAAAGCATTTTTGGTGGAATTATGACATTGTTGATTTGCTCAGCTAGTCTTTCATATGCTATCTGGGTTATTTATTTATGGTAAACAAATTAATATAGCCCTAAAATTTCAAGTTCTGTCTACGTTTCAAATTTTGAACTTTTAGATTTGAACTATGATGTTTTAAAAGTTTATTATTACAAATATGAAGAAAATTTAATAGATCCTTTTGAAGCTAATGTTTTACTTCCAATGATAATTTATACAGATAATTTTAAATTAACTGACAAAAAAAGATTAGATTTTTCTAATTAAACAACATACTATGGAAATAAATTCATAATTCCTGAAATGAAATTAGGATTCACAGATATTGATGGTTAATTAATAACATCATCTGAAATGTACATTTTAATAATTAAATGTAAACCTGAGCTTTTAAGAGAAGGAGAATAATGTGCATCTGAGGAAACAAGTAATTAATTTTTTAGTTAATCTCAGAATATTATTTCATTGCAAGTATAATATAAGCAATTAGATTCAAAAGATGGATCTATTTAATCAAGTTTTTAAGAATTTTATGTTTAATTAGAATAGCACAGTTGTTATACTTTAAATACTTACTTACAAAGTAATTTTTATGAAGTCAAAGATTCATTTCTTTTTGGGTCTTCAAAATATTATGAATTTTTTAATGGAGCTTTGATTTAGCCATAAACAAATTCAGTTTAATATTGCCATTAATTTTATGAAGAAGAAACTTATGCATCTCTTTATATAGTTATGAAAGGAGATTAAGTAAAAACGATTTTTGAATATCCAAATGCAGGTGATTTACTAGCTAATATAGGTTCAATTATCTCAGTTTTATTTTTATTTAGACATATTATACTATTTTTAAACTCCTACTATTTAAATGAAAAAATAATTCATGATGTCATTTCCTTTTATTATCCTTAATTTTCTTAGATAAAGATTTACAAAAATTGGAAAAGAGATATTACTAAAGTAGTCTTACATAATTAATAGCTCGAATTAAATAAATTCCTGGAATTTTATTAAAATATTAAATAAAAAATTGAATACAAACTAACTTTTATTAATATGTTTTATGAAATTTCGAGGCTTTATATTTTGATAAGATCTAATAAATTTTAAGATGAAATTAAAAAATGTCACCTTGTAGGATTGAAATTAGAACATCTCAAATCATAAAGTGTTGTTTTTGATTCATTCTTCTGCCCCTCTAAGCAAATAGAAGAATTGACGCTTAATGATGATGATATTAAAATTCTCTCCCTCCAAGAAAGGCAAAAATTTGGTAAAATGGAGATTACTGATGAAGAGATTAATTTGATGAATTTTTATGATATAAATAAAATTTAATTATGATGAATTTCCATACATTTTAATTTTATATCAAATGAGGACGATGAAATAAAATGAAGTAATACATTTAAAATAGAATTAAAGTATTGAAATGCTGTATTTTTATATAATATATCAAAATGAGCAATTAAAATTTATTGAATATTGAAGGTTTAGCTCAATAAAAGCTTATAAATCTAATCTATAAAATTGAATCAATGATAATAATTAATAATGAATAATTTTATTTAATCTCTTTCAGTCTAAAAGTGTGATATAGAGTAATCAATTTATAAAAGCATTTTTGGTAAAATTATGAAATTTATTGATTTGTTTAATTACTTGACGCGATTCGAAAAAAGGATTAATTACATCGAAAAAATCTAAGGAGTTGTTAATTTTATTAAAAAACCCAAGTTTTTATACTTTAAATATTTTCTTACAAAAGTATTTTTTAGAGCTAAAGAATTCATTAATATTTGAATCTCCTAAGAATTAACAACTGATAATAGATCTTTCATTGAGAGTAAAGAAATTCAGTATAATATTTTAAATAAGCATCTCGAAATGAAACTTAAGCTATTCTTTATATATCTTTTTATATATTTTTTTGAGTTGAAGACTTACAAAATATGGAAAAGGAACATTATTTTGTTTTTTTATCAATTATACATTTAAATCTACTAAAATGAAATGAACAATTAATAAGTAATCAAAAGCACACAAATTATTTTTATTTGAAGAAAAATAGCTTAAGAATCTAAGTAGGATTGAAAACTATTATTTGAAAATGGATTTTTAGATTTTTGGAATAAATTTCTTTCACTGTACATATTATCCTGATAAAATGCTTTCAATAAAAATAGTTCCATTCCTTATAGTTCCTATGATAAATTAAATTGTTTTTCTTTAGCCTTTCTGTAAGTATATTGCAATCTGACTCTGACGGTTCTTTGAAAGTAAGAATTTCTTTAAGGTTTTATTTTCTATGAAAAAGAAAGAATTATGAGCATATATTAAAAATTTGTTTTTGTAAATTTCCTCCTAAAGCATTATTCAATATTTTCATATTTTTTTTCTCTTTATATAAAACCATACATGTTTAAACCTTCTTTTATAGAATTCATTTCACTTTAATTAAGTATTGCTAAAAACTCAAATGTTGCTTGCACTAGAACTAATTTAATTAACATTATCCCTCAATTTCACATAAATTTTGATTATTAATCATATTCACAACAATTAAACCAGTAGTCATTTTTGTTACCTTCAGTAAAAATAAAGGTTTATAATCCGAAATCAGGTTTATACTAAAAACTTCTAGATCATCGCTGTCTAAATAGAGGCCAAGTGTTTTATTAAACCACAAATTTTTTACTCTTATGTAATCTTAGTGAATTAGAGTAGTGTTATAATATTTTCCTTAAGTTAGATCATCAAACAATTATTTAAACATAAAAATAAATTTATATTCTAAAATTATATTTTTATGAGTCTTCATATTCCAAGCCTAAAATAAACCTCTATTTAATATGAATCAGCATTCCTTTTTCAAACATGTTGTTATTTTTAAATGTAATATTGCATAAGCTCTTTAAAAATTTTTATAGCTATATCATATAATAGATTGATTCATTCTTATCAAAGAAGATAATGAGTCTTAAAACATTTTGCAAGTCATGAACAAGATATTGAAATCATCTGAAATATCTCCTCAATTAAATAATTTTGTAACACGTAATTCATGATTAGAAAATAAAAATTACCATCTTTATAAGGTTTCATAAAATAAATTCTACTTTAGATACCTTCTGATCGAAGTTATATATCCATTTATGATCTTAATCTATTTTGCTTATACTTTATATCATATTTATAAATCAGCCAATTTTTAGTCACAATCTTATATATTACATTTAAGATATCAACAAGTTATCTTTATAAAAAAGGGTCAGATTTGCTATATCACTTAAAATCACTTTTTCTGATAGCGATCTGTGAGAGCATGAAAAAAAACAAGCATAAAATTATATACTATAAAATAATAATATTTATTCACCAACTTTTCATACCTCCTACCTACTCTATAACAACGTCAATTTCATCTCCTGTCTCCATTCCAATCTAATATATATCATATTATTTTAACATCAGCTGGAGTTTATGTCTCTAATATTCTTTCTCCATCAAATAAGAATCTTACATTTTAGATTTGAAGCTAAAATATTTACTTCATATTTACATTTTATCTTGAGCAATAAGCATCCATCAGTTTCTTGAATTGAGTTTACTTTTTGATTTTGAAGAATACTTCTTCACCATCTTGAGATTTAACTTTTAAGTTCAAATATTCAGCTTATGATTGATCTGCCATATTTTTTAATTAAATTAATAATTTTTAGAATATTACTCAATTATAGTAATATTCTGATATTAATTTAAAGTTTTTAATAATTAACATAAACAATAAACAAAACATCTGTTTTCATAATAAGATTTCTTCATTTGGTTGTCAAATCAATTAGAGTCTTAAGAATTTATTAAAAATTATTAATTTATTTACGGTCTGGCGAAACCTATATAATCCAAAATAATATTACTTCATCATTTTCTTTTATATGAAATTACTGAACCTTATCATTAAAATATCTCATTTCTTTATAAACTTCTTTAACAGTCTCATTTTTTTCACTATTTACACAGATAAATGCTTCAAAAAATTGAAAATAACACTCTAAAGAAATAATTAATAATAGTTAATACATTTAAATGTTGTATTCATAGTAGGAGTATTAATTATCCAAATATTAAACAAATGATTTACATGCCCTACTGTATAATTGTGTATTAAGCAGTCATAATTCATCGGTTGAGAGCTCCAAATGAATGAATCATCATTTGTGCTTTATGTCATTGTTTCACAATAATCTGCTAGAACATATAAATTTCAAGAGCTTACTGTTTTCAATCATATTTTATAGCCTCTTTGGACTTAAGGCATAATCATCAATCATAATTAGAATGAAATGAGATTATTAAGTAGTCTTTAACATTTGATTTCCTTCGAAGCAATCAAAAGTAAATTGAGAATTCATTATAAAACCTTCATAAGTTTCAGTTTCTTCAACATAGGTTCTTCTTTTTTATTATTTTTCTTATTTGGCAATTTTCTAATAAAATTAATATATAGTATCAATACATTTAAAAAATCCTATTCTGAATCAGCATGCACACCTCCACTTCTCATTCGTCTCAAATTCATTTTTTTAAAACTATATTTTTATTTCTTTTTATTTATTTATTTAAAAACACAATCATTAAAATATATAAATATTTAAACAATAAAGTATTAATCTCTATATTAAAGATCCATTAATAAAGAAAAATAGTTTTATTATACTACTCTTTTAAAGTCTAAATTTGTTTATAATATATTATTATATTCAGTTTTTCATACATATTTGAACCTATTATTTTTTAATGTAACCTATCAAATATAAAAAAAATAAACAAATGATAGTATCATATCTGCTTGATGCTTTAGAATAGTAAAATTTCAATTCAAATTTTATTTTTGCTGTGTATATCAAACTGAGAATAAAGACCTTTGATTAATTTATCGAAAAACTTTTCAGATTATTCTGATTTTTATAGATTTAAAATCAAGCAATTATGTAATCTTTTTCAACTATTTCATATTTTATAAAAATAATACTGGAAATTATCACTTTTAAATAATAAAAGTGAATTTTTATTTTCATATTGGTATATTAGTTATGGAGAAAGTTACATTATCTAAATTTTTTTAAATTAATAAACAAAGAATAAATTAGTTTTAAAAGATTTAATAAAGATATCACATTATATATTGTATTAAATTAAATCATAAATAGAGATTTGAATTTCCTCTATTCCTTGCTATGATAGGTTAGCTTCCACTAAAGTTAGAATTTATAAGACTCTTTTATTATTATAACCTAAATATAGGTATTTCTAATTCAATATTATCATCATTTTTGTTTGATAATTTTTTAATTTTAGATACTTCAAAATTTTTTGATTATCTTGCTTATCTTTTCATATAGTTTAAAAGAGTATCTTTAGAAACCTTCATTGTGAACATTAATAAATCTAGAATAAACATGGAAAGCACAGATAATGCAAGACTTAAATAAAATGCTGGACTTGAGAATAACATCCTTGTTGTACCATAGATTGATGACTGAGGAATAATATTTGAAACCCACATATAAGCTAAATAGGTGCCTAAACTAGTTCCAATATAGGCAACCCAAGTAATTATTGTCCAAAATTAAGTATTCAAGGCTAATTTCAAAGTTACAAGCTGATGATAAAGATTTAGTTTACAATCATAATGGCAGTTGACATTGACATACTGAAAAACCAAAAATCATTGTTTAGACCTGTTTATTTGATAAATGTAGTATCATTTAATTCAAAATAAAAAGAGAAGAAGCAGGTTAATCCTTAAAATACACCTATAAAAAACCATTTAAAGAATCTAATTAGTTAATAATAGTTTACTTTTCACTAGTAAATACTGTATTTCTTTGTCCTATATAATAAAGAAGAGGGTAATTTTATCTAAGAATATCATTTTCTACTTCCCCTTCTTTAATTCTTCTACTTCCTAAAATTGTTTATTGTCTTTTAGAAGTATAAAAAACATCTTCATCAAAGATTGCTCTAATCACAACAGGTAAGAAAGTAAACACTGTATTGTAAAAGGATACAAAACTAAAAATTAAAAATTAATGTACAATTAATCAAAAACACTCGTTCCAGTATCTCCACAAAAAAATGCAAAATAAAATTAAGGGATAGTAAAAATAATGTTTTTGTAAAAGAAGTATAAGATCATTTCAGAAATACGTATATAATTCTATCGTCCATGAAATAATATTAGTTTCCAAAGACACTTAAATTAACCTATAGCATAATTACTAGCTTAAACAGCTCTCATTCCTTCTTATCCATAAATTCCAATACCAATATGTGCTTCTTAAATCATGTTAACATCATTTGCACCATCTCCAACAGCTAATGTTATTTTTCCTAATGAATTTTTTACCAATCTTACCATATCAGCCTTCTATTTAGGAGTAACTCTACAGCAAATTACTGTATGTAAAAATGGAACTAATGAAATTAAATAATTCATTAAATTTTAATCATCAATTAGAGCTCCTAAAACCATGCCTTCTATTATAATTGCTCTTTTAGTTGAATTCTTATTCATTATGTGATCTGCTATATCATTAAAAATTATAATTGTTTCACAACCTGGTGTTAAAGTAAATACATCCATATTATCTTGTAATAGATTACATGATCTTCCTATATTTTCTGCAGTCTCTAATTTATCTCCTGTAAGCATCCAAACATTTATATTAGCTTTTAAAAAATCAGCTAATGTTTCTGGAACATCTTCTTGTAATTTATCTTCCACAGCTGTTGCTCCTATGAGTGTTAAATTCTTTTCAATTTAATTAATTAGTTCATTTTAGAGTTTCTCTGAGTCTCCACTTCCTAAAGCATCATTCATAGCCTTTGAAAACTAATTAAATTACTCTTCACTAAGAACACGCATAGCTAAACATAAAGTTCTAAGTCCTTTTCTTGAAAACATATCTAGTTTCTAATCTATTCCATTTAAATATTTTTAATTTGGAGATAATCTAGCTTTAATTACAGAATCTGCTCCTTTCGTATAAAGTTTTATTATTCCATTCTGTCTAATTATTACAGACATTCTCTTTCTATCACTATTAAATTCAAAAGCAAATAGAAGTTCAACCTTTTCAACTTCTCCTAATACTTCAATTTCCATCATACCCATTGTTATACCTTTATAAATAACATTTAGTCTTCTGGCAGCATCAACAAGAGCAATTTCATCTGGAGAAGGCCCTTAATAGATAAATGATCCATCATCTTAATATTCCAAAACACATTCATGACAAGTGGCTAGAAGCATTAAGTTTTCTTTAACTAAATCTCCTTAATTACAAATAAGATATTTATCAACTTTCAAATCAATATTAGGATTTTTAGATGGATCTTTTTCAGTAATAATTTATAAAATTTTATCTCCTGAAAAAGCATATTCAATACCAGCCTTTTCATTCACTAAAGTTGATCTTCTTCTATGTAATGTGCTTTATCTCCTTAGAATTTAATTACCAACAAATGTGGTTACTTCTTATTTATTAAACATTGAAATATCACCATAGATAAAATCTCCACAAACACATAATTTGAACTCCATTTTATTACAAGTCAAAGTCCCTGTTTTATCAGAAAAAATGTATTATACTTGGCCAAGTTCTTCATTAATAGTTGTGCTAAAAACTTTAACGTATTTATCATTTTCAGCAGAATACATCTCTGAATCTTTTTACATGAAGAATCCTTATCCAACTTTAACAAATTCTAAAGAAACAATTAAACTAATTGGAATCAATGTATTTAAGAGTAAGAAATATGCAGCAAAAGTCATTAAAGATGCCAATGCACAATGAGGGATATCAGGATCATAAATTTGATCTTAATCGTTATATGATTGATATCCTGCAAAATTTCTACTAAAATAGCTAAAATTTGCACTTTTGATATCACAATTAATACCATAAATAAAAGCTAAAATAATACAAATAACTGTTTGCATAATTAAAATGTAGATGATTCTGAGATTGATGAGTTTATCAATATTACTAACTTTATTTTTTTGACCTTCGGAATTTCTCATAACTTTAGTATCAATTCCAGTATAAACAACAACACCAATTACTTATTTCACATTTTTTAATTTAGACCCTCTTAGTAAGAAATTTTTATGAGTAATCTAAATTTTTTTAGAATCTAAATATAAAGTGCCATCAAATGTATAAAGTAGAGGATTTGGATTTATACATTCAATAATACCAGATTTGCATTCAATCGTTTAAGTTTCTTTGATTGCTTATTTAGGTTTTAGATTTTTTTCTCCATCGAGAGAGGATGTTTCTATGAAACATATACCATCTTGAGAGGTTTACAACACAACAATATCTGCAGAAATGATTTCTAATTCATCAATTTTAATGATATCTCCAATTTGAACATCTTTCCATGTTTTTTTAACAAAGCCTGAAACTGTCCAAATTGTAGCAGGGGATGAGTTCAATTCATTATCGCTTAGATGCTTTTAGTAATCTTCATACCCGTCTCTTAACATTGATAAGGATACAACAAAAATTAACGGTGCAATCGAAGAGACTGGACTGAAAGGAGAAATAGATTTAAAGAATGACATGACAGCTATGATAAGAAAATAAATATTAGCCATTCTTTAAAATTACAATGTTAATGAATAGGGAAGAAATGTAATGAAATTGTACCTATTTAAATTAGTAAAATACCTGCTAGTTTTGATGAAATTGGTTGGATAGCGATACTATTTATTTTAAATTTGTTCTTAGAGTCCGAAATAGAGTTTTCGTTCCATTATATAATTATTTAAAAATATTCCATATATTCACATTCTAAAAACCCCATGAGTTGTTCTCTCGTAGTTGTAATGTTACATACTAGTTAGAAGTGCTAAGCCTAAGGTTTATCTAGTTTATGTTGGTAAAATGATTCCATCATCCCATAAACGAGCAGTTGCATAATAAGCACTAGATTCTTGATCATATTTTTAGGAATATTTAGCCTTTAAATCTTTTTCAACTTTTTCATTCCATTCTTCTCCATTTCTAATTATAGTTGATTATTGAACAGAAGTTAAGACTCCAGCAGCCTAAATATTAAGATTAAATTATAATTACTTAATCACCACCCATAACTGAGATTCTACTACTAGGCCAAGAGAATAAGAACTTAGCTCCATAAGCTCTACCACACATACCATAATTACCAGCTCCAAAACTACCACCAAAAATCAAAGTAAGTTTAGGAACTGTAGAAGTAGCAACAGCATTAACCATTTTAGCTCCATGTTTAGCTATACCTTCTGTCTCATATTTACGACCAACCATAAATCCTGTAATATTTTATAAGAAAATTAATGGAACTCCTCTTTATTAACATAAACTAACAAAATGAGCACCTTTTAATGCTGATTCACTAAAAAGAATTCCATTATTAGCTATGATACCTACTTGTTATCCATATAATTCTCCAAATCCTGTAATAAGAGTAGTACCATAATATTCTTTAAATTCCATAAATCTAGATCCATCTAGAATTCTTGCAATTAAATGTCTACTATCCATAGACTGTTTGAGATCACTACTCATCATATAATTTAAATCTTCAATATCATAAATAGGTTAATCATCAATAATATTACCTACTTATTTTGTATTTAAATTCTTAATTATAGATCTACCTTTTTATAAAGCTTCTAATTCTGAACTACAGAAATGATCTGTCAATCCACTAGTAAAACAATGAACTCTTGCTCCTCCTAAATCTTCTGCTGTTACTTTTTCACCTGTGGCTGCTTTTACTAAAGGAGGACCTCCTAAAAAGATTGTACCATTTCCGCTTACAATAACATTCTCATCACTCATAGCAGGAACACTTAAAAAATCATATATAACTAGATTATTACTATGCTCCTCCAGCTGTACATGATCCAAGTACTATACTAATTTAAGGAATCCCTTATGCTGACATATTAGCTTAATTATAAAATATTCTTCCAAAATGATCTCTATCAGGAAATACTTCATCTTAAAGCATTAAACTTGATTATTTACATATATAATTACTTTGCACCTCCAGAATCTACTAAATAAACACAAGGTAATTTATTCTCCCATGCTATTTCTTATGCTCGAACATGTTTTTTCACTGTTATTGGATAATATGTTCCCCCTTTTATTGTTGGATCATTTGCAACTATCATACAGAATCTCTTATTTATTAATCCTATTCCAGTTACAATCCCTATCATTCTATATTATTCTAACCTCCACTTGGTACTTCTTCCTTTCCATATAATTCATATCCTGCCAATTAAGATAATTCCAAAAATGGAGATCCTACATCCAATAATCTAGTTATTCTTTCTCTAACTGGAAACTATTAATCATTTTTTCATTTCTACTTTATTTCTTTCTGCCAATTTTTGATGAGC